CAATATATAATTATACAGCATTGAAGCTAAATAACAACTTGTAAATATTACGGTTATTTTCAGCAAACATTTCAAAAATTTCCTGCCAAAAACGGGCCCCATGGAGTTCCCATGAAATTACCTCAGTGACATCTAGACGGCTTGGTGTGTATATATTATAGGGGCTATTGATTGTTATAATGACTGGCGTGAGAATATAGTTATTTTTGCCCTCAAGGGTTCATGCATGCAAGTATAACTACGTTGATGTTTGTCTGCAAGCTTCTTCAGGAAGTATATACAGCGTAAAAACTTCACTTCACCCGTGTTTAACCACCATTGACATGATCACTAAAGATTCCCAGGGTAACATAGATTTATTAATTGGTCGTAGAAAAATTATATATAATGCATTGCTTTCTGTAGCTAGTGGATTGCTCTTGAATTACTATTTTCAATAAGCAAGCAGTTCATTTGGACTCGATTCTTCCAGACATTAGTCGCACTGCTGTCGCAGTGAACTTATTCATGATTCCTCGGTAGCGAAGTAAGTTAATTTTTATATGACTCTTCAAACGACATGCACTCCCTATCACATGCAGGAAGAAATTTTGTATAGAAGCACGGTCATTTAATGCATGAATATCCAGATGATTGTATATGCCTTCACATGCACTATGACTATATGTAATTTTACAAACAGGTGCAATTTTTTACCCCCAAACTATACGAATTTTCCAATTCTTTCTGGTGTTTTTGCTACTTTTCACTAGTATTTTCATTCATTTGAATCAACAGTGTATATAAGACCTGTATATCACAGCAAAGATGAATTATAGCCTAGAGCCAAAACTCCTTATCTTTTAGTCTCCACCTAGTCTTACTTAGCCAGCAATTACAGACGTTTTAACGATGCTTCTCGCTATGCAAAGTTAAAAATTGAAGTTCATTGTCATTGATTTAAAGGCTCTGCATGCATGCAACCTGCGAATGTTGTTTTTTTGTTGCCGTAACTATTGTTGTAGCGAACACAGAAGCTGTATCTCCAACTGTTGCACATTTACATATAGTGTGGACTTTCTTCCCATCTCTGTTCCACCTTATTCTGCATGGGTTATCATTGAAATTGCAATGAAGTCTATACATTACGATTACCTTGAAATATTTATCTCTCCTAGTGCAGACCATGCATGCACGTTTTCTCCGTAGGAGCATGGAGTGATGACAATGTCTCGTATAGAAGTACAAGGTGCAATTGATATTTTTAAACTACAGAATATAGCCGGAAGAAAAACGGCTGAATGTTTCAAAATGACAAATGCCGAATTGAACAGGTCGCCGGAAGAACACTGTACGTGCAGATCAATAGAGTATTAACATCAGTGCCGGATATTTAAACATAAAAACAAATTTATTACCAACTGTGAATGAACCAGAGATTTTGTGAGGGTGTATATAGTTATCATTCCACCAGAGAATCCCTCGCTATTTGATCCAAACCCACAGCTATTTAACTCTTTAGTATACCCTATAATTATAAGCTACCGCGTGGCTCATTTCGAATTAAGTTGAATGCAGATAGGCTCGAACCATTTAGAAAAAACAATGTGATTTTTTTAAAAGATAACGATTAGCTTGTTCCGTGACTGCCCCTTCAATATATTGGGCAAACAGGAACGCTCCAACCATCATTATAAAGTCATTATGACCAACACCGCGTGCTAGCTCGCTGCGTGCGGTGCGTTATCGTATCACGCGCTAAGATTCGACGGGCGAACAATATTGATCAACATTCTAGACAAATCTAGGTAAATAACCACTGAAATGAAATTTTCCATCTTTTCTCTAGAATCATCCAAAAATATTATTTACGGATACTGCTAACGATAGCCGAATTCATATTAAAGACGGGAGTCTCGTCTTAGACGGGAAACTCATCGACGGGAAACTCGTCTGATGTGAATCCAGACACTGTGTTTCTCCTCTGAATTTTCCCGTCTAAACAGACGGGTAAGTTGGACGGGAGTCCCGTCTGGACGCCGGCTTATAAATTCGTATTTAGATGGATAAATCAGACGGGTTTCTGAAATATCAACACGGTCAAGGACGCGGAACAGAGTTAAAAAAAATGATTATCGTAATAATTACAACCTTTTTAGCGTTACCCGACCCATCACACCTATAAATTTATCCATTCCTATTCATATTTAGACGGGTTTTTACCATCAACTTTCCCGTCTAAGATGAGTTTCCCGTCTCTAATATGAATTCCGCTAATGTATAAACAACAAGGAGCTATAATAAATATGCAAAAAACAACAATTGAAAACTAGAAAGCTCATATCACCTAGCGTTCTATATAAAACACGTTGCACTTTATGGATGGTTTTGTCTTGTATGTGGAATCGTTTTGCACTTTTGAAACCTTTTACAATAAGTCCTAATTAATTCAGCTATGCATGATTAAATATTTTCTAGTATTTTACGATTCAACAGTAATGTCATAAAAAATGGCTTATCCTAATTTGCATCTGATGTAACACGCTGTGCGAAATTGTATATATGCTTGAGTGATGGTTTAGTGAGCGTCGCAAAATCCGATTGGAAATATATAGGAACAAACATTTTAACACGACTTGCAGCAACAATCTGCTTGCACCCCGCAGATCACACCGAAGATTGCGGTCTCATTCAAGAGCACCGACGATATTTCACACGATGTTTTAAATAGCCAAGAATAGCAAGATACGGTGCGATTTCATCTCATTCGCTTTTTTCTTTCATCGTTTCATCAGATAACACCGCGTGTAAATTCCCGCTTTCCTTTCGACAATATAGCATTACAATGCGCGCAGCCGCGCACTGCTTTAGCTCACAAAAAACGTCGGGAAATAATGTTGTTGGATGATTCGAGTTGATTGATGACTGCCTTAAGTGATCGTCTTCGCTCCAATCGCAAAACTCAATTCCGTCAGGTTTCGTTCAGTTTCTCGAGCAAATTCTCGCCACACGACTTGAAACTTTGGAAGTAAAACGTAGACCTAATCGCAATGAATGTTGACAAATCCCAAAGTTTCTCTTATTTCTACTGTTTGCATGTACGAAGGTAATAAATAAAACCATGCAAATACGAAATTTAATTTTTCATATATATGCATGCTCCGCCGGTCCGTCTGCAAAGCTGCATGTCGTGAGACTGATTACTGAACAGCCACAAGGAATCCGTGAAATTTTGGTAGATTTGTACGTATACAATCTCAAAAATTTCTAGAAAGGAAATGGCTGGAAATATATTCCAGGAATCGAAGAGGAATACGTCTGTGCTCCTTTACATGGAATAGCGCATTTACGTAATTCTACATTGACAGACGGAATTTGCTGGAATTATATTTAAAAAGATATTTTATAGAAGTGTTTGACAAAGAGTTTTTCTACTCATGCAGATATTGGTTTAAAATTCTTTGATTCAATCACTCATGCTCAATTTCAGCAAGTAATGACTGGAAATTTGGCAGCATAAACGGGGGCTAAACTGAACGTTGGCTATTTGGAAAAATATAGGCAGATTCTCACAGCGATAGGTCAAAGTATTTGAAACCTCAAAATAATAAAACAGTCGTATTGGTTGTGGAGTTTGTTTAGTCTATGGACTAAGATGAAAAAAAATGAACTGAATTCTGAAAATATACTTGCTACATCTTGGCAACACGAGTGTCTTGCAGGTAGAAATACTGATATATAACGGCGCAAGAGACTTCCCTGACTATTGTGTTGTATAGTGTATTATATAGGAGAAAACGAGCCGTTGCCAAATGAAAAATATATACATTTAACTCCCTATCCGGCGCAAGGAAAGTACGTAGTACACATGCACCGTTTTCCATGCGTTTGAACCAAAAAAAATTATTCTTCTGTCAGCCTTAAAAACATTGAACTAATGCTCGTCAGTTTAACGGCTTACGCTATTATAGGATACACTGACGCAGCTACGTCTTCATAAAAAAGGCAAGCTAAATATATTGACTTGAATATCGTGACTACTTGTCCCTATAATTATAAGCACAGTTAAATGTCTACATCGATTAAGACGCCTATGCCCATGGGCATGTACACGCAAAAGGTCAGTTTTATTTACCTGAAAAAGAGATAGAAAATGATCGCTGAGCTGGCCCAGTTTTAGTTTCTTCGAAAGACTGTACGCCATTCATTATACATTGCTAATGCAATCATTTTTTTTTCAATTTGAATATTCCTCACGTTGCCGCAAATTTATGAGAGTGGAACATGGAATTGAGGCTATATGTGGATAGTATACGTCTTAGTGTCATCTTTGAAAGATTATACCACTTAGATCTGATTAAAAAGCAGAAATCTGGTGGCACGTCGAAAACGAATTGGTTTTTTTTTGCATGCAAACACGCCAGGTTCCCATGCACATTCAGTTTTGTCGGCGATAGTTTAGATCAAATAAAACACAGTCCTGTTCCAAATATATCTCCTAAAGCTGTAATATGCCTGAGATAATGCAGTTGATCTGTGAACACTTGGTGGCATAGATTAGATTTTCAGTTAACGCATTTAATTAAGAGATATGACTAAAGGATCGTTTGTTGTATACGTCCCACGCTAATAGCTATGAACTGCTCACAAGATATATGCAAATTTCGTGTCTTCCAGCAGCTTTTTACCATCTTTACTTTCGATGTACATAGCGGTTTACAAAAAGCAACGTTTGCATACTGATAATCTCGATCCGTCCGAAACTTAAGCATATAATACCTTGTCGAACCTGCCTGCTTTAAAAATAATTACGAGGAGAGAGATATATTTATATACTGATATATACTGATTACAATTAACGTTGTAAGCCATTATAAATAAAATCGTATACGTAGTACAATTGTGCAAGGAATGAAAATTGACGGAAGATATTTGGCCACCCACTTACTGTGTTAATAAACCGAAGATTGTTATTTAGGTATTTCAATAATATATGAGTAATTCAATATGCCAGTATAGGTACTATGAACCTATCGGTATTGACGGAATAAAGGAATGTCTTGGACTTGCCATCGGTGAATATGACTTGCACATGTACGGACAATGATGTTTTAAATATGAAATTTGAAGACAAAAGCTGTCAAACCTGTCATTATATCAAATCATCCTAGATCCTTCTACAAGCACTTTTATTCTAACGCGTTTCCTCGAGTATATCTAAACAGCCTTCAAACTGGGATTAATATCGATTTAGCATACAGGTAAAAACGCTCATCGGCACTATAGAAGTAGTACATAATTAGAGTTAGAACAGATATAGCCAAGCTTAGGCGATATCATGCTTATACTTGAAAGCGATTACATCTTAGAAAAGCTATAAAGGTCTTTTTTTCACTTCGGAAATATTTGCTGCTGACAAGAATGAATAGCACTCGATCGTTTTGTGTTGTAGATATTTCCGCTCAATCAATATTTTATGTCTAATTACTGAAACAAACCAATCAGGACGAGGTAACGTTGTAAATGCCAGAAACTGTCGTGAATTAAATTATAAACTTAAAATAATTTAGCTGATTTGGACGACTTGCTTTCAAGAGTTTATGCGCTTTTTCCCATAACGTTGTTCTTGAGTGCTCCTTATTCCTTAAGCTATTTTGTGAGCTTCAGAGCAGGCGTTCTTCACGGAAAAACAAGTGACATTCAACCTTAAATTTACATAAGCAATGTTATTCCTCGTGTTATGAAAGACATTTAATTATGAACGAGCTTTTCTTTGCGGGCGGTATACGCTTCACGAGGCTTTAATTTTCCTTTGAATCAAAATGTAGATACTCTCCCAACATGGCATCTGCTGTTTCAGTGACAACATTTAGTTCAATATGGAACGTTTTTTAAAGACGAACCCCAAATATATGGCAGCTCAACATCTATTTTATGTAAAATTGACTGCAGTTAAAAAAGTCATATTTGCCCAAAAAATTTTAGTGAGTGGATTATGTGCGATTAAGTGAATTAGAAACTAGTCGAAACCTTTTTCAGCAAAGATCAACTTGTTCAAATATCTGACTAAATTACTCTTCAACAACAGTCTTGAGTACGTACAAAAGAGAGAACCAATAGGGTGCGTTTATTCACTTACAATATCACACACATATTTTAATTTTCTTTACTGTAATGAATAATGACCTGTCGATCTCAAAGCCAAACAATATTATAAGTTAAGAGTTATATAAGTCCCTTCCATTCTCTACAATATTTCGCTTTGAAATCCTATCGTTATTTCAAAATGCTATTTAACTGGAAAGTATAACTAGGAGAATATATTCATATAATATTAATATATACGGTATATAATATATCCCACTTGTAACACAGAGTATTGAAAGACCTCTCTTTCATAACTACTTCCTTTTTTTCCACCCAATTACGCTCGCCTTATTGTAAAACGTGAAGAAATTACGTCCTTTCGGGGACTATTCTGCGTTCTTCAACGACCTCTTTATTTATAAAAATTATTTTAACAGAACCCAGCATTCCTTATGCATAAACAACAGGTCACATGCATATGAAAATGCCACTGAAAAGTATAAATATATTTCCATCTCTAATTATTTTCACTTCATCCAAAGTAACTTGGTAGATAAAACTGGACGGAATTTATCGTTTTCAATTATCCGTAATATAAACTCGGATGATTTTCGCGCAGATTATGTACAAAGTTTGTATTTTTTTCAATGAATTGAAAATTCCATTGATAAAACTCAGAGGACGTCATGAGCAGCGCGACAGCCAATCAGCGTCGTGTATGCGTTTAATAGTGCAATGTGATTGGACGGCCACGGCCGGGATATGATTGTTATTGTGATTATGGCTAAATTCACGGGTGTGCATATAGAAGCGGTGTCCTTCTAGCAACGTTTCGTTTGTAGTTTGTAAATAAATCGCTTGATTTTTCGTTTCTGCTTCGAGTACACGAATTTCAACGCAATGGCGGTGGTATTCTGTTAAATCGAAGGTAAACGAGCTTAAATTGAGCGTATTATGTTTCGGCAATTTCGTGACCCTGTCCATTTATAGATCCGTGCTTTCTGTGCCTCCGAAACAAAACATTTATCCTACGTTCAAAACTAACGGATAGTGTTACTGTGTTTTTATTAACGTATCCTTCCTCTTGTTCACGCAGGCAAACGTTTAAAGCCCAAGTGATTTTCGCCATTTTGAAGTCATCATGGACCCCCACTCAGGTTGGTTAAAATTTATACGAATTTGTGTTTTACAGTCGATTTCACATCACTTTTGCCAAAATATTCCGAAGTTCGTTCCGAAGTTCCGAAGTTTGCCGATGAACTTCCGACTTTGGTAACGAACTTCCTTCTGAATTTCCGAACTTCAAAATGAACTTCCGAACTTCAAAGTGCACAAAATTCAAACTTCTACGCGCGCGGTAAATTCAAAATTCGCTCTTCAAGTTATTTAAGACTCCATACTGTACATGGCATTAAATCCTTTTACAAAACAAGGGCAAGCTCTTCCAATAGAAGTAAGGAACAGAATAATATTTCTTTGGCATGAAGGCCAAAGCCCGTCTCAGATAGGGTTTAATTTAAACCTTAAACGCCAAACTGTTAGCAATATAATAAACAATTTCGTTACTCGGGGGAGTGCAGAAGCTCTTAAAGGTCGCCGTCAACAAAGAAATTCAAGAACTGACGATGTTTGTGTACACATAGAATTCTGCAAGCAAGCACGACCTAGTATGTATGCGAAAGAAATTCAACAATCATTGGTGGAGAATAACATATGTTTACCGCAAAATGTGCCTTCCCAGTCATCTGTAAGTCGATGTGTAAAGTCTGATTTGGGCTATTCCTATAAGAGACTGAAAGTAATTCCGAGAGAATCGCTTACTCCACAAGCACAGGACTTGCTGGAGAATTACTTAGCCGCGGTATGTGGTGTAAATATCAGAACAATGCATTTCTTTGATGAATGTTCAGTTGTTAAGACAACTGGGAATAGACATTATGGTCATTCTTGTCTCGGAACAAGAGCACTTGAAGTCCAACGATATGCGAGTAATGCGACTTACACGGTGAACTTGCTCCATAATGTGTACGGAGTAGGCCATGTGAACATTTTACCTGGTCCATCTAATGGCCTCGAACTCTTAAACTTTTTTGCTGAAGCGATCGAGGAAGAGGACTTTTATGGCAACCCAATTTTGAAAGATGGCGACACAATTATAATGGATAATTGTGGATTTCACCACGCTCGGCATGTAGAACCTGTTTTAAGGCATATGCTAGAGGACCGTGGACTTAGACTAATTTATCAGCCACCTTATCACCCGGAGTACAACACTTGTGAAATGTGTTTCAGGCACCTTAAGGGAGTTCTTCGCAAACACAGTAGACTTGCAGAGGAACATACTGAAATAGCGATTCTCCACGGTCTCAGTGAAATTACGGACTCTATGTCTCGAAACTTTTTCAAATACTGCGGATATACTGACGATTGAAAGATATGTATGAACACAATGTTTAAATGTTGCGTTTATTAGGTTTTCCCTGAAAGTAAGGCCAACGCTATAGAGAAGAGATGAGACTGCAAAGCAACAATTATTTTTCCTCTATAATACAAATAAAAAACCCAACAAATTGATTTCTCTGCAGGAAGGCTACACCTTTTTCAGAAAGTGGACACAGACCAAAATAATCCGACCTGTTGATAGTCCAAATATAATATAGAATGTAGTTATGATATGTAATGTTATCCAGTGCAATAATATCAAAACCTAACTCTAAAGGTGGATTTCCACTTGCAACAAAATAGCTTGCTAGCAAAATATTTTCATATTTCCTTTTGAATTTTACCAACATAAATAAATTAGTGCAACTTGACTGTTCTCAAATAAAAAGATAATATACAGATATTTTTTTAGCAAACTATTTTGCAGCAAGTAGAAATCTACCTTTTTACTGTTACTTACACATGTATAGTTTAGAAAAAGTTGTCTCACATGTTACATTGTAATAAGATATAAATCATCCTTTCTGCATGCAATGTTTATCTTTTTAAGAATTTTCATAGGGCAACCTCAAAATTGGCTGTATTAAGAATAGAAAAATATAATATCAAAATACGAGACCTCTTATACATATAAATGTATAAATATAAGTTCCTCGAACATTATAAATATGAGTCCAAAGCTCATGACTTGTAATACTCACATTGCCTTCCTCAATATCTATGATTACATGTTTGTTACATATGTTTGTTACAGCGATTATTGAATTTCATTTGCCACATTGACAAGTGTATCCAATCCTGACCATTTTTCTGGTGAATTTACATTTATGACAGTTGTTATGCTTGAATCAGTAGTTGTCATGAGCTGGTTTGAGTTTGGCAAAGGAATGGCTGTGTCATAATGTAAAACTTGCGAAACTGTTGAATTATCTGTAACTGTATTTGTATTTTCGAATACTTGAGGAGATTTGTGGGGAGGTAAATGGCCGTGAACAGGGTATGGTATTGCACATGTTGGGACGTATCTTGCGGAGAGGTACTCTGGCATGTAGTTATACCCTACATGTGGAATGTTGCTGCTAGCAGTGTTAAATCCAAATGGCGGGAAACTAGCAGAATAATTAGTAAAGCGATCAAAATGCGCGGGTCGTTTCTTAATAACGAAATCTTCATTGACACTGTCAGAGCTTGAACTAGATGAATATCTACGCCGCTTTTTTCTTTTGTGTTTTTTATGTCGCTTTTTATCACGCTTTTTATTTTTCTTTTGTTTTTCCTCCGACGGCAGTACACTGCTTTTCCCAGACGGACAATTCTCTCGTTGCATTTCTTTGTCATTTTCATTGGCACTGTAGGTGTTTTTCACAGGTGACATTGGCAGTTTGTCTGCCGTCATTTTGGCTTGGTCACGACTGTCAGTAATATTGGGTGCATCAATATCCAAGTCGAAACTTTTTTTGCATTTGCTAATTAGGATACGCAGTTGCTCAGGATCATTGACAGAGACTGGAGGGATCTTGCCATCAAGACATTTGCGTAACATACGAATGTCGCGCATAAGCTTTGGTTTATTTAGTTTGTAACTCTGGTCTAATTTATAGAGTCGCGGTGTTAGGTTTTTTATGAAATGATACTCACTGTTGGAAGTAAAATCTTCCATTGACTGTATTTGCGATTCAAGCTCTTTCACCGTGTTAGCCTTTCTCTTTAAATCAGCTTTCAAGCCGTTAAGTCTTGAGAAATATTCAGAGTGCTTATCCTTAACGCCACAGCTTGTATAGTCGACACATTTTGGCAAAACGCACGGTTTGCTCTGTTGATTTCGATGACCTCTAGTATGGCAGTTACTACAGATTATCCGCGAATTTCCCACCATAGGCTTTTCTCTTACATTTTCATTCATAGATTGTATTGTAATTTCAATTTCGTTGTAATCATCTCTCTCTCTTGCCAATTGTGCCTTCAAGTTATTAACTTGCTTTTCAAAAGCAGGTAAAACCGCCTAAATATAGATTTGAACGGTAGATATATTTATTCGATGTTTATTCGATATTTTAAATCAAGATTGCTAATTCACGTATCTTTCAATGTCAGTGAATAACTGGCCACATTTTCACGGGAAAACAGAAACTCGAATTAAAAGTACTAATCTTTGATATCCTACCAATATAATAGCATTATTATTACTTATATTTGGACAGCATTTAGCTAAATTTAGACGGAAATGCTTAGCTGGGCGTAAATTATATATAGTGACACGTTATTACCATTGCTGAAAAGCGTTATTTCATATTCACTGTGATATTACTTCTAGTCTCTCATTCTATTTGATTGCTTAATATTTGAGCACATGAATTTTTGAACTTACTTTGCGTGCGGTCGATGGGTGCGGTTCGTCTTCATACTGATCTTTGTCGCGCTGATCGACATTTAGATCCGAATTTTCGCTTTCGTATTGTCGTGTACGTTTGCGAGACAAAGGGAGTGGTGATTCATTCCTCAATTTTTCCAATTGATACAATAAGAGCGCTTTTGCTCCCAAAGGCAATTCATCTGCAGTAAACATGATGTCAATGTCTTTAGGGAAAAGCAACTTCAGTTGGGTTCTTGTCATGAAATGATTGTCTTTTAATCTCGTAAAAATTTTTTCGAATGACGGTTGATCAAGTTCGTTTTGAAATTCGGACATCCAACTAACGAGCTGTGGACTTCCCATTTTGAACCCCACTTGAATCTCTATCTCTCTGATATGCGAACTATTATATGGTACGAACCACTTACGAACCCGCCAAAAGACGCGTGTAATATGCCGGAAGTTGTGAAATCTGAATTTTGTGCACTTTGAAGTTCGGAAGTTCATTTTGAAGTTCGGAAATTCAGAAGGAAGTTCGTTACCAAAGTCGGAAGTTCATCGGCAAACTTCGGAACTTCGGAACGAACTTCGGAATATTTTGGCAAAAGTGATGTGAAATCGACTGTAAGACGTGTTAGCGATACACCATTTCATTACACAGGACATACCTATTTACACCTAGTAAAATCTCCGTGTTTCCTTTCATAATTATAGCTCTAATAAAGCGTGTGTAATTTGTGGAAAAGCGACCAATTGCGAGGGGAAAACAGGCCTGATTTTGTCGTCGTTTTGCCGAAGCAGTTCAACGGGTGAAAGTGATACGCGAGGGGCAGTGCTATGTAAATCGTCAATTCTATATGGAGCTTACTCGAAATGGTAACCCTAATTACAGAGAAACTTCAAGACCAAACGCTGGAAGAGATCTCAACAACTGAGACGGTACATAGTTTTTTTTATGTGAGCACCTTTTAGAGTTTTGTGACATATTTTGTCGAGCGCATCAACACGATGAATTTCAGGATATTTCGGTTCACATGAGCTTTTTAATTATGTTTATTTAAATCTCTTTTACAGATTCTGGGAGAACAGCCGAGAAGAAGCCTAAGAGACAGATCAAGTATTGGTAAATAGATATGTCTCCTTATTTTCATTCAATAGATTATGTAAAATCAACTGCTGTGTTTTAAGATGCAAAGCACCGCGTGATAAGAGGAACATTGCATGTTTGTAATTGACGTACAGTTTCATATTCTGTTGTCTCCCCTCTGTTTACTAAATCGTAAAGTAACGCTATGAAGTAACTTTATCTCATTAAAATGCTTTTCTGTTCAGATACCGTAAGAAGAGCGTCAAGGCTTCAACACAGAAGGACAAGTCGTACTACGGCAAGCGACGCGTCTTCTACACAAGATGGCAGCAAATTAAGAGAGCTTACTTCTTCCTTTCTTACTACAAGATGCCACAGCTATCCACCGGCGAAAAAACGATTGTGCCGCTCGCTTTCAGACCCGTATAAAGAGTATGAAGGCAATGCAAATTGGATTCCGGAGCCTTCGTCTATATGGACACCAGTAAAGCCTAAACGGACAGAGCGTGTGAAATCCTCGGGTGCTCGTTCATTAGATTTTTGTAGCAAAGATACTTTCACTTGGTCTACGCCACCAGAATCACCTATTCCCCGTCCTGTGTCAGCTAATTCAACTCTCGAAGACTCGAAGTTCTTTCCACTAAGGTTTATAAGCGAGGAAAAAGATGGGATTCAAATTGACACTGTTGCAAATGTGGGGCAAAGCGATGAATGTGGTAACCTGCAGTCTGAAACGGTGCCCAGACGAAGTCAATCGCACCCGTCTTTTTCCCACATTTCTAATTGTGGTTTAAAGAGAAGGCTTTCTGAAATAGACATTCCCCGGCCTGCGTTGGATTTCGATAAAATGAAAGCGGTAATCCTAGCTTTTGAAATTAAGGATTTATTATTGAATAAGCAAATATTTGGGTGTGAAGCACGTTGTTGTTATTGTCTTTCGTTTGAATTATTTAAATAATTTGATGGTCACTTTTTGCGTGTAATTTTCTTTCCTACTTATTTAGATGTCTTTTTCTAATAAGATTGTGGACAAAAGAAGCTTGAAGTCACCAAAATATCTTGTAAGTTGTCTTTGTAAGCAAGTGTGTTAATATATTATGAGGGAACAACACATCATTAGGGGGGAGCATGTGTAGTTATTATTATTTACATTACGACCAACCTTCATTCCTTAGAGGAAAAGGAATCTCCCTGCGAGTCCAAAGCATCTCTGTTTGCCAAATCAAGAGAAAACCATGTTGATGCCAACGGATACAGAAGATCTCGGCTCAAGTTTATTGATAACTCCCAGTGCTTCTCCAACCACAGATGTAAAGCCATTTGAAGACTTCAAAGTTGGTCTTAAGACTGAAAATGATGATGAAAATGCAAATAGGAAACCTTTTACAGACTATTTTAATGCAGGTAGCATCATGGCTGATGTTGAACTGGACATAAAACTCATTGAAGAAGATGGGAGCTTAAACCACTCTACACACAACACCATGTTCTTTACTTAAAGACATACAAAATATTTATCTATATATTCACTGTTTGTAACAGCATAAATAATTTTTTGTGATACAAACATACACATAACAGTGTTTAAGCTATAACACATGCATAATGTACATACTCAGGTAATTTATTCAATACATATATCTATATATATATATAATCCTAGTAGAATTTTTTCTACCCAGCCAACCGCCTATTATACAGGTTTTATTAAAACGTATGCATATTAAAACCATGCTTACTTTTTTCTTTAAATAACACGGTAGAACCATTTTGCAGGTATGTGGCATTTAAATCGCCACCACGTGCTTCTTCGATGTAAACAAACACGATTTTGCCGGGAAAATATTTCGTATTTCGCGCATAATTTCCTAAGCAGCCAATCAGCGTCGACGCGTTTGCCAACTTCCGGTTTGGGCAGTGAAAAGAAATTCAAGATGGCCGCTTTTTTAAAGCGAATTCATATTTTCGGCACTTTTCTTGCCGTTAATCTCTTGTAAAAGGGTTCTAAAAGTATTGTGTACTTGCAATGCAGAAAAAACCCGTGTAAACATGAAATCAATCACACGCTAAGGGAAAATAATCGCCATTTGCAAAAGATTTAAAATGTGAAATATTTGTCACGCATTCAGTGCAAATATTTCGCAACTAATTAGTTTAGTTTAAGCAAAATGGAATAAAGAATAATGATATAAATAAATTCAGGTCGGATTGGATCAAATACAAAACTAGAAGGTTTAGAAGTAACCAAAAAGTCTCTTGTTTGTGTAAGGCAAACCCCCTTGTTACTGTGGCCAAAGGACATATAAAATGAATGTGAATATATATTAAGCTTTAAATCATGTTCACAGGTACTTGGCTAGACTGTTGATGAACTAAATAAATATGCAACACCCTAGCTTTTAGAAACAGACAAAAAACCCATTCAAAATAAAAAGACAAATATAATTATCGCTCCAAGAACATATAATAGGAACATTCTTGTAAAATGTCATTTCAAAACACTTTATACCAACACATTGTGCACTCAGGAATCAAAAATGCTTTTCCCTAAAACATACAGAAAGATATTAAGATGAATTATAATAGGGAGTATCACAAACTAAACTTGGGTAACTTAAAGAGAAAGTAGAATGCCGTATGTAGAAAACACAATAGAAAATATTTTGCAATTAAGTTTTTATTAGTAGCATTAGCATTAGCGTGGCTGCTAACATTACATACCTTTGTCTGCTTCTTCTCGTAAACGTTTTAACTCAGCTTGTTCTTCTGCCTTTTTCTCTTGAACTTTTCTATCTTTTGCTCCATATGGTTTTAAATATTCTACAAGTAAAATTTATGTATCCAACTGAAAATCCTATAGTTAAATTCAGTTTGCCCAGGATTGCATGGATATAAATTGTCAGATTTACCAACAAAATGTGTGTCCTAGGGGTCGTCCAACAATTAGCATAAATCTGTAGATTAACTAGTGATCGTAAATTTACCATTTCGTTTGTAACCATATCCTATTCCAACAAGCAGAGCAGCATATCTTGAAAACTAGGAGTTCAAGATTGAAACATTAAAAAGCACAATATTTTCACATGAATACAAGTGCCTTAAAATACCCAAAACAAGGACGCATTTCCTTAAATACAAACTTCTGCTTTCAAACATTTATCTGAACTACAAATCAGACTAGAATTGAGAGAGAAACCCACCCGAATTGCAGGAGAAACGGTGACCGGCATCTTTCCACTTGATGTTGAAAATCAAGATGGCAACTCTCTCGGTCAAAACATTTGGAGACTGGGACGGCAAAAACCATTAAATGACTTAACGTTCCAGTTATTCGCAAAATATCGAGTTCAGTGTCCCGGCGCCCGCAAAGGCTTGCGGTATAGAGATGGCGGATTTCTTAAGTGAAATTTGTGACAATTTGTGACAGATGTATGTCAACCTGACGTGTCTTTAAATTTGCATTATTGTGAAATATTTATTTAAAATCGAAGTAAATATTCGACTATACACCTTGACCACAACATGGTAAAATTATACGCGCTTTCCCTTTTCCTAAAAGGCAGCAATGTTAAAACGCTGACGTCTGCCTATGATTTACAGTCTTTCGGATATTTTCAAAGGTCCAGGTTTGTAAACAACGAATTTTCTACTTTCGTTTATTTTTTTAACTTGTAAAGTTTACGTTAACTAAATAGAAAAGTAAAGACATAAAGATTTATTATATACTTTGTGAAAATTTATAAGAACTGTTTAAAAGGAAGGTGTTTTATTATTAAATGCAAGAACAGCAATTGTTAAATATATTTTGATATTGAATGTTTATTTCCTATCTAATTGTGTTCAAATCATTGAAGAAGCAGGCAGCTGTAGTACTCACAAAGAATTTCATAAAGATCTGTACCATATTTCCAATAAGACCACTGAAAAGGACCACACAACTAGAAAAATTACCCAGAGCCGGGTATTCATGAGCTGGTTCATTCATTCATTTCACTGCTATTTCAAAAAGCCCAGCTGCGAGTAGTTCTTCTAACCATCACATTGTAGTCATCCAGTCTAGAGACTTTTATCTGCATAAACAAAGCACCATTAAGCATTCTGACATTTGGATTTGATGGTGTTTTTGCACAGCGTAAAAGAGTTCATGGACTTTACGGGAAGGATTATTGTTGAGCGAACAAGGACAAAAGAAAGGGCTTCTGTAAAAGAACAAGGTACCATAGCAACATAACTTTCTTCCTCTTTGAGTGGCATGATAAACCCAGAAATGCCAGAATGAAGTTTACAAGGATTGTTAAACACACTTGTCAAGCGTTGAAAGTAGCAGTCGTGTTTTTTTAGAATATGTCTGCCATGTTTACGTCCGAGAGAACAACTTGTCTGGTGTCCTGATATCAGATGCAGAATATCCATCACGAGTAGCATTTACACTGCTAGGAAAAGTTAGTATACTATATTCAGTCTTTACTCATAAATGTTTTAAAGATAATTTAATTTCAATATCTTTTGAAAGGTTTTAGATGATTTTCTTCAAGAATATCCACTACATAGGTTGTCTACCTTGGAACAAAAGTATGGTGTATCAATTACCTAAAAATAACGACTTGTCTTTTATGATTAATGAGAAGTGTTATTGACCATTGTCTTTCTGTTCAAAGGGATATCGTATTTCCAAAATGTGCGGAATACTTAGAAAAATATCAAGTAAGAATACAATGGAGAACAAGTTAACCAGCATCCTAACAGTTCAGCTGCTATAAAACACTTTTATTTTCACCAGAATCCAACTCAAGCTGACCCCATGATGAAAGTTCAAGCAGAATTAGATGAAACCAAAATAGTTTTGGTAAGAATTAGACATCACTACTTTTGTATGAAAAACAGTATAAACTTGCAGATTTTTCCACATGGCCTGTCAGAGAATGCTTTAAAAGAACTTTTATTATTATATACCACTTGTCAAAGTTTGGTGTTCGTAGCGTTTCATTGGTCGAGAGCGAATCACGTGAGAGTGACGAAATTTTGATGTCGCCCGCGCGACCCCCAGCAGGGGGAAACAATGCATTATTTCATGGGAAATAACAACTTTAATCACGTGCTGCACTCGTGGACATCTGACCTTTAGTTGACATTGGGCTAATTTGACCTTTGTCCTTCGCAGCGTTTGTTTTTGACAACTGTTAAAAACTAGAATGGAAAGATTTGCCAGCAATACTAGCGACATTTCGTTGTTTACTTCGTTGTTTAGTTTTTCTTTGACAAGTGGTATATAATAAAAAACTTATTTACTGCGACCTCAGAAAACATTATGTTTAGTGGACCCTCGACCGTCGATATTTCACTCGGCTTCGCCTCGTGAAATATTGACAGGTCTCGGGTCCACAAAACATAATGCTTCCTTCGGTCACAGTAAATAAGTGTTAAATGTTTCTTCAACAGCACAACACAATTGAGAGTGTATTAGAGAGAGGAGAAAAACTGGATGATTTAGTGGACAAATCAAGAGAATTGACATTACAATCAAAAACGTTCTACAGCACGGTAATATGAAATGAGGTTTTCTGTGTATTATAGTTTGAATACGATTTTCAAAATAATCTTTGGTAAAGATAATTATACATATATGTATTAGGTATATACACTGTATATGCACTAGAACAGAAGTACATGAGAATCAACCAGTGAATCACTGGTCTGGCTGTTCTAACATTAGGATTCTTTAACATTTTTAGGCAAAAAAGACAAATTCATGCTGTGTTATTTTATAACTCAACAGAGGATGAATCTGTACAGGGCAAATGCTGAGGATGGAGTGTATATAAACAAGAGTGATTGGAGTGATTAGGGGGCAGAAATTCAACTCTAGACATTTGACATTTATAAATTTCTTGCAGGAGTCTTGCTTGCTCGTACAAGAGTAGACTTTACTATGCACTGTGTTTCCAGAATTAGGAAACATCAATTTAAAGTAGAGCATAAAAGCTGTCCTGTACCCATGGGTTCAAGGCTGCTATAAATATATTCTCAGTGAAAGATGTCTTTTTGTAACTTATTGAACTAGCAATGTGACAGTCCTCATTAGAAGTTGATTACAAAATAAGTCAAATTTTTCACGAAAAGTAAAAGTACCTCTTGTTTCATGTTGTATTTTCAACGGACGAATCTTTTATACTCGATGCATTGATGGTTCGTTCTGACTCCTCACATTCTACAATAAAATTGAAAATCATGTAAAAAATATAGTTAAAGACGGCGAAGTCTTTCTGTGAACGGAAGTTACGATCTAAACGGAAATATTCGAAAGGTCTGGCGGACATTAAAACATTCTAAATTCATGCAATCACCCCAGATTCTTGCAACGATGGAATCGTAGTGGAACATTCGTACCTTCCGTGTCTCCCCTTAACAACACAACCAAAGATTGATGAAATTTCTCCAAATATTTTATCGAGTTGTTGTCCTCGAGTTCCTTGAAATAAGAAGCTCAGATTAGCCATCTTCGTGCACATAAAATCTCTACCTTGTCTAAAATCTCTAAATTGTCTACCTTAATCATCGCTTCATGCAGTACACTTAAATCCTTCAAAACACTTTTCTTCGCGTTCATAAGTTGCAACTGTGTCAATGTTTTGCAGAGAACTCGTACACCGGGTGAGAATGGCTCCGAGATGATTTCGTTCGCTATCTTGAGAGCTAGCGAGCCGTGGATGGTGTCTGGCTGAAGGATCAGATAAAAATAGCGAGATTATGATGCTGTGTTTTGGAGGACAGGGGAACTCAATGGCGTTTTTGGGTGGAGTTTTCATCTGCGAGATTATATGCAAAAACGGGTGGAAACGACTTCCAAGCGCAGCAGGAATTATAGATGATAGGAGTTAGACTTGATTTGATTGAGATAAGTTTTGTACGATTATTAAACCTAGCACAAAAACGAGTGTTCCTAACCCACCCGGACATCTTCTGTGTTGTCTTCGTTACGTGTGGCAGTCTCATTGGAGTTTTGTGTTGTTGCCTGAGTCTGGTTGACAAGATTTTTGTCGGAGGTTAAATGAACCAAAAGTTCAGCAACGTTAGATACGTCAACCTGAGCAAGTGGAGAAGAGGTTGGGGCGATGAACAAGGTACGGAGGGTTGGCATGAAGGCTTCCTCGATCTGCTCTTCAAACGCTCTGAAAGAAACAATTGAAACTTTAGTGATAATGAATTTACAATAACAAGGAGAGCTATTAATAATGCAAATTCGCAACGAATCGATCGAGCATTTTTGACAGCAAAGAAAAGCTGGAATTAAGGGGTTTTTAGGGGGAATACGTTGGCATAAAATTGGGTCCGGACTTACCGGCATTCGTTGGCGAAAGCGGTTAGGAAGACTCCAATACAATCTCTGAGATAAATATCGTCTTCTGTCATTGGGTTGTACCATAGCAACAGTAGGCGGGAGAAGAGTTTAGGACTGTGGACACGACCTGAGAGAAGGAGTTTAGCAAAACCTTCAGCTGCAACGTTGCGTATCGCCGTGTTCTGCGGATGAAGAAAGTATTTCATACATGGTTATCGCAAAGAAGACGTTTATATAAGAAGGGCGAGAACGAACCACCAGAGTGTCGACCTACCTCCCTGTCTAATAAATGGATCAAAGTTGAGAAAACGCTGCTAACAGACTTTTGAGCTTCGTCCAAAATCTTCTCATTTTCATCGTTTTCTTTCTCGTCGACTCCAGCTTTATCCACTATACTGACGTCATTGTTGTCGTCATCACTGCTGTCGTCATCACTTAGGTCGTCCTCAGGCTCCAGCAGGGATTCCTCGGCCTCTAGAATGGCTTGTTCAGCGGGAGTCACCTTGAACGTTTCCAGACCATAGACATGGAGCAAGTCAAAAATCGACTTCAACGCAGCAATCTGTACTTCTTCAGCATCGAGAAGAACGATCTGAAACAAGTTTGACAAGTTTAGACAACCAGTAAAACCAGTAAATCACGTCAAGGACATTGCACTAAAGGTAGCTCCTTTCATTATACCTGCAGAAACAAAACAAGATGTCGTCTCGCGAAATCTTTTGACAACAACGAACAGAGACCAAGGCATTCCACTGCTACCTGTCGTAACATGGGTTCCTCACTTTGAACTCCTGGAAGAATCTGTAAATCATAATGACCGGTTGTTACCTCTGAGCTCCACAATAATTCCGATTGGGGATATGTGTTCAGTTTCATATTGCGGTCTGTGTTGGAGCATATCACAGAAAACTGCATAGCACCTGGGTTTTGATCAATAATTACAAAATGCACTCACCAGAGTTTCAACCAAGGTACTGAGAGTCGGGTTATTAAGATTACTTTGGGTGATGTTCTGTAACAAACCGCTGGCAATACTCAAACATTTCACCAACGTTTCTGGATCGTTCTGAGGGAAAAAACTACCATTTCAGTTCCGATTTTTATACAAAGAAATAAGAGTAGCATTAATTTCCGTGCATGAACTAGCCGGTCTCAAAGCGAGTAGTTCATGCACCTACCTTCTCAATTCTTGTCTGAAAGTTATTTACAGAATTCGCTTCCGACTCCAGATCAGATTTCTCCTGATCCAGCTCTGAGAGTTTGTTCTTGGCTTCAGCAGCTTTGTCGAATTCTTGAGCCGAGACAAAACTTTCCAACTCATCGCGTACTTGATTGATCTTTACCCTGATACCAGCAAGCTGAAAAACGGGGAATTCATTTTGGATTGAATGAGGATTGGATTGAACGAGGATTGGATTGAACGAGGATTGGATTGAACGTGGATTGGATTGAACAAGGAATGGATTGAATGAGACATGATACTGATGAATGATCACAGGTTTTGGTTTAAAAATACTAGAACCAAATTATCAAGCGTTTTAAGGCTATTAAAAGGGACTGAAACTAGATGACGAGGTCAAGTTCCAACCTTCAACTCTCTTGCTCTGTTTTCCTGGTTGATTTGCGGTGTTTCGACGACTGTGATTGGTTCTTTAATATCCGCTATGACCTCTGCTATTTGGTTGATTCTGGTTTCCTCATCTGGTTCCAAATTGGTGTATCTTTCATGAAGTATTGGCATGAGGAAAGTCGGTATGTTTGGGTTCACCATCATCTCTTGAACCAGTTTCGTTAATCTCTTTCTGAGAAACGAATCCGGAAAAAGAAAGCAAGGTTTGGAATATGAGCTACATGTGATTGTTGTCGAGTGGTTGTAAAAAACTTTGTAAATGTCCCTTCCCTCCCCTTCCCTATTGAGTAAGGATGCAATCACACACCTTCCAACTTCATCTGCAAGATCCATATAAGCTGCAATTGTCAGTAACTGCTGCATAATGAATACTTCATGTAATTCACATTCCTTATCACAATTGGAGAAGAACTTCTCCATAAAGCTAGATAAAATATTGCCGAGCGTAAATATCCTGGTTCCTCATACATATATTGAGAAAGAGCTATTATCGATACAAACTATAATTTTTGTAGTTATACCTTTGTATGTATTCACAAAAGCCAGATATCTCAGGTAATATTGAGTCCAGTATATCTTGAGCTTTAGGACCAAGACTAACACAGTGTTCAACTAGACACTGCCAGAACAACACCCTCTCGCTGTTCAGTTCCTCCAGAGAAATAGTTTGAGATGCGCCCATGAATTCTTTTAATAATTTTACATGGAATAGGAGAGCATCATTAGCAGTTCCTATGAAACAAAAAATGCTGGAAAAATCTGCTTGGAAGATTCACCCCTACCTAGATTCACTATGGAAGATTCACTCCTATAAGGAAGATTCACTCCTATAAGGAAGATTCACTCCTAGCAAGATACATTTTTACCTTTTAAAAGTTCTTTTACAACTGTTTCAGCAGTTTTAACTGAGTTCTCAATGTCCAGCAATTCTAACAGTTTGATGATGTTTTCATCACATGACTTGACCCAACTTAAGAGAAGCTTGGAATAACACGACTGCTTTACACTCTGCACTCGGTCATTCAAACCATCATGAAGTAGTTGAACTCTTTGTGCAATTGTTAGAGCTCTGATGCTCACTTTGGTGCCCAGAACAAAAAATGCATATTTTCTAACAGCATCTTTGATATCTCGTGTTCTTTCTGAATGATAAATAGAACAAAACAATAGTTGTTCAGTCAAACCACTTCCTATAGATTTTTTCTCTAGATAGAGCATAAAGCACTTTTAAAGTAGTGAACTGAAATGCAACCTCGGCTTCAGATATTTTCATACATACCCACAATATAAGGCAGGGTATGTTGTGTAATAGCAATATTCTGTAACGTCATTTTCCTGACGTCGGCACTGTTGTCTGACCGCATCATATAAAGGTACACTTCAACAACAGGACATTTTGGATCCATTGGATCTTGGAGTCTCGACAAAGCACAGATTGCTTGTGATCGGACGATAGGAATCTTATCGCACAGCCTTGTCATCATTGCGGTCAAAATTTTATCGGCAAGTTGTTCATTTATTGTAGTTTCTTCCTCTAAGTTTTGGAATATTTTACTGATCAATTGACATGTTCGATAACGGACAGCTTTATCTTGTGCATCATGAACATCAAGAAGAAAGTTGAGAATGTTTGAAAGAAACATGTTCTTTATAATGTCATCACTTTCATCATCACATTCAGCATAAGATGCGTTCACTTGCTAAAATATGGAAATGGCTTTGTAAATTGAAATTTTCATGAACTTAAACAAGATATTTATCATTATAACATCTATATACACCCAGTTGTGCCTTTCAATGCATTATACATAAAGTGTACAAAATTCTTAACACCATTTTAAAACTCTAGAGAATTCCATCCCACCAGAGTTCCCACAGATTCCCTTAAAATTTTATATTGCTTACATCGCTTTGGTCTTTTGTTATTCTTGTAGTATACATCGCAATAAAATCCATCATTCTTTCGACGGCAGGCTCCTTTTGAAACACGATCATGCAATATTTCATGCAATGTATAAACTCTTCCAGAAACTCTTCTTCGTCCTTGTCGCTCTGCGCGAGACTGTCCAAGGCTCTGAAAAGCGATTCTTCATGCTGAGAACCTTTCTGAGCAACATTGAACACTTCTTTAACATTGCTGAACGAGTTCTTCTTGTTATTTTTCGAATCTAATGACATCTTAAGACAAAATATCGAAAGAAAAAATAGTAAAATATCAAAAAATTGAATTTTCGCGCTTATTTTTATATACAAACACGGCTTGTCCTGGGAAAGAGCCAACCCAAAGCAACCCATCGAGGGTAGACAAGGGTTACCATTAAAATCGATTAATAATAAAAATCAAAGTAAAAATTTGAGAAAATGAAACGAAAAATACTTTTTGAAACTAAAGAAATCTGAAAAAAAATACGAAAATGCTTCGGTATAAGAAAACCTAAATCGTCCTGACTCCTGATACGTTGGTGGCTGCACTACCATCACCCCCTAAGGTGTTTTGTCATTGTATTTGTATATATTCGATATAAATTTAGAATGTAAACAAGATGTCTCTAATTTACAAATTATTGGATCAATTTTTACAAATCGAATATGCTGTAAACCACATTCTTAATTAGTATTAACAGTTAATTTTTATTTGATTATTTATATAGAGTTCTGGCTTAACGACTACAACGAAGAATGGTTCAAATAATACTTGTTAAATGGGTTTTACAGCCAGCATTTTAAATATGACAGTGAAAAATATTGCAATCTATCTTTTCTTTTCATCCGTATTACTGTTAGCATTCGTTATATACTGGAGACAATTCTCAAGTGGCGAACTAGGAAAATTTTATAAAGCCTCTGAAAGCAAGCTTCCACAAGTTTCCCCAAGCAATCTGGAGCAATGTAAAGAAGGATATTTTTTCTCACAAATAGACAATGTTTGCTTACCCTGTGGCAAAGGAACTTTCAGTTTTAGCTCCTGGATTGGATGCCATCCATGGTTAGATTGTGAAGATATTGAATTGAATGTTAGAACCAGGGGGGTGTTAAGCACAGCAAGCCACAACAATGCAGTTAAAAGTATCTATTTAGCAGACTGGCATGGTTATACAGTTGTTTACATGAAGTGTTCTCATGAACAGTTTTGGGAGGATTGTCGACACAACACTAGAATGGTTGAAGGATTACAAGGCAATGAATTGGTTGTGCAATTTCTTGGTGCATGTGAAGAGAAGCAGGAGGTCAAGTAACTTTAATCATCTGGGTATAGGTAGGACTCTCCCTTTAATTAAGAGGGGGTCCTACCCCATCACTGATAAGAACTAAGGTGCCTATATATAAGAGAAGGCTGTATTTTCTACTGTTTGAAATGATCATTGATCATCAGCTAGTAATTAGTCTTTAGAACCTAAGGGTAACTTGTTTTCTTTTACCTTAGATGGTAACTACATATTATCACCATGGTTCAGCTGACAAATTAGACCAAGTCCTGCCAAGTCTCAATCTCCATTCCAGCGAGGAAATAAAAGTGCGGATACAGCTGGTGAAAGACTACCTAAAAATACTAGAGTTTTTACACGACAGTCCTTTGGGCGTACGAGTCATGTGTGATGCAAATGATCTTACAAAAACCCTCTCGCAGTTTTTAATCTCGGACAAATTCCATCTCGTTATCAATGACCTGGATGCACTGCCAAAAGTTGACCACCAGTTAGGTCAATTTGTGAAATGCGGTCATCGAGAGCTGTTTGGTTGGTTTGTCGCCCCAGAGCAGCTTTGGCCATATGACGATAAACCATTCAATGACTTTGAGATGCCAGAATATGATGAAAAGATAGACATATGGAGAGTTCCTAATGTTGTCATTTGGTTTCTTGGGGATTCATTAGAAGGTTTAAGGGTAAAAGCAAAATTAAAACATTTATTTAATAGCTGCAAAGCAACAGATCCAAAAGATAGACCAAGCGCCACTGAGGTATTGAGAATATTTGAAGCAAATGTAAATCAAGTTGTAAAAAAGTAAATTATTAGCACAAAAAATTGATTAAAAAGCAAGCAGAAAGTCATTGTTCAAAATGTATAAAATTTTGAACAGTACAAAATAAAATAGGAATATTTTACAGATCTTAATAATATCACAAAAGCTGAGTAAAAACATCACACTGTGCAATGGTGATTGGATAACCTTGTATCCTGGACTTACACCTTTAACAGAGAAACAGTTTGATAGCATTAGGTGACTAATTTCATTCAGTTCGAAGCTTAGCAGCCTACCTTCAACGTGTCTTACTCTAAGGTACTGTCTCTGCAGTACCTACCTTAGTCTTTTTACAAAAATATTTTCCGTAAGCTCTAAGCAAACTAAGTTAGATCAAACTTGGGCAACAAAAATAGTGATCCATAATCAGTTCTTGCTAATATCGTCCACTTCTCGTATTGTAGCGACGACTCTGAAATAATTATAAATAGCAGACATTTAGAATACAATCATAGTTGCAAAGTAAAACATATGTACTTAATTAAATGGTTTGTAAGAATTGAGAATTCTTAAACTTCTTACATCACGTGATCTTGGCAAAGTCGAGGACTGCAAGAGAAATGACATTATTAATATTGATTGACCATAAATATTAAGGAAATTGTCAACAAAGTTATGATGTATATTTTCAAATTTAAAATCCACAAAGAAGTGAAATTTAATCACCTCATAACGGTAGCTGGACGAGGTGTACTGGAAAAGAAAATGCACATGTTGAATCCTCAAATCAATTACGCATGTTGAATGAAAACATTTCTCCGGTGCAAATAATACAATACTCACATCTGATGGTAGATTGCTTGTCTAAGAAAGAAATTATACAATGTTAATGGACACATCAATGGATTATTATTACACAAATTAAATATTATTGTGAAATAATCAGAAACAAACCTCATATGGCCTTGTAGAATAATCTGCATAGCTCTAGAATTGGAGAACAAAAAAGAAATAGATTTTTGTGCAAGTGATTTCACTTCGACAGATGCTCAGCGAATTTTCCCTGGGCCCTTTTACAGGAAATAAAATGAACAACTTACACTGGTGGAAAAATTTCTTGGTAATGTTGAGGAGCCCTACACATTATATTAGTTTGTTAGTACTACAATTACTATAACTCATATTATTTGTGGTGTTAGTGGTACTGACAAAGCTGTAATATTAGAAAACACAACATTGAAGGCTTTTACCTCATAATAATTACTTGTCGGACGACTTCTTAATGTCTTTATAAAAGGAAGAAGTCATGACAATTTAGTAGCAATATCTCTTGTGTTGATTGCTACCATGGAAAAGGTGCAAAATAAAATATATCATACCTGATCTGTCCCATCATAGTATCGTCTGGATGCACTTGATGAATTGTAGAGTGAACCATCTCCTGTTAACGAGCTTCTCATATAAACATCATCCAGCGATGAAGCTTGGGTTCTTTGAGTTGTCAGGTTTGTGCTGAGGAGGAATGATTAAAACAAATTGAATCAATGAAACAAATATCACATTGTGTTCATTTCCATTGCCATCACCCCTCAATTAAGGACCAACCATGTCGTTTTTCAAAGCTCAATGTAATCCTTACTTACCTTTCTGACTTCCTGGCTGAATCAGCAGGCCTGCTTGTTTGTGTTGTAGTGGTTGGTTGTGTTGTTCTAACTGTTTCAGTCGCTGCTGAAGGTTCTGCAGTTTTCTTATCTTTTGGCTTTTGTCTCTGATCTCCTCCATTTGGTCTTGCATCAACTTCATCACTGATTCGCTCCGTAGGAGGGTCAGGTTCGCCCAGTCCATCAAGAGAGCTTTCTGATCTGTAACGTCTTAATTGTTGCACAAGCACATCTTGACCCTGGTGAAATTAACAATCAAATGACACAGAAAATGAGTGTTTTATGTGAGAAAGATAATGTAGAGTTCTGGTATAATTGCATTCCATTCTCTTACAGAAATTGCAGTTTTCATCATGGTATCAGCAGCCAAATCCAGCCCTTTCTTTCCATACTGCACCAACTTGCCATAGCCATGTTCCTTGGCTTGTTCAATATAGCTATCAATGTCCTGAAAATCATTTAGAAAAGATGTTAAATTTCATTCTTGTCATGAAAATGTGTGAAACATTTGCGCATGCAATTCAAAGCATGTTGATTAGCATACCTTTTCATGTTGTATGAAGAATGGATGGACAAATTTTTTATATAAAATACTTGATCCCTTTGTTGTCGGTGACAGGATCCAAAATAGGAACAGAACTTTGATCTCATAATAGAATGGCAACCTACAGAAGAAATGCTCAGAACATTATGATGGTGGTACATATATATAAGGAAGCTAGTTTTACTGAGTTACCAGCAAACATACCAAAATCCAACTATTGTGTCAACAAATATTTCAGCAGTTGTGAAGATGGCAAAAACAATCCAGTACATCATCCATTTCACCTGAGGAAATAAGAAACAAACCAAATTTGGTAAACAATGTTGGTGCCTGAATTCCAGACATAAAATAACCAGAAATCCAACTTTTCTTTTACTTATTTGTCATTTACCAGGTATGACTAACTGCACAATCATATTCAGATTGCTTTACAGGAGAAATCAGGTTGATTGTCATAGGGATTGCATTGCAGGCTCTTTCTCCAGATTTTTCTAGGATATACTGGGTTGTGTAATTATATTAAATAAAGGCTTTTTTGAGTATTTATTTGTAATGTTGGACCAGTTTTTTACATAGAAAATTTCAGTTAAACAAACTGTTTGATATATCTCATATGTCTTTAAAAATGCTTCTAATATCTTCCCCACAGTGAGATTATTCATTGTCTTGTTTTAACCCCCTGTTGTTTCAAAATATTATTCACACATGAATACTGTACACAAACTAATATTACCCTATATCATATCCTAGAATATTAAAATACTTTTAAAAAGGTTTAATGCTTTAATTCAAAGCGCATTTGGCATTGATAAACAATTTATCAAACTTATATCAAGTGTTGGTCTCAAATTTCACCTACAATTTGCAACCAGTATTCACTTTACATTAGCATTCAATGGATTAAATCGAAAGTTGACAAGATTTTTTAATCATATTTTCCCCTTGCCATTGTTGCCATCGCAATACTGGTCATTCTAACCGCAAATATATAGATTTAGTTTTGACATAGAGCGAACTAACGAAAGTGAACATAATTGATAATTAAATGCAGTAAAATTCACATGATTTTTTTAATCCACACGTCAAAATGCAAAACTTTCACGCAAAAAAGAAAGCACATAGAAAAAGACATTCTGCCTTTCAACCAAAAGTAAAAAGGCATACTTCACTTAAATATTGGCAGAGTTTTATTATATGAAGTGCAAGACGTTCGGTTCAACACTACATAAACAAAAACACAGTTGTCTGGCGTTTCAATACTTACATATTCTTTGGTGTCTTTCGACCTGATTGCCTTGTATGATCTGTAAGCAGGATAGAGAGTGCCTAGACTCACGCTAAAACAAAGAAAGCGAAAGTGTTAGGAAGTTTTTAATAGTCTAGAAGGAGATAACTCTGGCAACTTCGTAACATCAAACCATTTATAGATAACAATAATCCTCTGAAGTTGCGACAGTTCACCAACGCAGTTTCGCTTCAAATCTGTACAAAAATTAAATTTTACTTACACAATTATACGGGAGACAATGTAAGATACCATCTTTGGGTCTTCCCGGGACAAAATTTAAGCAAAATCTCACAAAAAGTGGTGATTATCCAACATGTTTTGCAGAAAGAAATCTTTCTTACAAATTGCTAACATATTAACTGGCATCTCATGACGTCAATGTCGGAGTTCGACGACAACACCTCGGAAAATATCGTTTGCTGAATCAGCATTTATAAGTCTACGTATGTTTCGTATAGTAAACAAGATATTTGAATGAATCTGTTTTTGTGTCAAAAATGTGTAAAAATGTCATACTTTTACTTATATTTGTGCTGATAAAAATAAATTGCTCAGGTATGTGATGTAAGCTTGCGAAAAGTGAATGCATTTTATAGCGTTAAATAAAAATTATGTATTTAATAAATAATATCGATGAGTATAAAGTGAAGTCACCTTTAATACGTTTGTATTTATTTTTGTGATCTATCAATCTACCATCGAGCTTTCGTCAATGCTGCTGAAAAGAGACTAACATTGATGCCAAAGTCTGCATGTATTGCTTTGTAATCTAAAATCTGGTTAATAATTAACTTTATTTAGATCTGGGAATCCAGATGAATTTCTAACCCCCAGATGGGACCAACAACTGTTTAAACATTCATATAAACTAACGGAAAAGAATGAATTTAGCCTTGATCCAAAGATTTAATTTCCATAATGTGAATTTTTGGATACGCCTATCATGGAGTATTTTTTATTACTTTAGAAGACAGTAAAGATAAGGACTTAGTGTTAGTTCCATCGGAAAGTACAAACGAAAGTGATGATCAAGAGCAAACATTTATAAATGATGATAACAGTTATGATGTCTTTCATGCAACAAATCAGTGGCAAAACGTGAAAGAAGGCCAGTCAATTCCTCCTGGTTTGCATGTTCAGATTGACTTGCAAACTGGTGAGAAACGAGCGAAGTTGATGGACGAAAATACAAATGATGCGCATGGAAAGAATAAAGAACAAAGTTCAAAGTATTCAAAAAAACAAAAGTTTATCAAGATTGATAAAAATATCATCTCAAAGCAAAAACTAAAGGATGCTTTGAAAGATTTTAAAGATAAATTTCATGGTGAAGATCTAAATGATGAATCCAGCATTATGCATGGTATGAATATTTTGTTGTCACTTAGGGGATGGGGTTTAATTTGCACTGTTACTATACAAATTTGCTCACAGTTGTTTTATAATTAAACTGTCTTAGAGAAAAACAAATACCGGAGCATGGATGAAATAAAGCAAGAATTTCATGGTGCAAATATTTGGATGAAAAAAGACATTGAAATTATACAAGAACTTGTTGCTAAGTTGAACAATAGCAAGACTGAAAAGTCAGAAATATTAGCAGTGTTGGAGGAATTGGAGTATCTGGTCCATCAAATTGATAATGCAAGGGATTTGGACTTGATTGGAGGATTAGCACTAGTCGTAAACTTGCTCAATCAAACTGATAACGAGATTCAGAGTCATGCCGCATATGTCATAGGATCTGCTGCCCAAAGGTACAGCCTGGGAAACGGCTTATTCGACCATGGTCGAGTACGCCGGAAAACGGCTTATTCGACCGTTTCATTTGATCTCTAGAAAGCTCTCGGAAAGCCATAAATACAGCTATTTGATTCTTTTAGAGGTCCCTGTTGAACACTTAGAAATATAAATAACCTGTCCAAGTTCAACTATATCTACTCATCAAATTCAAAACAAGTACTTCAGATGCACGTCTTCAACTTATGTCTTTCACACAGCATTAAATCCGTTTATTTTCTCTAGCAACCTACCTGTTCAAATAAGTCTACTGAACTCAGGAGCACTTCAATTGTTAACCAGAATTCTCATAAACACTCGCGGTACACTCTCCTCGCGAAAGAAAGCAATCTATGCCATGTCAGCCATGCTGAGACTGTTTCCTAAAGGAACTAAAAAGTTTCTCAAAATTGGAGGATTGTCAATTCTTGCCTCGCTGTTCCGAGAAGATGAAAGTGAACCGTTAAGAATCAAAGCGTTGACGTTACTGGTCGATTTATTGACAGAGCAAATGGACAACATAAGAAAAAAAGCAAAGGAAATGGGAATTCAGGACTATGAAAAAGCAGTTTTGAAGTGAGCAGCTATAATCCATCTTGTAACACACGCAAATGCCTAGTTTCCATGTGTACTTGCTATGATGGGAACGAGGTTATTTAGACAGAAATGAATAAACTGTAAGGTATGTTTCACAGTCCACCGCTCATCAAGCCGTGTTCACATTTTGTTTTTGTTCTTTTTAGAGCTCCTCTATTAAAAGCAATCTACGACGAGGGTTGGTGTCAATTATCAACGACTCTTATTACAATAGTTGAGAATGAAACGAAGGAAAAACTTCTGCAAGCATTTCAGATCCTCTTGCCCGCATGTCGTGCAGAATGGAAACGAGATACGAGACTTAGGGACGCGCTTAAACTTTGGCGAGAGCAGTGGCAACGTGACATAGCTAGGGACAACCAAGACGATACAGGATATTTAGAGACATTGGTGAAACTAACTGATTCAATTGAACTTATTGAAGAAAAGTGTAGGTAGTCACTCTGCATTGTCAGATGTTGGAAGATAGGCAGGGATGATCAGGACGCTTGGTCATGTGTGAAATAGCTGTTTAGCAACTCGCCTGAGATACAGATGGGAGTTCCTGCGTTTTGACCTAAAGGCCGCCCTGAGCTAGGAGAGTGAATATGAACGCTCTATTACAGAAATTAACTAAATATATTCAAGACAAGATAGCATACTTTGATACAGTAAATATCTTATTATCATTGCTGTTTTAAAAGTTGTTAACATCTATAAAATCAAGAGTGTTTATTGTCAGTGTGAATATACTAGTAACTTAAACGAAAACGGTTTGAAAACTGATCATAATTTGATCCAACATATCAACAGTTGAATACGAATATCAAGCTTTATTGCTTTGAATTTGTCAAAGGCAAACACACAAGAGTTCCTAGTGAACCACGGTGCCAACTGAAACCCAAAGACTCAGGGAAAAACTATATACGGAAGCATTCACCATAGTAGTATAAACCTGATTTTTCTAAAGAATTGGCACTCCTGTCACTGTCAAGAGCTAAGTCTTGAGCTAAGTCCAGATACCTTACTAGTCAAAATTCCTTAAAAAATATCCTGTCGACGTGGTCACAGAGGCAACGTAAAGACAGTCCAATCATTTAAATGTGATGTCGTATCATCCATCATTATTTTTATTTAATATTCTTTCGCTGTCATTAATCCCACACTATGTCCACAAATCTTGTTTAATTCAAAAGTCCTATTTTCTAAACACAAACATTAGAGCAAGATCAAACCAGTTTTCAATACATCATAAAAGACAGCCGCGCTTGCAGAGATTTACTGCACTTACGTCAATCGTCAAAATGACAATTTAACAGACCGTACGTGTCTATAATTCAGGTGTGACACAGCAAAAATGGATGAAAATTTGGATTAAAAAGTCTTCCCCCTTGATGTGGAGAAAAAACACATAAACTGAATGGTAAATCTGGTTTATTAGCTTATGAGTAAGTGTATGTTTATGAAAGAATGAAAAATTTTCTAATTTCTATCCCCAAATCAGTCACCAGCTTTCCTATGGCTATGGTATTTGAAAGTCGCCTAATCGTCATAAGAAACACTCCTCCTGCCTCCCCAAAAAACTTTGTGCCCTGCATGCGAGTATGTTTCCCGTGAAGAAGCATTTCTCTTTGATAAATAAAGGAGAAAGATAATTATTTCAGGCCTCGTTTTTCAGGTCATTTATTACGTTCTTTAGTGACATGTGATCAAGCAAAAAGGCAAGAAGTTTGTGCACGCTGCAAGCTAGTTTTCAGAACTCATTTATTATTAAGTATTTCTTCTATCTATCTATGAACAATAAGGTCTATTGCAAAAGCAAATTATGGGAATTGTGTCGCTGACAAAACCCCACATGATCGAGTACTTTTGTCAACATAGCTATTAGTAAAATTCATTTGCACCTCGCTTATTTTCTATGCATGAAAACGACTTCCTGAAACTTCGCATGGTGAGAATCCTTGCGCCAAATACATCTTGAGGAGATTTGCGTGTTTTACAAAGCCCAGCACCGCTGTTGAAATATCATTAAGCAGGCTATATATTAAATCCGTCATCGTTGTCAGATAGCTATAACACAAACACTGCAAGTGCATGTGTACAAAATTGAAAATCACTTTAGCAGCTGTGTGTGCTATTTCAGGAAGGTCAAACTTAATGAGTTTTATGTCAGTAGAAATGTGGTGTGAAGTTTAGTAAGATTACAGTAGATTATGTCAAGCAGATTGTGTCGTTGTTCTGAGTGACCTGACTTGAGTGTGTCTTGGCTGAACTTGTGAGTCCATTGCAGATCACTACTTTGCTGTATCATCAATTGAGGCAGAGGAAATTCTGCGAATTTTTTTCCCTTTATCATTCCTTAAAGCACAATTTAAACAAGAGTCTAGTGTGACATATTATCGAAAGATCTAGTGGAGCGTCGTCCAATAAAGGTATTGCCTTTATAAATGATCATTTTAATCTGTGTTTCCAATCTTAATAATGATAGGTAGACAGATAGAAAACGTAGGTGTCTTGAAGACTTTTATGGTGGTTTAAAATAAAAAAAATACAACTTAATCTTTCTTAGGAAGTCAGACTAATATCACATTTTATTAGGAAACCGTTCGCGAAGGTGAGCCTACATTAAAGACTGGCATTTTAAAGCCTTTTTTAAACAGCGCTGCATGAGTGGTATAAATGATCGTTCAGGATATATTTAATTGCACGATTTATTGCGGGACCCATTTCCTTTATTCCATTCCCATACAGCTTTTGACGTAAATTTCCTATTACGCATGATAACACATCCATTTCCATTGCTCATAAAGAACAGGAAATAATATCTATGTCAAGAACAACGACTTAGAGGCTGACCGACCTATAGGAAGCCATTTCTTTAATACAAGGGAAACATCATTTAAGAGATCATTAGAGTCTAATATACGCTGACGTATGCTGACGAAAAATGGACTAAATTTATACAACAATTTAGATGACAAGTATCCATAATTATTTCTTTATACATATTTATTACTCTGTATGAGTTGCTCAAACAGTATGCCAGCAATTTACGCTATCTTTTCAGGTGATATATTCGGCGTCTCTTAGACAGGCTGTCTTGAGTGTCTTCTCAATTTTAAATTTACAAAACGTAAAAAAATGTGATTATCTTTGGCAAAACGGTTATGAGAGATCTGATGTTTGCATGCTGTGAAATGTGAATTGAATGGTATCAGTCTGCATGATGCTAGCTTAGGTTGGATCAGAATTGCCTCACCAACACTAAACGACCTTTTGAGAAAGTTATATATCAGTTACATATCATAGCATATGTCCGGATATCACCTGTAGTTCTCGTTATAAAGCATGTCCAAGTTTATTAACTAATGGGCTGCATGTCATTCGTGTTTGCTTTCCCTAGTTGGAAGACAATTTCTAACGACAGTTCAAAATTAAGAAACGTAAATGAACGTGTGATGACTGGCAGATTAATGATGGACTATCTAAATAACGCGGCGGAACATTTGGAAAGGATATGAAATAGAACACACACGGATATAAACATCTTTAGGACATCATTTAGAACAAGTTTAATTGAACTGCCTCGCAAATTAAAGCCAATTAGAAGAAATCTTAATTACAATAGTCAACCGCGACGAGCTTCGCAATATTTTCGCCCTTTAATTAATATATTTTTCAATCATCAAATCCGTCTAATTAAAAAAGCGTTGAAAGAGTTATCAAAGACTTCATTGGACTTCACGTTAAAACTAGTAGGTTGTAAAAACTTGATCGAACAGCAACGGAAGGTATGCAAAAGAACTTCGTTTCGCAAAAATGCCCGTTTGCAATTCACGATGTTTTCATTGAATTTAACAAAAGTATAAATGTTCAAACAGTTGAGGTTCTGAGTGGTAAAAACAAGCCGTTTTTCTTTTATTTATAGGCCAAGTAAGCGACAGAGGGAATAAGACTTTGGCTACAATAGCAATATCAATGGCAACGGATAATCAAACGTTGGTAAACTCAAGTTCTGGGATTCCACCACGGGAGGGCGTGACAACAGCAGTTGAATTCACGAGTGATCGTATCTTAACCATTCTCACGTTGAGCCTCTTCATTCCCTGTATCATAGCTGGAAATAGCTTGGTCATTGCCGCCGTTCTTCGATTTCGTCCACTTCGAACCGTAACCAACGTTTTTGTCACATCGCTTGCCGTGACCGATGCTCTCGTGGGCATGCTATGCCTGCCTATTTACATGGCGTACATGATCAAAGGACACGTTTGGTTTCATTTCAACCATCCAGATCTACAACAAGCATGGAAAGGCATCGATCAAATAACTGGAGTGACATTGATTGTGCACCTCATGGGGATCAGCATCGATCGTTACACCTGCATCCATTATCCATTCACGTATCGCAAAATCATGTCGTCAAGAAAGAGTGGGATTATGATTGCGTTTGGCTGGGTGTATGGTATCCTTTTCTACGCCTTGAGGTTCATTTCGAGCCTGGATCCGACAACAAGAACTCTCGTGGTTACCGTCTTGGGATACCTGGTTCCGTTGTGCGTAACCATAGCAGCATACGTCAGCATAGCACGCGTGGCGGGAAAACAAGTTCGCCGGATTAAAGGACTTCAGAATCACAACAAAAGCACTCTTGCATCTTTCATCAAGGAAGTGAAGGCCGCGGGAGTTCTAGCTGGTGTAGTGTGCGCGTTCATCTTGTGTTGGTCCGGGACGTTTATCATGAACTTGAAGTTCGCCATTTGTCGTCGTTGCTCGGGCTGCGACTGCGCATTACCGACGTTTAAGGTGATCAACGCAGTAAAGATGCTACAGTACAGCAGTAGCTTGCTGGACCCGTTAATATACGCATCGTTGAATAAAGATTTTCGCAAAGCTATCAAGAAGATCGTGTGCGGGCGATCTCGAAGCAGCGGCCGGTTAATGAGCGGTACAAGCAGCGTAAACACACGAAGCATGAGGTTTACCCAGGATTCTGCCAGTTATGAAGAAATGAAGATGCAGGAAAAAACTAGCTAATGTTGAATTTAGTTCCGCTTAAGCCCCAGTAAGATAGATAATAAGTTATGCACTTGTTAAATAACTTGAATTCACTCTTCATTCTAGAACTAAATAGAGCATTTGACGGTAAAACGTAAAGTATTTAGTCTTGTTCAACTAACGTTTAAATTTGTGTTTCATTTGTGTTTATCAAAGTAAAGATAACGTGTTGTGATACATTTGACTGCTTGGTAAGTTTATCTTGCGGCAGCCTATAAAGCGTAAATGACGGGAGCCTAGTTCACAGCAAAAACTTTTTGAATGATATTATGAGTAAATGAAATTATTTCCCACGGATTTCATGCTCATTAAAAATAACTGATACTCTACATTATATACAACTGTACATCGCGTGTGAAAACAATCAACAATCACCGTCCGGGTGATGTAGTGAGGTCAGTGGTGACGTAGTGACATTAGTAGATGATGTAATGACGTCATTATGTTTGGTCAACATCCAGGGTAAGATCTACTGTCGTGATGGTGGTTTTAGTCGAGTTACACCCTCGTAACCCCGCCATATAACGAGATGGTTTAGGAACGCTTGTCGATTTCTCGCGTTTTGTTTGCGTTTCGCTGTCCCTAGACACGTGGGGGAGTCTGTTTAGTTGCAATAAGGACTGTGGGGGAGTGGGGGAGAGGTGATAAGGACTGTGGGGGGTGGGGGGAGGTGATAGCAAGGCCATCGAGATCTGGAGTACCAGATCATCACCACACAGGGGTGAAATGCAATGTCAGAGGTGAAAAAGAAGACATTCAGGTTAGCTGTATGGGAATAAATAATGATAGTATTGCTTACTTTGGTAGATAAACTTGTGTTGTTTTATCTCCCTTGTAATTGCTTAAATCTGTTTGCATTGAATGAGTAACTCTCGTCCTCAAGTTCGCCTGAAAATGATTGTCATATTCAAGATATTCTAATAACACAAGCTCGCCGTGGTGAGCGCACGTCGATGATACAGGTTTATGATGGTCGAATGTATCGAGGTTTTAGGTATACTCGACCTGGCTGATATCAGGGTCTAATATACCAATGTATGGTATACTCGACAACCAGGCTAATTAATCATGGTCCAATATACCAGCTTGTGGTATACTTAACCGTGGTAATCATTGTCCAATATACCAGCTTATGGTATACTAAGGGGCTGTTTACATGAGCCCGGTTACCCGAGATTCAACGAAGCGTGAGAGGACTTTGAGGTATTGAAATGAGCAGATAACATGATCCTGGCAGTCGTATAATCACCACAACAATAGAATGCGCTTGTTTGGTGTCATAAAGACTTATTTCAATACCTCAAAGTCCTCTCACGCTTCGTTGAATCTCGGGTAACCGGGCTCATGTAAACAGCCCCTTAACCGTGGTAAAATATACTAGTTTATAGTATACTCGACCTAGTTAATCAGGGTCGAATACAGCTATCAGTTTATGGTATTCTCGATCAGGCTAATCGGGGCAATAGAGAGAACAGACGCGGGCGATAGAGTTTCCAATGAACAGTTACAAAATAAAGCCTTACCAATTTAATAGCTTTTCTTCTTAGCTCCCATTCGTTCCATTCGTAAGATTTGACAATATTCGACTCTAAGAAGTGAGTATCGGTCTGGGTACCACTGTCGCATTTCGTGATAGGAGCTTCCGTGTACCTCCCGGAATCCTGCTCCTGGCGGAGATAAATACCCCCGGGTCACGATAAAGATGCGTTAAAGGAAGATTACTTTACCTTATACCTTATGACCTTGAATAAACGCCCCTCTCTGATAAACGCCCCTCTCGAATAAACGCCTCACTCTAATAAACGCCTCATTTTAATAAACGCCTCTCCCTAACGAACGCCCATACTTGTCTCTGAATAACCTCTCTCCTAGTTGTAATTAAACGGTTTTATAACGTTGACACTAACTTGATACGGAGTGATGGCTGCAAACTGCGCGTGAAGTTCCAACAGTTGAATTAATTCTGGTGACTTCTTCGCCGCCGATGCCACGTCAGCAATATACCTGAGAAAAAAAAGACGAATGTCAACTGACCGCCCGGTCCAAACAAACTACTGGACTGATATATATTCACAGTTCCAATCGCTATTTACGGAATACCATTGTTTTTTGTTCAATGCAAACTTTATATATACCAACCTTTCAGGCTCCTCCATAAATTGATACGAAGCATCTTTGGTAGAGAACGCGTAATAATTGTTGCTGTACAGCACCACTCCAATAGCAGGATTGGAGGGCAAAATAAAACTCTTGTCACTCACCAGGGACCAGGCACAAAAGCCCTTTAAAAGGATAATACATATTGTATGACTCTAGGCTTTGCTAAATCCTAAGCGATTACTAAAACAGTATAAAAGCACTTGTATTTCTTACCCTATACAAGATGGGCAAACGATCAAAATTCTTCGTTGTTTCCGGATATAAAACTTCAAAATCATCGTGATCAATATTCTGAGGATTAATGCGACTGTTTGCATCATTTGTCTACAGGAGGGGAGAGTCAACATTGTGTCGAGCTTTAGGGCGTGTTCTTAGAGTCATATCTTGACCATAGCGGGTGTACGTTACCTCCATTAAACGATCATTATCAGTCTTCACATTAATCCCTTCTAAGAGCCTCTCAAGAATCTCATCTGGAAATAGCTCCCAGATAACCTAGAACGATAAACCCGAGTTTTGAAAATTTTTGCGACACACAAGGACATGCATGCATGCTATCCGAGAGATGTATTAAGACCTCAAAAAATTCCAAAAGAAAACATCATCACCTTGCTGAAAGGTCCCAAGCTGCTCTGGATATTACTGAGGACACTTAGTAAAACCATCTCGTCTTGAAAACCATTCCATATATGCGACAGGTTTATAAATTGAGGCTACACGCCATGAAAAAGGAGAAATTCAGAGAGAGGGTATAGCATCATTATCAGGGAAAATCGTGAAAACGAAAAATTAAGGCACGCCATATTTCTTTCCTTACATAAACTTGTGCCGTTGGAACGGCAGTTTTTGATTGCACTGTACTTCGGAGACTCTCCATTCTTGCTTTGAATTGAATTTCCAGTGCTTCTGTTTGTCTCGCACAATCGACAACATCGTGCTTTGAAATAATTTTTTAAATTCGCTTTAGAAGTTATAACTATAGTGGTTCAGCAACCACGCGTACAATTCATAAACTAAGTCATAACAGCCTTACCAAAATCACACTTAAAAATGTTTCCAATTGCCTTAAATTCATGAGACATTCTTTCAACAACATCAGAGAAACGTCTTCAGGCAAGCGACCCGGATTTGACAAGAAATGCTCAACTATGGCTGAAAGACGACGTTGTTTAGTCAGTCATTTTGAGGATAATGATCAAAAATGATCGGAGGAAACGATGGAACTGTACCTGTGAATTTGAACGCCATTTCAAGCGTTGTATCAATCTCATTTTGAACTTTGTTGCTCGTGGATGGCATTGCCTCGGCTAAGATTGCTGGCACTTTTAAATGATATATTTTTCGTTCATTAACAGGATTAGTTAACTATTTTGGTATTTTTTTGAAGAAAAAACTCTTGAACTTACAGTCATCAATGCCATCTCCTCCCTTGCCACATTCTCTGTTGAACAGCCGGATTCCAGAGACGATCTGGGTGAGTTCTTGGAGCTGTTTCTCTTTGTCTCGTTTACTCAGAGACATGAATGTCCCAAGTTCCGTGTGAGGGAAAACGCTTTGCAGCGCAGCTGAAATTTGAGGGCTGGTAGTTTAGGCAGAGTTAAGGGGCAAGAATATTTTTACTCTTATACAGAAAATTGGAGTGTAAGGAAGGATAAACAGATGGTTATTAAAGAGAGCCAATTACCTGTCGCTTCCCTTACAACTGCAATATCCGTAGGAGAGCCAAGCCCGGATCTCAACAATACGCACGAAACAATCTTTCTATACAAGCCTAAGCATTTAACCAGAAATTGGATTGAATTTAGCGAAAATTATATGAAATATCTACTCAATTCTTCTACATTGAAATATCCTGAACCCCTCACCTTCGAGTTCATCTCTATTTCTTGCTCTACTGTCCGTTATTTCGCGCACAACTGGACTTAACCTTGACTCAAGAACTCTCCGATGTTCTTCCAGAAAATCAGCTGGAAAAAAGTGAATTAAAAATTGGGTTTGATATTAAAATGAAGAACTGTAATCCTGTTGGAAAAAGCAACTCATGCAAATAGGTATTCACCTCGGCTGGTGTAGTTCATGTCGAAGTAGACCTGCATCTTGACAGTGGCCAGAGACGCTGACTGGTTGTCCAATAGTCTTGAAACACAAAGCTGAAGAAAATTACAGCAGAATACGTTTATTCAAAGACTAGCAATGTGTTCAGTGGCATCCAACAGTAGCAACTTCACCACAAAGGTCTCCGTTATACTAGGAATGAGTGACTGGAATTGTACGAAGTATCCACACCTTAATAAGTTTTTCAACATCATCCTTTGTTAATGTTCTATCAACATTAAAGCCATTAGTGGGATCCAGGACAACTGCTTTCACCTGAATAATAACAATGCATAAAACAATAATAACAACTGATATTCAATTTAATATATAAATCATAACAAGTAAACACTCTTAATACCATGAATGCGACCAATGTTTCCGAGACAGCTTGACCTCTTCCTGCACATTCCTGTGCAATTTCACGAATGATATTCTTTATAACACTTTCTGCCTGCGTCTTAGACATGATCCAGCGTTATAACATGCAAAATTCGTACAAAATGTATTGGGAAGCTAATACTTGAGCAAAAAAATAGCGGCCATATTGCTAGTTTATGTCAATCGCTATGGCAACAAGGCTGAGCAAGAAGAAGAGCTGGTGACGAACGCTGGAATCAACCAATCAGCGTGCGCCAATTGTTGCACCGAATTCGTCACCGCTTTCGCGAAACAAACATGGCGGACTGGTGTTTGAAAAAATACGCATTCTTCACTGTTTTTAGCCTAAAATAAGGACTTGAAGAACAGGAAAACAATACTGCGTATCACTTATGTTGTACGTCTACGCAAGGAAGCAAAGCTTTAGCCAAATCACAGCTTGCATACGTTAACTTTCAAAGTTAATCTCTGGCCAGGAGTGAAACAGAACGTAGACTGGATAAAAATCTGCACGGATTTTCTCTTTAATGGCAGGGGTAACTGACTTTGGCAATAAAACATCAGAGATCCAAGAGGGAGATTTAAAAGAGCAAGATAGTGAGAATGATTCTGTTTCTGAAAAAACACTATCTGTGGATAAATCAACAAATATACAAAATACAGACAAGTGTTTGTTAAATGAAGATACGCTTGGCAATTCACTTACTGCTGGAGAAGAAACTGTGACTTGTAATGATACTATGAAATCTTTTGATGCACCAACAGGATCCAATCCCACCGAGGGCAATGGGATGGAATCTTCTCACACTTCAGTAAATGAAGTCAATAGTTCAGACATTAATAATGAACCTACAAACTCTGTTCCAACTTATACTGGGTCCCATAAAAAGATTCGAAAGAGGCATGTTGTATGTATGGAAACATCAAAACAACCATCATCTGAGCAAGAATTTGTAATCCATCATGAACACTGTGAAAACATTGATTTGTGCGATGATGATGCCAAGGGTGATCTCCATGGAATTACTGATGTGGGTGATCATGAGGTTATTGATTCATCCAAATACTTACCCCAAAACAGCAGGAAAGGTTTGTATGTTTGTAATAGGGTGAAATGGTATACCATTGAGTTTTCAATAGTTTTTGAGAACTAATAAGTAAATCACCACCTAAACAGCCATTGTAATAAATTAATAGTCCATTACATATTGGTTCATATTCCAATGTTTTGTAACAAAAGGAAAATAATTGTTTAGATTTCTCTCTGTTTCATTATCTGAGAGTTGAGATGACAAGAGGTTATCTCTTTGAGGAGCAAGAAGAGAAATACATTGATCAACGAGAAAAAGTATATACATTCATGAAAACACCACGTGAACTGGAGAAGGTATTATTGGCAGCAGCAAGAGATATGCGAGATGAGGAGAAGACAATTGTCTGTATGACTACTCACATTCATTTCACCTTTTCTAGTTGATGTGGTTTGGTTTTCTCCTATGCCTGGATTGCTTCTTATTTGTTTTCACATATCTTCCTGTACGAGTTCTGCTTGCTGTATTAAAACTTCTTGGAAATGTCATCTGCCTTAAATTTCTTAGACGTGGGTGAGCAAGCACAATTTAATCCTTTTTACAATGTGTGACTCCAGGTTCCAACCTATGGTTCCTCTTCATGCACTTCAAACAACTAAATAAAGTTTGAGTCCAAACGACTGAAAGTTTGAGTCTGAACTACAGAATACTCCGTTTCATTTGTTTAGGTTTTCCTTGCTGGAATCTCATCAAATATGTGATTTGCTACGAGGTTAGCCTCACTAATTTGATAAACCAAACGTTTCTTTTCTTCTCAACTGTTCTTTCATGAATTCCAGGTCTTATTCTTCTTGCCTGCTGCGCTGCAATGAACTGTCTTGATCTGTCAATCTTGTACCATATCGTTCGCGGACAATCCGTCATCAAATTGTACGTTATTTATAACATGCTTGATGTAAGTAGCTGTGAAATGCATTTCCTTAGTCTTAGGTGTAACTGAAAACTGAAATCTCAAAACAAAGTTTCTTATTTCAGATTGCAGATAGATTATTTTCATCGATTGGTCAGGATACACTGGATACTCTATTTTGGACTGCAGCTGAACGCAGACATAAACGAAGTCTTGTAACGATTTTATTACATTTTGGGCTAGCTTCCGTATATGTGTGTATCCTTTGGAAATATAATAGTAAAGATATCAAACTCTGCCACTGATAAAATGGACGAACACTTTCATTAGATGAAAAAAAAAGCTTCGGAAAATTCTCTTCTCTGAGTTCTCTGTCCCAATTCTCCACGTTCTTCGACCTATGGTTCAATGAATCCACGAATTTAATCCTTGAGATTAGTTTAGGATTGAGTCTTAGATTAGTTTTATGATTGATTAGAGTTAACTCTAATCCTAAATCGAACACTAATAAACATGGATTATTACCAAAATGACGCCGAAATATTCTGGCGACGATGTCTCACTATAATATTATAACGCTACACTCATAATATTCATTTACTATCTTCCTTGATGGTATGGCAGTTCTACACGCTGTGCTAGTGCTTTTCCAAGCTATCACTTTAAACGTGGCAATTAATTCTCACAATAAAGTTCTTATGGTCGTCATGGTATCCAACCAGGTGGGAAATATTTTGCGCTGAAATATTTTTTGAGCGCGCAAACACTAAGAGCACTTTATCTTTACAGTTTGTGGAATTAAAAGGCTGCGTGTTCAAGAAATTTGAGAAAAATAATCTGTTTCAAATGTCCTGTGCAGGTGAAGTATTCCACTAGTCTCGTTGTTTGTCATTTCCGCTGAACAGTTTGTGTTTGAAAATTTCACTATCTAAAGTTTTTTTTAACTAGACATCAGGGAAAGATTTTACTATGTTGTCTTAGTCTCACTGGTGGCTCTAAGAAACATGCATGAACTTCAGTGGAACCTAGGTGAGATATTGTGTGCATTGTGGATACCATGTGATGATACCTGATAACGAAGGCATCTATTCCTAAATATCCCTCTATTTCTAGATCACTTGTACGAGTTAATACCATCGCTTGCATTGCTGCTTTCTTCCGAAATGTTTGTTGACTGGATCAAACATGCTTTCATTACAAAATTTAACTGCATTTCAAGCGAGGTATGTCACTTGCGCATATGGTTATGTCCCAGGCCTTTGCCACAATATTTCGCGCTCTGTCATAAGTGTCATGCGCAATAATAACCTTACATTGCTTCGAAATGAAATAATCAAGTCATCCTAATCTTCAAGGTTTATCGCGAGTATAGAGCTCTACTTTCACTGGATGCTACAACAAGCAGACTTTTTGGTCAGCGGGTAGGTCCAGTATCACAGCTTGCGTGATTTTTCGGTGAGAAATTTCATTCATGAGACTCGTTTTATTCGTCTAGGCACGTTCTGATCATTTTGATTTGGTCTCCCGACGACTCGGGTTCATTCCTCTGCCCTTGGGTTGCGTGGTAAGCGAGAACGCGAAGGGGAATGGGCACTAAAGGGGTTATTTTTTTGGAAACACCAATGAACTTGTAGATAATCTTCTTTTACTGCTTGTTTTTCACGTCAGGTGTACCGTGTGACCAGTCAATCTGTGCAAATTTCTGGTACCGCCGCCGGAATTGTTGTCCTGGTACTAGTTTATTTATGGTAGGCACTGATCTAAAATACAACTGGATAACGCATTCCTTTGTCGCCGCGAATATTAAATGAGCCGCCATGTTGGGAGTGGTTTTGATTGGCAGGCATGGTCACTGATCTATATATAGTCCAGTACACAATGTATTTTCAACCGTATTTAATCCGCCTTTAGGTTAACCTCCGTGAAAATCCTCAACAGCATCGTCCTCTTGGGATTATCAAGTCATTACGTCATGAATAAGACGACGAATAACGACGAAACCAAGCCATATATGGACAGTAGTCCCAGTCCCTCAGACCTGCAACTTCCGGTCGCAGATCCACTGGACAGAGACCAGCGGTTTGCGAACAAGACAACGAAAACTCGACAAGTCAAGGCTCTGAATGAAATAGACCGTTATACTTTATGTAGCAATAGGATTGTTTGAAGTTGAAACAGAAGAATATTCGCTGTTATGTTTCCACCTCAACCGTATCGTAGCGTATCTCATTGTTTTAAAGTCATTAGTTCTGTTCGAAACTTCGGATACGCTACGTTACGATACGGTTGAAGTGGAAAACAAGCCTTAGTCCAAGGATCCCGACTCGAAATAGCTTTGCCTTCTTAGAAAGAATTCATCGCCGAATTTACTTGCAGGAAGAGAAGATGGGACAACAAAAGACAAAATTTTCTAATTATACTAATTGTTTACTCAGCTGCGAAGCTGTTTAATTCAAGCTCTTCTGATGATTGTCAGTTAGTTATTTAAGACAACTATTTATAAATGATCATGAATAGCATTATCAAAAATAGTTTCACACAAGTGTACTCTGTAAGTCTCTGTTAATAATGCTTTGCATTGGTGACTGAAGTTTCCCTCAAGTTCGGACTGGTCATGGAGTCCTCCTACCTTCAGATGCGACTTGGCTGATCATAACTGCCATCTTCTTCTGTCATGATTTTGGTTTAGCCGACCTCGCGAATTGCTGGATGAAAGAGAATATGTGCAGAACGTCAGCTTGCAATATTTTTTACATCATTCAAATGCAAATGTTGCAGTATTCAACTTACAACGACAAGTGGTTTTCCAAACAAAAGATATCGATGAGTCTCTTGTAACGCTTTCTCCGCCGATTTCTCGTTTGCAAAACTTACAAAAGCCTGTCCCTTCATTCGACCTTCTTTCATTAGACGAACGTCAAAACTAAACAAGTTAAGACAAGTAATTCACTTGCAGAAAAAGTGCTTGAAAAGCTTTCTCTATAGCAGGAAGGATTACGGATTTCATAATTCAGGGATTATAAGTGTTATACGTAAAACTAACAGAACTGGAAAAATAGAGATTACCCAAGTTTACTTTCTTCGGAGTCCTGATTGATAAATCGACCGAACACATGACGTAAATCCTAGAATAATATTTCACAGACATTAACCAAATATTGGTCTAAAAGCGCGGATTTTTTAGTTAATATTTCTTTATGTGAATGGCCCGAACCGGATTTTAAGGCGCACGTTTGGATTAACAGACTACGGCACGAAATAAGGTATCCAGACAACTAGAATAGCTTAAAAGCTAGCATTATCCGATTAAAGTTCACGAAATATTTTCGTCAAGACATGACGTTTGTCATAGCCAACGTTCAAATGATGGAGCGACAGTCTAGCAACACAAAAATGCGAGTTTAAGTTGTGTTCGTGACAAGGAATTATTCGTTGCTTTAGGTTGTGTTATAATATAAATTCCTCTTTCTAAGAATGGTGCTAAAAAAACATAAAAAGTTTTTTATTGTGTGAGAAACCAGTGTTTGGGAAGTACCTTGACTTCGACTTGTTTTGCGACGTTTTTTACGTAAAGGCGACACGTTGGTTCACCGCAAGAGTAGTTCTTGAACGCTGATAGAGATTTCATTTCTAGACAAAAATAATCCTGACATTGATAAGAGGGATGATTTAACCCAGGAGGTCATATGGTGAGTGAAATCACACACACACACGAAGACCAGCAGGGCGCGGGACATGATGAACTATATGAAAGCATATATCTACCTTCTCTGCTTATTTTGTTTTTCCTCAGCTCGTGAAGAGAGATAAATTCCCCGGTCTCTTCCTCCGTTTCATCCTCAAGATCGCTATCTTGAATTTCATCATCTTGTGTCGATGGCGCGAATTTACCGAATCCTGAAGGTGCTTCGTCGTATCCTAAAAACACCACCGCCGGTAAACTCAACATTGTTGAATAGAAAACTCAACTTCTCTCAAAGAAAACCTTTCTGTATTTCAATCAAGTTTCAGCTAGCTTACAACAAAATCAACCCTGAGCATTTGATTAGTTTGCACAGTAACATTCAAACACTCATGCAAATCTTGCTCTCGTTTGACTAAGACAGAAAAACAGATGGAAATCTTAAGCAAGCTCCGATCAAGCTCTGGAAAACAGGAAGACAAAGGCGACTTCCCCACGCACTTGTATCCCATGCCGGTAAAAATTTCTACCTTTCTTTTTCTCATCATCGTTGGCAACAATCATCTGGGGTCCAGCCTCAAATATCGCTGATATTGTATCAGCCAGTTTCATTCCAATTTTGTTTGGCTGTTGAGGCTTCCCGACTGCTTGTTCAAACACAGATTGTACAGCGTGGGGCTTGGAGGTGGAGAGTTTTGGTTGGTTTGGGTGAAGGAGTTGACTTGCTTGCACACGAAGTCGTTTTTGCTTTGGTTTCTTTCCAGTCGACGGTCTCTTGCGTGCCTCGTGGATGGCACTGAAATAAAAACGAATTGTTGCGGTTAACCCCGCAGACGGGGAAGCCATGCAAATGACACATTGAAGTAATTCTCCTCATACCGTGTGGTTTCATTATCGCTTTCAAGCTCGGATTCTTCGCTTGAGCTCACATTTTCCTCAGTCTGCGTCTCACCTGGCTGGCAAAGAAAAGCTTGCAATATTTCGAGGTGACATCCTCGGAAATCCTGTTGGTCAAGGCCGGTTGTTGTTTGAAAGATGGATAAAGCAATCCAACTTTGTCCACCTTTCGAAAAACCGGGCCCCAGCACTGAGCATTCGCGTGTGCTGTGAAATTTCTGTTTGTCTATCAATTACTTACAAATGGCGGCGTTGGTGTTTGAAAACCAAAGGGTGCAGGAAGATTTAGCCTGTTCATTAGATGCAAGGCCTGGAGGATTAAAACGATAGTAAATATGTAATAAATAAAGAATCTTGAACTGAAACAAAAGAAATAAAAGCATCTTCTATGTCTCTCCAACACTTCTCTTACCTGAACATAAAATTTTGGGACACAGATGAGAGCATTTGCAATGTTTGTTATGATGGTGGGACTTGGAGGAGGATATACATAGTGGAGATACGGATTTCTGCCGTGGTTAAGACTGAAATGAAATAATTTGATTATCCAACTAACAGAAAATATCTTCAATTGATGAATTTTGCAATTGCTGTTTTTACCCAAACTTTGAGCTGACTTTATCGACTTTATCATAGTTCACATTTTCATCTGAAATTTTAGGAATTTTTTCCTTTTCTTCCTCCAATGGTTCTAGTTCGTCTTCAGCTTCGACATCTTCATGTCTTGGAGATAGCCTGAGTGTTAACAAAATGATTTTAGAAACCAACTCTGTGTGTGTCTGCAACTGGTCATGAGCTGTGTCAACTCTTGTGTAATTGTTTAAAAGCTATGTTTTTTTCTTTTTTTATAATTGAAGTTATTGAAAAGGCCAGCAACAGGACTCTGGTTCAACTCCTATGGAATTCTGTAATCTTCTATACCTTACAGTTCAGTCAGTTCTATAATCTCATTTGATATATTAAACATTGTACCTTGTCCTTTCCTGACCTGCCAAATGTTTGTGCTGAGCTTTTGCAAATTCAACCACAAGTCTCTGTCCAAGTACTTCAAGCTGGTGGAGTCGAGCAAGGGCCTGGAATAAAACCCTGAGGTTAAAATTGACAGAAAATTATTTGGGGTCTGAATTTAGGCTGGTAATCTATCAGCATTGGCAGCCAGAGTGCAAACCTTTTGTCACATAAGAATAGCAAAAAAATGAGATATGGTGTGAGTGTTTTGGAAAGTGAAAATGTTTGATTTGAAACTGAGATTCAGAGCAGACATTAAATGCAGCATGCAAATTTAAGTACCTTGCCAATCAAATGCTCCTCAAGTTCAAGAAATTGTAGAATATCTCTGGTTTTTATTGTCAACAGATTTTAAGTATCAACTAACAATTTAATAATTATACGGTTTGAAAACCACTTTATCGACCCCTAAATCTTTACAACTGCTATTGTAATAAAATTCTCATATTTATTCATGCATATAATGTTACATGATTAATAAAGTATGATTGATAATTTCAACCATCAATCATCGCTTGCTTGTGTCAGGAATGAAAAACAGGAAATACTACTTGAGTCCATTAAATCAAAGACAATAAATTATATCTGCTCATATCACTTTCCTACCAGCAGGGGGGGTAGTAGAATCCCTACTTAGAGCCGGGGGGGGACGTAGGGGGACGTTTAAACACATGTTTGAATGTTTTCTATACAAAACGTTTTTTACTATCCAATAATACCTGTTTTGCCGATGAAGAGTCTACAAACGTTGCATATGCTGAATTGCGCTTAAAATAAACAATAAAATTGAGTTACTATGGGTTTGGACTCATAATTTTCAAATGTTTATATTAAGTAAATATTGGACAGTATTTACTACAAATATCTGGAATGTTTTACCATTTTTCCTCTAGATCCCATGCAGACAACATCGGTAGCACCAAAATACTGTAAAAAAGACTCTTTATCGCCATCTGCGAACTGTTTTGGGAGATTTTTCACCAACAATTCCGCAGTTGCATCCCCATGTGTGAGCGCCATTTTGTATACGGGGTTATTTCCCCTACCGGAATAAAGTGCCCTCAGGTGAACGAGAGAGGGGCAGAGAATTTTTGTAGTTCCCAAAATGATACCATATGTGCGCACCAAGCCTTGCACGCGCAGGCCTGTATGGTCCAAACATGACGTACAAATTAGCGAGTCGTTTAAGTACAATCAAACAAATACGATTTCTTCTCAAAGTGATTAAAATGCATTGCGTTAGTATTGTTTTCTTATAAAGACCAATGCAGTTTAGCAGACAACAGCTGTGGCAGACGCAACTGCTATTACTCTTAAGTTTATAGCGCCAATTACCGTTTATCAAAGAAGAACTCAAGCCACAATATAACATAAAAATTCAGCAGACAACACAAATTATATTCATGCATTTTATTATATTCGCACATGCGACAACTACGCGCAACAATCTACTCAAGTCATGAATGCTCCATGTCTTTGACCTTTTTATTTATTAATTTCTTATTATATATTCAGATAACGGACAAAGAACTTTCCGTTGCATTTTAGCAATTAATATTTAAAATTATATTGCTTGCAAATTCAAAATATTGCTCGGCAAATTTTGCGTTTTGCTTTATCCCTTTTGGAAGCGAACGCAAGCATTAAAATTTAGGACCAGGACTCGTTTGAACGAAATTTTCCTTCGGTCCCTCCTAAATTCTGAAGAGGATTAACATTAAAAAATGTCTATTATAAACTTGATAATTTGAACGTGTATAATGATCAAAGAGTAAAGAGCGTCGATATATTCTACTCGTTATTAAAGTCTCGAGCAATGCCAAAATAGGCAATGTTTACAAATGCGTTTTATAACCCCCCGAATTCTCATCCGTCTATTTTTCCCGCAAAAAAAGTTCATACAATACAAACATTCGTAGACAAATTACCCACTTCCGTTTCGTGCAAGGACGCACTATTATAAGCTATAGATATCGCAAATGTTTACCAAATAAAAGAGCCCCCGACCAGGCAGACGCGACGAAGCACAAAATTTCACGCACGAACCGTTTACTCAAGCAGAGTTGCAACCGCACGATTATCCACCAACATATTTTCCTCTGGGAAATGTCTTTTACAAAACCAAAGGGTATTAGTAATACGATACAAATGACATCATATTATTGTTGCTGGCAGGATCTTTCAACAAATAGCATTTTGATCTCAAGTTAAAGGGACAATGTATATATGCAGACATTCTATGAAAACGTAAAGATTTATGCCCACGATCTTCAAACGATAATTCAATAAAAACATCTGCAAGCAGCCCACATCAAAACACAAAATTACTGGCAGAGTTTTTTCTAACTGATAAGGTCTTGACTGTGCCTAATGCTTTAATTCAATAACTAGGCAAAGATACATTTGTCGCTATAAACCTCAACGAAATTCGTGTATCTAACGGTGGTCTGTATTATTTGCCGTTTCATGTCATTGTGGTTTTGAGATGACAACGAAATTGCAGTAACGCGCAAAGCAAACAAGCTAAACAAATACAGTGTGGTGCCTTTATCAAATTCCAATCGACTGAAAAGTATCAAGTATTTCAACGACGTGGACAAAGAGTTTTTAAAAACATTTACAAGAACTATAAAGGGCCGGATTTCGGTATGACGATCATATGACAGACGCAAGGAACACCAGCCAACACGAGCGCAACAGCGCAAACAAAAGGTACATTTAGGAGGGAAAATTATCGCACGAGTCCGCTAAAGAAAACAATAATTAAATTGCCACACCTTTTAAACGTACATGCTTATTTTCTTAGTTTTTTACACCGAGCAGCTGCGTTGAAAAGAGACCGCGTATTTGAAATCATATTTTGAGTGGGAAATTTGTGAAACGGAAGCGGACGAGCCCTATTACAGATGCATGCCAAATACACGATGCCGAACAACAAAATTGTATTAAATCTCTATATTAAACAGCCTGTAAATGAGGCAAAATGAATACTAGCTTACACTTTATACGAGTTTTATCTTTTGTGGAAAAGTTGCACATTATAATATACCTAACTATGTTTTTGTTATGAAATGAATATCGTGTTTCTGAGCGCGCCCCCCTACGTCTCTTATACTCTCCCATTGAATTGGAAAAATCATATATAAATATCCACAAATTTTTATGGGGACGTCCATCACACGAGCGAGCAGAAAGATGTCTAAATCTGCTTAAAGTTATGTCATTTATGTGTTCATGGATTGATTGTAGTCCATTATCACAGTCTATACACAGGATATCATGTCTTGTTGTATTTTGACCATTGTTTACTCCGCACCTTTCTCACCTTCGTCTGGAGCTTTAGTTTCCTCTGGTTTGGCCGTTTCGTCTGATGTTGCTGTTTCCTCTGGTTTCTGTTCTTCGTCTTTCTTTTCCGCGGCTTCGTCTTTCTTTTCCTCGCTCTCGTCTTTCTTGTCGTCGCTGGCTTCGCCTTCTGCCTCGGCTTCGCCGTTTACTTTTGGGCTCTCAGATGTCTCGCCATTCTCCTTTGTTTCGCCTGCATCTTTCGTCTCCTCGCTCGGACTCGTTGGTTCCGATTTCTCGCCTTCTTCTTTTGCCGGTTTCTTCGATTTTTTATTCCCGCGGAAACTGAGGCGCTTCACGAGCGATGCTTTGGGTTTCTCCTGGAACTTCTCCGCGCCACAAATCTCGTCCCAATCCGACCAAAATTTCTCTTTCATTCGCTCGTTGAAATCGTGCAGATTCGTCAGCTTCTCTCGGATCAAATTCTGCTGCGGGGAACCAACTGTGCCGTAGTCAAAGTTACCAAGCAAGCCGAACGCCACGGCGTCGAAACTCGAAGGTTGGTCACCTAAGAAGAAAGGTTTCTCCCCCAGGAAGGCTGAAAGGGCTTTCAGGTCTTGCTCAGCGATATTGTACAGCTCTTCGCGGTTATGACGACCGATAACATGGCTTTCGATGGACTTCTTACACTTATTTTGGAACATTTTAGGACTTACAACGTTCAAAACAGGTGGTAACTTGCTGAACATTTTCTTTGATTCGCCATAGTTGTCAACCCAGCGATAGTAAACCAAACTCCAATTCGTGCTTTCTTCGATCATAGTGCGAAAGGCGTGAACGACAGCTTCGTCAGTTGGGGAGAGATCCTTATCCGTCTCAGTTTCAAACTCTTTCTTAAGGAAATTTATACAGTTCTTAAGTCCTTCGACCTTGTTCTTCTTGTACACAATATAGGGTATTTTTCCCTTGTTTTCCTTTGTTACATCTTGCGCCTTCTCTTCGTACTCATTCTCGTATGGTATGCCAGACATTTTCACGAAGGTCTCAAGGGCAAGGCATTGCGGAGAACGGCTCACGATTTCTTTCACTGGTGGCAGTTGATGGAGAATAACCTTAGGTGGTTCTTCTTCTATATCAGGACTTGGTTCGGCTGCTTCGGGGCTCGTTTCGGCTGCTCCTGCGTCAGCTTCTGCGGGTGTTGCCTCGACTTTCGACTCGATATTCGCTTCGACTTTAGGCTCTTCTGACGCGGGACTCTCTTCCTCTCCGTTCTCCTTGGGTTTTTCTTCCTCGGCCACGACAGGTTCGGCTTTTTCTTCCTCCTCCTTGCTTTCCTCAGCATCGCCATTCTGAACTATAACAACTTCTTCTGTTGTCGTCTCCTGCACGTGGTTCTCTACTGTTTCAGATTCGCTGCGTACCTCAGTCACATATGTAACCGTCTCGTGAGTTTTCACCGTGCTTATAACTTCGGATTTCACGCTGTACTCAACTTTCTTCTCGCCTGCAATAAGCTCTTGGTTCGTCTCGTCGACAGGAACGATGTCTTGCACCTCCGTGGCCATAATCACAACTGAATGGAACAAGATAAAGAGCAAAGATCACACAAATGCTCGAACGCCAAGCTAAACCGTTTGTAAGCACCGTCTTTTATGAGCGCTTTGCAATCTGGGTACATACACGCCTTTGTATCGCCATAATTGATATTCTCCGTGCGTCTCGACCAATCACAGCAGCCTGCGGATCCAGTCAGCCAATAGGAGCGGCCGCCAAAGCGCCAGGCAACTGTTTACGCAAAAAATCTGTGATGCTTGTCATGTAGACGCTATCAGGAAATGACAAACATTTGCATAGCGTTACCCACGCAACAGGGATTTTCACTCAATAGCCTAATGATTCGTTGAACAAAAGCCATCGTTTCGTGCGACGATAATTGTTTGCGTTTTATATTTTCTTAAGTCTGTTCTGCGCAAATAAAGTCTAAACGGACTCGCCAGAACGCGTTGTCGTGTTAGAGAAATTTGATAGCGAAATAGATAGCAGCACTTAAGCCACGAGAATTTCTAATGGCCACAAGTCAACTTGAAAGAATTTTAGGAAAGTTGGAAAAATGGTTTATCGCAATAAAATCCAACAACAATTAGTCGACTATTGTTGGCACAATATTGAATATTGATTGCAGCATATCAAGAGATTCTGTAATAAATACCTGATTCCTCGACCCTCCTAATCCTATTGTATCGGATATCACGAGAAAATGTCTTTTGTCATACGTGCTGATGACTTGCTCATACCGCCTGGGAATGCCGAAGAAACGCGCGAACTTTTTCGGTAAACGCGGTCAGAATGTTTTCCTGTTTTCCACGCTAGTACGTGGAATGAAAAAAAAATGCACCGAAATATCACGGTTGGTATTGAAACAATATCTCAAACACCACAGCGTAGTTAAAAATGATGACTTGCTTGCAATATTCCCCGCGCAAGATATCATTTATTCATAGTTCATTACTGCAATCGAAGCAGCTTTTTTTATTAACGCTTTGAAGGAGTTGACATTCCAAGTCCCAATATAATCGCACGAGAATGCTCTAATTCTCACACCGCAAGCCTCTGAAACTTCTGCAGCGTGTTTCGCATTCCCAACCTATATTTCGTACATTTATTTGTTTTTTTAGCGCTCCAAAACACGTCGAAATGATGGCGAATGTTTGTAATTACAAAGTTGATTAAGAAGACGGAAAGAAAAATTTGCATTTTAAAACCTTGCCCACAGCGGCCTGGCTTGCGACCGATTCAAGTCCTTTGAATAACTTTGCTCCGATAAGTGTTAAAATAAACGAAAACACGTCCTGGCAGATGGCAGAGAGTTTTACAGGGAATTTCAATCAAATATTGCAATCGCTTTAGCCCGAGAATTCCCATTAAAGCAATTCACATCTTAATTGCATATCTAATAGCATTTTCGGCCATCCTAGTGAAATCATATAGCAATAGTTGGAAGTGAAATGAAAATATTTACAAACATATGCCTTCATTATCAACATGGGCGACTCAAATTTCTTTTAAAGGCGCGTCTAAAATATGCCAAGAATTCCGAAGGTGATGACAGTATCTTCTGCCTCGCACAATAAACACCTCGGAAAATTTGAACTATCGTGTAGAAAGGTCGAGAGCTATAAATTCTATCCAGCATTACTGGATGAAAACGACTGTAGCATGCATTCAACCTTCCCCTGAGAAGGGAACATGCATGGGAGAAGTCTAATTTTAACGTATAAGGATCAGACACTCGGTCCTGTACTGTGTCAATTGCTTTAGAAGGTATCAACTACAAGTCTCGAGGTGTATATATAGAGGCCCGTTTGATAAAGCAAAGACATAAAATATGCAATGTATTTATGTTCAGTTTATCCATCATTGTTTGCGTGTGGTATTGACCTTTCAACCCGGAAACCAGACCCATCCCCAATTTATTTTAGTTTAAAAAAATTAATTTTTGTTCAGTTTTAATTTCACCGGATATTCTCCTCACGCAGTCATCAATTTTACTATGTACCTTTCCAATGGAAAGGGGAGCTCCCGGACACCGCTAGCTCAGTGTGAAACTAAAGTTTTATTAAGTTTCAATTAGCGACGATTGTTGTCGTTTCAAAATACAAACTGCAATAATTGTAAACCGTTTTCCGTCATGCATTATTGAAATCACTGGAATGTTTCAATTTGTGGTGCACGCTTGGAAATTCTAGCATTTTGAGCGATACAAGCTTTTAGAATGCATTTACAGATGTATTGACCACGCCCAATGTGTTCTGGGTTTTACACAAGAGCGCTGGTAACAATGGGAATAGACAAGTGTTTCCTGTTATGTCTGTTTTCTCTAAACACGAGGTTACTTTTATTTATTTTAAATTCAGAATTACCGATTCACAGTATTTTAGTTTTGCCTCTAAACATGTTGCTATACAGTATATTGTAGTTTTATTTCATTAGTAAAAACGCGGGCGGTACTCTTTGCTCTGCTGGAAACCATATTAGATGTACACCTCAGTTCGTATTTAAGTGAATTTCAGTAAAGCCTTACAGTCCTAACACAGAAAACATTTTAGGGACGAGTGTCCCTTCTTGTTCCCCTTGGGTCTCTTCTTGTCTCCTGACCGGCGCCACCGCCCTTGGCTGGATCACTTCAGATACTGATCGTTGTGTACTGACGGCCGCATGCAACAAACACAAACTAAACTATCCTAACTAAGGTCTTATTACAACCAGTCAAGCCCTCGTGACGCCATGCTTGAATAGCAGACGACGTTACCACTGAGAAAACGTATACCAGATGTAATTAACCTGAGTTTTCAACCGTAAAATGGTATATTTAATAGGACAAAGTATAATCATCAGATTATTACATCAAAGCATTGTCTCAGAGCCTTGTGGAAAGATCAAAAACTGATACAATCATTTCACAATGAAATCACCAAAGCTTGACCGAAAAATATCCCAAGGCAAAGGAAGTAAGGGTCATAAGACCAAGAAGAGGGTTATATGTAGTAATTCCCACCATTCATGATAACAACAATGGCGGGTCAATCTAAGCATATCCAATATGCTCATTTTAGCACCTTGATGCCATCGCTAAGATGACGATCATGCAACGATATATTAAAATGCTTTCAATATTTCAAATACCAACGTAAAAGGTCTTCGATTGCTTCTTAAATTCGTGACGCAGTGGTTGGCTTTTAGAGATGCCAGTTTTAAGCGTCTCGTTGCGTACAAAAAATGCAATAAAATTAGCACAGAATTGCCCCATCATTGCCGGCAACGCCCATATCTAGTCAACATTTTTACCCCGTTAACAAGATTCTTCAGCCAACGACAAGCAACCATCTGCATACTGCCAAGTGCATGGCATGCTAACGCGATTTTAAGAATATGAAACTTGAAGGGTCTTGTCATCAGGCATTTGTAAGGACGACACAAAAGACTATATGAACGTAGTTATCGACACAGTATTGGCTCAGCGTGCCTAATCTGTTATTTGATTTATTATTAACGTGTTTGATATGGTGACATACAATTTTGCCAAAAAGGTATCAAATTAATGGCATCCCAAGAAGCTTAGTTATGCAAACAAACAACCGGCCTGCTGTTGGTCTAATATATTCCTATGGTAAACATGACAAATAACACATAGTAGATAAAAGACTAAAAATATTTGTTTAACATTAGCATTCCATACGCCCTGGGGGGACAACGGGCAGGAGATACACATTTTATTCATTAGCGAGCATTTTTCTTTCCAAGGCGACAAGGAACGGTACGGAACGGATTGGAAAACACCAGGGTCGCTCGACCGGCCGACCCTCATGTTTTGGGCGAAAATAAAGAGCTTTAAACTTGACCTCGTTGCAAACTCAAGTCTTCTCGCAGAGCTAAACAGCTTGTTGATACTTTTTCAAACTCCATCTTGAAACAATTTACTGGTGAACCTACAGTTAGCAAAGCGAGAGAATGCGACACGCAGGAAGCTTGGAGTAGAAGCAGTTGAAGTATTTCACGTGTCTCTCAGTCGGAATTTCTTAACTGAGTTTTTGCACAAATGCCGGCAAGTCTAGGCCTATACTGGGCTCTTTCAGGGGTCGTCATGGTATTGAGCTCAAACTGTTCAACACAGCAAGCGATTGCAATACCATGTTACAATTAGTATCGTTTGTTACAATTAGTATCGTTCAGGATCACAAGTTAGATGAAATATAGTCAGCTTTTTATAAGAAAACACTACTTGCACCTGTGGTTGTCTTATCGCAAAGTTGCCATGGCGCTGCCTGTAAACAGAGGAAAACTTTTGAAGAAAAAAACCCGAAATCTTTATCTTAAAAACCAAATTCTAGATAGGAACCTTGTCTCCCACTGTGAGGTCTTGACATACCTCGCGCTTATAAAATTTCATTTCTCAGGACATAAGTTATACAAGTTTATTATTATTTTTTGATAAAATCGGATACGAATTATTATTCACAATCATATATGGTATATAGTTAAGGCAAATGAAGTAATCAACGAAACAAGATAATTATATATACACACAAGACATATACATGTTATTATACAGAAAGTTGGTCTTCAATAAGCAAAGACCGAATTGGTTGAATAAAAATTCGACTTTATTCCTCCCGCCTAATGAGATATTTAACCATCTCGATTATAAATTAAACCATTTTCAAACGACCAAATCGTGCAAAATTTGTGGTTTGGCAAAGATTAAATGTGAACGATTGATATTATTTATGAAAGGTTTTTTTAGATGCGAAATGCTTCAAATTTAGTTATCGCTCGATGAAAAAAACGTAAAGAATGTGAAATACAGACTGCAAACGTAGTTTTCTGTCGGTGGCATTTCAGTGAAGCGATAAATTTGAAGCACATTTTTGTACATTTGCCAAAACACAGAGAAAAAGAGATGGACGAGTATATATATTGCATGTGAACAAGTGTTGTCCTGGGCAGGTAAAATGCTGTCATTCCGATATATTCTGTTGCACGTTTTGGGTCAGGGTGGAATTTAAAAAACTGGAATGTAATGGAATAAGAATTGCGGTACTTCTAGACAACGCGTGCTTCGCCTTTTACCACGGCAAGTGATGAATTTGCTGGGTCAAATTTTTCAAACTACAAAATAACCTAATCGCGACACAACTAAAATTAGAAACTTTGCTAAAAAATTATCCTAAAAAGTGTTTTGAATTATATGCATTCCTATTCAAAAGTCTTGGCCCGTCTATAAATAATAATGATTTTCTCTAAAGGGCAGGGTGGATGGCAAATAATGAATTTCTTTCTTTGTTTTTCCAGATTCACTTGGGATAAACTGCGTTCCTAAAAAGATGGACAAGCCGTTTTAATTCCAGGTAACAATTCCACGTTCCGTAAATCTTAAATACACCAATTAATCTTCACATTAGAACACGATTAGGGTTATATTCAGGATTAGAGTTAATCCTAATCTACTATAATCCCTTTTATCTAAGAATTATAGAGTAAATTATAGTGCAGTGCAGAGGGCTACTAGCATAAAAATCTTAATGTTTTGCGTAGTTGAGTAGTAGTTATTTATACGAATGCTGAATAGACAATTCAGTCACTAACTATGGTTAAAAGTAATTACTGTTTTGAAATTAAATTAAAAGTTAAAATATTCATAAAAATGTTCATAAAAATATTCATAAACGTTTACCCCGGTTTAACCCATACTTTATTTCTGGAGAGAGAAAAGAGATAAATTAGAGTGTTAATTTATTGTTAATATTAGTTTACGTCAGTTACGAAAGTTAGCTCAGAGGTGTGTGTCCAGTTTAATATTGCGGTCAGTGATGACATACAGCTCAGTGGTGTGTGTCTAGTTTCATATTGCAGTCTGTGATGACATAGCTCAGAGGCAGGCGACTCAGATCGCAATATGAAATTAGACGTTTTTATCCAAGACAAGTTTTATTCTTTATTTACAGTGTCAATATACCGCTGTTGGACCGCCATATTTTAAGAAATTCAAGATTGTTACCCATTGTTACAATTCTGTTTTTCCCCCTGTAATTTTCAAGCCCGAATGAACCAGTCAAAAATATCTTACCTTTCACCCATGTGTGACATCTCCACGCTGTATAAAAAAGAAATAATCCTGCACTTAGATTTTGACTTCACTTACAGCACAATGGACCCGACACGAGACTCTCACCCGTTTTTAGCTACATTGAGATCAGTGGCGTTCTCTTCCAAGTCACTGATCTGTATATAATACCTGCTTGCAACCTTCATTCTCCAAGGGACGTTTATTTACCTCCCCCCCCCCCATAACCCTTACAAATGACCACTTGCTCACCCGTCGTGTTTGTCAAATCCTTCCTCGAATCTCATTCGTCTATAATGTTTCGCCAACTTGACGCAGAAAATTATGGCTGGGATGTAAAAGAACAGACAGAAGCCAACGGAAAACCAGTAACCATTCTAAAGAAATGAAGGGGGTAGTTGGAGAATTATTGTGAAAATCCACACATTCAACCATAGGGTGAATTGATCGCATAGAATTTATTAATATATTGTGGTTGGTGTATATTCCATGGTCTTAAAAAACCTCTTCATGATGGCGACCGATTTGTCGCTTTAAGTTCAAATAGAGTTCAATGGATGATAATACACGTAATTATGGTCTCTTCTAATTGATATTGAAGTTACTTACAAATGGATAAACTGTTTCACGACAAACCAAATTAACAGCAGCATCGTATACGTCAGTTAAAATTTTGCATTGACCCAGGTCGTGTTTGACCTAAAAGAACACGAACACGTTAATTACAACACGTTTCTTTCATCCCTCTGCGAATGGCTTGCATTCAATTCCTTAAAACATTATCTCCTAATACACAGTTAAAATTATTATTTATTAACAATATTTCTGCCCTAAAACATTTATTGAAAATAAGACTTGAACCAAATGTCGTTTTAGTCAAGATTTGAAAATGCATGAACAATTTTGAAAATACTAGGATACAAAGTGAAAATTTCATCCAAGTATAGAGTCTACACATCATTTATCCGCACTTTCTCACACATATTATTCACGCAATTTTCTCGCAACTTGCAATGCAATTCTGCTTCTAAGAGTTGTAAATGAATGAAGAGTCTTCCAGAAGAAAAGTGCATAAAGTGTAATAAACACGAAAGTTTCATTGTTCCCAAATATACATCTCTTAAAAGTAGAATTGCATTGCAAGTTGCAACAAAAATTATCACCGTGTAACAGGGCCTTAAGTGTACTTACAGACTTTATGGCCCAGTCCGCTATATCGTCTGTATATCCTAAAAGACGTTTTGCCTCGTCGCTAACAATCTATTGAAAGAACACACAATGATTTAATACAGATCATTCAAAGATTATCGTAGCGATTTAGGATTGAATATAATCAAGAGCACGATTAAAGAGGAAAAAAGATTAAGGATTAAGGATTACGAACTGGAGGCTATACTCCAGATAGGCAAGGGCTCCTGGTATTCTGAACCAAACAAAATGCAATGATATATATTTTTCTTCACCAGATATCATATAAATGCACGTCATAACAATGAAAATATTGCACAGTAGCACTAAACCAGTACTTTTACAAACACGTATATTCTCAGAAATTCTAACTATATGCACAAATGTGCTTTCTAAAAAAAATGCAAAACAATACATACTTTTCCGATATTAACATTCACCGTACTACTAAACTTATCCTCTGCCCCTTCAGCCTTTACCAATGTTTCATTTGCAAGAGACTATAGAAAAGAATGCCAGTCAACCTAATTTTTAACGTGCGTAATGCATGCTATCTGCATGTGAGTTTAGAAAACAAGAATGAAACTTACTGAAATGTTTCCTCCGAGGGTCTGCAACTCTCTAACGTCTTTTTCTAACTGATTCTGAAAAAGAAACGACGTAAGCTATCAGTGGTGTGGTTTGAAGCAAAAAACAGACTTCGAATAAACAGAACATCTTTTTAATGAGAGTCAAAATATGAAACAAACAAGACACGGGTTGAGACTGCAAATTTTCGACTTTATTTCAAATGACTTGTCGAAAAATTATCATTGGGTAATAATGGAGACTTGGGGATAGTACACTCGGACATTGAGGGACCACAGGGACAACCGACTTACCGAAATAATCTTCATTTCATTCGCTTTATTTTGAATGTTGTCCAAATCTGCTGTTATCTGAAATATATATAAATCGTGCTAAAAATCAGGTATTTTAGTTCACAAAATGCCAACGAAAGATGAATATTATATATTAGTTTTGCTCCAGCTTGAGTTTACTTCATGTCCAACAACATGCATATAGTGCTTTTGTTAACGATAATTTCAACAATTTAATAGTATAAAAATATAAAACTTTTTATGCTTTTAAATTGCAGAAATTGTCTTCAATTGCTTTGCTAAAGCAATCTCGGCCTGTAGTGAAGAACTCTTGAGAAAACGTATGTAAAAATTCTTATGTAAAAAAAGGCGTATCTTCACGCATCAACACTCTCCTATGTTCAGTTCAACCTTATAAACTCCCTCTTACATCGCTCGAATTCACATTCTTCTTTATGTCATCGATAATACTTGCATTGTTTAGAACATTCTTTCCCGTCTGCGTAAATAAAATGATACAATATTAAATTATAACCACAGAAGCAAATCACATGGATAGTTCAATTTCAATAACATGACGAAAATTGAATCAATATAATACTCATATTATAGGTGATCATAAATGCTCGTGTTTACCACAGGTAAGTCCCCATTAGGGCGAAAGAGGTGATTAGAAAGAGAAAGTTTGTTAGAGAGTGGGGCTCATTAGGGAAGGTCCATTAGAAAAGCGGCTTATTAAAGGGAAGCTCATTAGGGAGAGGAGGTCCATTAGGATAGCGGCTCATTATTAGAGAGAGGGGGTTATTTGAGATAGATTTACAATAGCAAAGAACATGGCAATACCTCGTTAAAGAACTTTTCAAATTCGATCTTATTCACACCGGATTTACTCAAGTCTCTTAAATTATTCTTAGTTTCGTTATTTAGAATATCCTGATCGTTTACTGAAACATTGAAACCGTCCAAGTTTTTCTCAAAATCTCCGAGTTTCTGTGAAAAAGAACAGTTGTATATAATCTCATTGACCAATGACATTTAACGTTTGAAGTGTAAAGAAACGTCGTGAAGCATGGGGTAAAACGTACATCTTTTACACTGAACTTTGAATCCAGGTCCCATTTTAAATCTCCTTGAATTGCTTGATAGATAGCCTTATTATCTCTGCAATCTCTACAAGAAAAGATTTCCAGATATTTGTTTTATATGCAGCTTTTAAATCGTTAGAATATAGAACAATAGAAACTCTGTGAAAAATAAACATTTTGAAAAGTATAATTTCTACGTTGGCACAACTATAGAATACCCCGCAAGGTTATTATCAACTTTTACATAGTTTATTCAAACCTCAAAATAACTTTTCCATTTCTGGGCCAGCTCTTACGGTCTATTTTTCTTTAAGCATTCCGTATTAGTTCTGATTATAAACTGTAACGTGGGTTTTATAATATAGTGCTGCAGGTTCTTCACTGATCTGCAAATATGTTATTTCTCTTGCGGGCTATCCTATAGTTTATTACTCTATTAATAACAGGCCTAAACAAACACGTACGAGAGAACTTTCGCGATTTTCAATGGAAGGGATCCATTATCAAATATTGTTTTAGCGAGCAGATAGTCTCCGTCCCAATATTTAGGACTGTCTAAGAACTATAAAGAGAGAATACACAGTTAAAAGCGATTTTCCATTTAAGTTCTCTGGTAATTAACAGGTATTTCAAACCATAAACTGGGCTTTCATTGAGGAGAAAGATGGCTGGATTGTAAAGTCATTGCCTTGCCTACAATTCAGCCACCGGAGGCCTAATATAGCAACCATTTGACTATCACTATATCCTTTCACAGATTAGCATCACTAGTACGCATATAATAAGAAAGGTTATTACATATACATGCATGCACGAATAAAACATACATCAGTGTACAATGTTTCCTCCCTGAGACTGTAGCAAGATTTCTCCAAATGTGCTCCGAGGACGAAACAGATTGCAGTGAACAACATGAGGAAAAACACAAATATAAACATGAAGCCTGTTGCACTGTAAGAAAAAAGATTAAAAACTGTATACAAACTCGTACTTTTTACAAGACAAAAACAGTGGTTTATAGAACGAACTTACGCCATAAGAAAGTTTCCACCCATGTTGGATATTGTTCCACGCTCCGTCGGTTCATTGTCCTTGTCATGACCAAATATTCCGCACAATAAACCCAGTGCCATTAAAACAACGGGTAAGAGAAGCACGCATGTCAAACCAACGCCAGCGCTCCATCTGAAAATTTCGCGGGAGAATTGTGTTGATGTATTTTTCATTATATATACTTGCAAATTTCAAAACGGTTATCGTCTTCTCAGAGATGTGAACGAGTGAATAGTTAGGAATGCTCTGATGGTAGAAATGCCCTTATATGAACATCCGTGACTTATTCATTCGTTCACATCCATCAAAGGTAGAAAATCAAACCTGTATCGATCGTATGGTTCGATATGATCATCCCACAATTCCTCAACATCCTTGATCCAGCCGTCTGTCTTATTTAATATCAGCTGAATTAATAGAAAAATAAACATTATTTCATTGAACGCTATACATTATTGTAATTGTTACAATAACTCCCAATTCGCCAGGGGGGGGGCGGTTATTCAGAAGACGGTTAAGTTAACCTTGGGTATAAATACAACACTTTACATCAATTTTTTAATCGCTGGTTTATGAAGTTGAATATTTTCTGTATCAACAGAAGTAGATAAACTAAAACAGCGGATTAAAATAAAACCCAGGGTTAGCGCGTTAACTTAGGCTTTCAACAACCAGTCCTATTTCTAAAGATGCCCATTTTTTGAAGGCTACTCGAGCACAAACTAAGAGCAGGGTGTGTGATGCCACAGAATCAACGATTGTTTTATACTGTACCTTGTTCACCTCCTTAACGATATCTTCCTCAATTTGATCCTTAAATTCATTTTTCGCACTAACGGTTTCATTTCTTATCTCTACAAGAAAAGAATTACTTTAGACCATCTAGAATACAGTAAACTAATAGTTTCATGTCATTGTGGCACGTAGAATACGAAAAATTTGTACGAATACAATGTTTAAATTCCACGAAACTCTACTGAAGTCGTCCTGACTCGCGGACAAAAACTTTGAACAATTATTCATGAAAAATGTTCGTGTATGGTAAAGAACTTCTTCCTTTCAAAATATTCATTGAACAATTATTCATGATGCATACTTTCAGTTGTAGCATTGCTCTCGTTTCTGATTCTAGCGTCGATATTATTGAATTCACCGAGACCCTAAAAGCAAAAGAATGTCAGTCAAAGTCATTTTATTCACAACCAAAACATGTTCGCTGGTTTTCACGGGTAGATAATTTGCAAATACGACGCTAACGACGGAGTAAAATACATACTACAGAAGTACGAATATTTTTAGGCACAAATAACAACCAAATACATAAAATATACACACTACGGTATAGTGGCTCCCTAGCGTTTTTTGAAACCGTTAGTTTGGAAAAGGTTTTGGCTGATTTCAACCGATTAAAAAATGCTGGAAAAGCAATAGAATCACAGCTTTGGAGATTAAGAGTTGTCAAAGAGGATCCCAATTTATGAATACAAACGTTTAATCAAAGTTATACCGAACAACGGGCAATTTTAGAGCGATTGAAAAAAATCACTATCCGGTGGATAGCGCTATCCAGCTTTCATACAACCGACCCCAGATGGGAGCCACCTTAAACTAAATAATAAAATAGGTAATATGACATAAGTTAAGGCTTGACTATTTCATTTCTCATCTCGGGCAGTCTGTGCACCCAAAGGAAGAATTAAATTCAATATTCAGACAAATTTGAGACTTCAACTAACCTGCTCTGCCTTTTTGGTAAAATTGTTATTATTGATATTGTTGATATTTGTCGACTGATTACTAACGTCAGGCAAAACGCCGTAGTTAGCCTCTGTATGTATGTTGGGTTGACCTATGGCGGTTAGGTTAATATTAACAGAAATAATCTTAGCATCCAGGTCTTGGGATTTCGACTGTAAGTCATTTGTGCTGCTGTTTATGTTCGCCAGTAATTCCCCCATACGTTCTGTTTCTAATAAAAGAGAATGGCACAAAAGTTGTCATTTAAAGGTTCTTTTACACTCTTTTTTTCGACTTTTGATAGATGTGAACAAGCAATCAGTTACGAATGCTCTGTTGTAAAAGAGCTCTTATTTGAACATCAGTAACTAATTTACTCGTTAACATCTATCAAAAGAAGAAAATCGCAGCCAGCTGTTCTGACTCTCCTCCTCTCTGAGATTTTATTTATGCCGCATGCACAAGTCCTGGGGAAAACGATGGTAGAAAAAGTTTCACAAAAAAAACATAAAGAAATGATGCACTAACTCTTTCCGAGTTCGATGACACTTTGCAGCGGTGATTCTACCACTCCTTTCAATTTCTCCTTGACTTCATTACCAATGGTAGAAGGCAGGTCTATGACATCCTTCACAACAATATCAAGAACGTCTATAACCGTTCCTATCAAGCTGCTTGTCACCACCTAAAATGAAGCAAAAAGGGAAATTTTAAAGATGGAAATCCCACCTTTGTTAGAATTATTGTTGTATTTACAATCCCAGACTGTACCATTCGACTAGAGGATAAATTTAGAAAGTCTATCTTGGTGCAGAAATGAAAAAAAACACCACTACCACTTACAGTGACAGTCTTATTGAAATATTGTTCAGTATCACGAATGGCCGCGATTGGTGTCGTTTTCAGGCTTTCTACAGTGTCTGTGATGCGATCATTAGACACAAATGCCATTAAACAACCAGCACTAAAGAGAAAACGACAAATAAACAAGGTCATGTAAAGCCAGAGATGCGACAAATCTTGTCCACAGTGATGGAATTAAACAAGGCATTTTGGCATATTGGTGAGTCTTTCCTGGGGCTTGTACCCCAAATTGGCAAATGGCAACTGGTCTGCACCCATCCCTATTGATCCCTATGTATCCTGTGCACTGGATCCATCCAGGTTTTAGACAGTACAGTATATATTCTGGTTTACAAATTAAAACTATCTGGGGCATCAATCATGATGGGCTCATGGCAGTTGGTAAATTCCCATAATTGAGTAATTTCCTACTTACAACATCAAAATTGTGATAATGCCAAGCACAGCACCAAAGACAGCGCGCTTGCAACCATCTTTATTGCTCTGCTTTTGCACCATCTCACCACCACACTTTCCACAACATCGACAGCAACAAAAGCAAAAACCAACAATTGGTAAAATGATGGCAAATAAAAATCCAATTGCAAAGACAACAAGAAATGGTAACTCCCAGCCTTTGAGAAACTACGAAAAAAATACACTCTCAAGACCCATTTACACTATGCAATTTGTCGTATACGATTCGTACTCTGGCATATGTGAATGTATGAATGCAAGTACAAATGTGACACTTTAAATCCCAAACTGAATAAAATTGAATGAAGATTTAGCATAGACCATCTTTTGCATTCTTCAGAATGATAATTGCAAATAACTTATTGTTTAGTCTAATTTATAGGCCTTTACAGTTAAATATCCTCATATGTTAGCAATAAACACATGTATGCTCTGTGCCTAAATAAATTTTCAATTGTTATTTTGGGATGGCTTATAAATTTATAAGTAAACCATACACAGCTTGCAAAATTCTTATGTATTGACAGTAGTGTGGTGCAAATGTATACAATTTTAATAACCTGTCTACGATTGGGCAAATAATTTGATCTTATTTACATTTTGCATGCACTAAATGATGAACAAACCTCTTCCACTTCAAAATCCCCATCATCCGCCTTTTTTATATCATCTATGAAAAATATTTATAACAAATGGAAGAGATTTTAGCTTCACTTTTCACTTTCACATTTTATGAAAAGTTATGTAATATTTTGCCTGAAATCAAATGTGGTATAACAACTGTCTAAACTAGACAAAACTAATTTAGACAGCTGTTATACCACATTTGATGCTAGTTGTTTGAAGATGCTGCCACCATGCTCCCTGGTATATTGGAATTTGCCTGAAATATTTCATATCATATTTTACTTTGTCTGAAATCTTTCACATTCAATTTCATTGACACAAGAATTACTGAATGTTTGCATTTAAGGAGCTGTCACCAAACACTTGAATAATTTTGTAAATAATTTTGTAAACATACTTATTTATATATTTGCAAACTGTAATCACTGTAGATTTCATAGGGTAAAAAGCAATAATCTAGAGTGCCACAGCATTCATAGAAAAGGCAATATTAGGTTTCATGTGTATTACAATATGTTCACAGGTATTACAATATGTTGAAATGTGACATATCTCACTGAAAATTATGCATATGATGTACTTTTACAAGTGGCAGCCATAGCAACATAACTGAAGGCAGGTGCTTTTACTTTCAGGTACTGCCCTAAGTATATGTTATTTTAGGCAAGGAAGCCTAAATTTGCAAACTGCATTAATTCATTTCAATTATATGAATTACAAGACTGTGTGCAAAGGATTAAAAGTGTCATTTACATCTAGTGTAAAAATGTTAACATGCTAGACAGCTCACAAGGTTTCAGCCCCTCTAGATAATGGCTACTTGCGCTTAGACATCTGTCAAAAATGCACAAGTATGGCGAGTGTTGGTGGCCTATCCTGTTAGTTATTAACCTTTACTCCTTTTACAGAATACACACTTCATAACATTCTCAGCCCCCTTCCAAGAGACCTAGAACTCCTGCTGTTCTGAAAGGTCAAATCATTGGACAAAGACACTGCATTATGCAGCATAACTGTGCAAGCTCTCACCCAAATGAAAACAGGCCTGCACTTAGTATTTCTTTAGGTAATGCTTGAAAATCTCACAACACATTTATAATTCCTTGACCTGGAAAAGGTTCGGAAAATTGGCTACGGATTCAAAGTACAGACAGCTAAGTCGACCAGTTAAGAAACTTGATACTTTTTCTGCAAGAAAAACTACGAATTTTTCCTTGTGGGCGTTGTGTGAAAATAAAAATCTTTAAGAACAGAAGCATCCTTCCTTGTGAAATTAGTTATGGGAAGGAGTGAAATGCATTTACTCTTTAAAATACGATAAATACGTCTTTGACAACAGATTCTTTAGGTTGTCATGACATTTCTCTTTTTCTGGAAGTGCCCACAAAATCAACAAACTTATCGACGAGATGACGACAAAAAATCATATGATCTTTTCTCATATATTTCCTCTTAGCTTCGACTCTTTTCCCTAATTGTTGCGTTGGCTACTAATCATTTGCCTAATTCTTTATTATTACAAAACAGCTTGAGGTCTCAGGCAGGCGAAAAGAAAGAATAGACATATATGAACGGTTGACTGTCAGCCAAGCTTTCAAACCACAGAATTCTAAACTATTAGCATGTTGGTTAACAATCGTGGTAAAGTCACGGCGACTAATGGACAGTCTCGCTTGAAGTTGCTTCATCTCGAGCGCAATGTTCAAAAGAAAAACAAGAAGCTGTTTTTAGACGAAAAGCTCTCGTACACGCTGTATTGAATCGCAATTATTCACACACGTAAACCTACTTTCAACCTTAGAGGCTTAGAAAATTATTGCTTCCTGCTACTAATAATGCTTTCTACGTAAAACAGTTTAATGTCCTGTGGCATCAAGCAGACATTAAACACTGTCAAATACCATATAGCAGTTATTTCGGATTATTTTGATATATTTTTACGTTTATAAGCTACGCCTACGAACTGATCAGCGCTCAAATTTGAGACAAACTCACAACTCACAAGACACAAGACACAAATTACATAACATGATTGCACGTACCGTAGGGTAAATCTTCTTTTTGAACCGTATGAATGAAAGATTTAGCCACATCATACCACGGTTCTAAACCTTTACCATCAAACGTTTTCGTCAAAGTAGAAGTAACAATGATTTCTGGAATTGTTGTAATAGACAGCGAGCCATTAGGTAACTTTGAAACCGAATTTTGATTGGCAAAACTGCACGATGCGACACACAACAGCACGATTACTAGGAGGTAAAATTTCCCCATAGAGCGAACGGTTTGAATTCTTTACGCAAGGTTCCCCTCTATAGTTAAAACAGATAAAAAGTCTTAAATAAACAACTGCTTCTTATGATTAAAACGTGATGTTTTCCAAAGATGTTCCCAAGGTGTTTGAGCCTTCGGGGTTCATTATTCCTAGAGTCATTCTTCCGTTATTGTCGGAACATCCTGTGATTGTCATATTGTCATGGTAACCAGACATCAGAACAAGCATTTTTATATTATTTTAAAGAGTAATTAAAATAGATTTATGCAAAACATGATCATTTATAGCGCCCACTCTCTGTTTCATGTGTGAAAAACGCCACGCAGTCATAATATTTTGTTTTCTATGATATAAGACTACTTGCTTATCAGTTATCAAGGTTTGTTAACATCTTTTCATAAATGGTACTTATCCATGGCATTGGCCCCAATTGTACCACTTATTTAATAATATTGGTAATTGTTAGTTGATATGGGCGAAATACAATAGACGCGTGAATAGGCGTTTTGTAAATTTTTACGGTAATTTTTCGGGATAAATTACACCCCAACATTTCGATTGTAGTTCATTGTAATCTATAAATTGAACATTGGTATTCATACAATGCTGATCTGACCAGACTTGTTTCGTTTTAACGAGCTTTTGTATTGATAAAAAGAACACAAAAGAGCAGCTGAAACTCCGGTATTATCAATGATGCACAATTATTGGCAATTATCATCTCCAAACATTCAAAAAACGTTTTTATCAAATTTTTTTGATAATAAGAAAATGCTTTCGAATAAGTTGAGGAAGTTATATAGAATCTCATCTTATATGGAAACAAAAACGATTTATTTTATATGGAAAGCAATATCAATAGACACAACATAGCCTAAACTAGAGGTCAGCGTGTGGTTGGTTTTTTAACGTGAACTAGTTAGCCGTCAGTAGACTGTACTTGAAATGAGTGTTCATCATTGACACAAGAGATTGAGAAATCGGATAAAGATAACCATAGTCACAAACACATTTTCACCATAGATTCATTCGTTTCTTTATGTACCGACCTTCTGTGTTTGTGCATGTTTCCAGACTGGGTGAACCGCCGGCCACAAACGTCGCAGATATAAGGCCGTTTGCCACTATGAACGCGGGCATGCTTCGACAAGCTTGAACTATCAGCGAAAGCCATGGTACACGTTGGTACCGGGCAACGATGAGGCCGTTCTCCCGTGTGCGTGCGCACGTGTGTCTTTAGCGCGCTCGAATGCACGAACGTTTTATAACAACGTGGGCACGTGTATGGCCTTTCTCCACTGTGTGTGCGATGATGGGACTTGAGTGAGCTTGTCTGGGCAAACGATTTCGGACATAAATCACATTTGAAAGGTTTGTCTCCGGAATGTTGACGGAGATGGATCTTCAAAGTCGAGGTTCTTGCCAGTTGCCGGTCGCATACAGGACAGCTCCGACTGCCTCGCTTGCTTGTCACTTTTCCATTGTCTACAGCTTGTCGTTTGGGCTCTTCACTCAAGCGTGCCTCTTGAGCATTCGTCTGATTTGTTTTCTTTACAACAGTTCCCGTTTCCGGCTCTCCAAACGCCTTTGGAGCAGATGCTTTGAGGTCTCCTTCGTACATACAAGAGGTCCTTTTACGACGTTTGACGTTCAAACTGACTGCTTGATGTGATGAGGGTTGAGTTCCAGAGATATCCACATTCATAGAATTTTCCAAGTATCCTTGGTTTCCAGGAATTTTATTCGTCGTTGAAGGCAGTCCATCCTCGGAGTCAATATTGCGCGTGTCAGGGCAGTCGTGAAGGAGGTGATGAAAATTTTCCTGGTGAAACTCGTTCAGGAAATTTGTGGATCGCTCGTTAGTTAGATGATAGTCATTGCAGGTTTGCGAGGCGCTGTGCGTCTCCATTTGGTATGGATTAAAATAAGATTGTTGCATTAAATTTTGAGGATAAAAATGAGGCAAGCCCTGCATCGGTATAAAAGCATCCTGGATTTGCGATCCATTGAAATAGTCTGGGATTGGGGGTAGAGCAAAGTTTGGATCAAAATAATTGCATGGTAGAACCATCTTGCTCTCTTCTTCATTTGAATATGGGAAATCAAAATAGGACAGACGCTGCGGGCTGAATGGAAATGAACAATAATCTTGTTCATAAGGATTGAAACAAGTAATAGGCAAATGTCGAAGACGATGTGTTGTTGGATCACTTGGATGGTTGCAAAATGGCTGTCTTGATGAATATGATGGTTGACTTTGCCAAACGATTTGGTTATTGTCCACTAGTGGATTGTTATGAAAAGGTTTATATTCCTCAGGAAAACCTAGCTCAGAGGTCATCGTATACGATGTTACAGCTTCTTGAAGATTTAAAAGAAAGCCTGGATCGCTTATTTCAGATGATGAAACTGGATTGTCATGGTCATTGATGAAATCCACAATGCTTGGCGCTTGCTGTTTTAGAGGTGAAGCTTCTTCACTGGCAAAATTTTCACGAAGGTGAGTCAATGCTTTAGCATACGAGGTTTCTAGGTCAATTTTAGGAAACGGACATGGTAATTCAGAATAGTCTTGCATTCCTCCTGGGTTTGGTTTGAAGTTGGTTGTATTGCTAGTATCAGATTGGTTTTCAGTGGAAAGAAGTTTCTCAAGGATTGGTGATCTTCCTAACGACATTATCCCAGATATTTCTGCAAGCTAACTAAATTAAAGGAAAAAAAACAACTTGAACCTAAGTGTCAATGCCAAGTAAGACACCTCAAAACATCTGTTCATATTATGAAGTTTATACTTTAGAACATTTAATAAAGTAAAACAAAAATACATTTGACATGCAAAGCGATGTTGAATGCTTGTTATTTTTTAACGCGGTGTAGTTTCTGAAAGAAGCACAATTATCGTATGATGACAGACAGATAAACCTGTCAAAGACTGCAAGTTGTCGGACGCTTTTATGTCAAGAATAGCTACTCCGCCATTTTCCTAATAATTAAGCTTTTATTCCGACGTTAAACTCTGCATTACAAAGAATAAAATTCAGTATTATTCACAAAAGTTTTATCTCGCATATTTCCCAATTCCTGTGTGAAGGCTGCAGACTCGTTTTAGCAAAAGAAAAGCAAGAATACAAATTCCAGTGAAATAATATTTTACTTTACAGTAAGTTAGCTACAATTGTTAGCTACAGTATTGAAAACAAAGTGCATTGTGTTTTAAATTTTGATACCTTCAAAAGGCGACAAGAATCAAGACTTTTTGGTCTTTTCCTCGCAAAAACTGCGGCACAATATTTCACACAAGTTTCACAAGTTATCCTTACACATTCATCCACCTTTACACTTCAAATCTTTGAGCTTTTTGATTCAGAAGCACAATTTCTAAAACAAATAAATGACCAGATAAAATAAAACTCAATTCTTCGGTCTCGAACATAATTTAGAGCAATCTGATTGGCTGTTACACAATGCAAACTTTAAAGGAACGATTTTAGCTTTTGCTGAATGTTTTAAAATAATTAATTTTGGTAGATTACGATGTACTTTTGCCGCAAATATTTCATTTACCACTAGTGTGCATCTGAATCGACCTAATTGATATTGATACCACACATACAATACAAAACAATTTCACTATACTTTAATACCTCAAAATTAAGTTTAGGCAGGTTTAGGATGCTTAAATAGGTTTTGGAAGGCGCCATAAAAAGTTTAATAAAACAATAACAAAAATGCCGCAAAAACAACCAAAGACAGTCAGTCTAGGGCTTGACATTTCTAGTGAGACAACTAGACGCATTATTAATCCTGAAACTCGTAAAACAATACCGCATTCGTTTGCAATGAGTCATCCATTTTATGCATGAAAGATTGTATAAAATTTTATTGACTTTAATTTATTTTATCAATTTTTAATAGTTAATTTACTATCCATAAATATTTTTATTTTTATTTTGGTTTGTCTCAAACTAACGCGCTGTCTAAAACCCATATATCAAATTTAGACAATATATTAGAATTTAGAAGGGGCCAAATCAACCAATCACAACGACTAGTAGCAATTCTGAGAATTAGGAAAGACTTCATCGAATCATTCATCCCCTCTTTTCAACACCTCAGAAGTCGGGACATGACTTGATTCATGTTTCGTTTCTTCGGAGCGTGAAGAACCCCATGTGTTATTTATAAATGAGAATAGTTCAGTCTTCTGGTTCTGCAACTATTTCTACATACGCCACGCTTGGACAAATATTTCACAAACAATACTAGTCCAATCAGTATGCAGATACCACACACCACAAGCGCTGGTATAAGATTTTCGTCCGAAATTCGGACATGTTTGGGTTTATTTAATGGAATCAAGTTGGTTGCATTGATCATATAACCGAGAGCCCAGCCAAGTGACTTCTTGTCCACCTATAGCAATTCCAAGAAGAATTTGTTTGAAGAAAACATTCGCTTCGTGCTCTAACATTGCTTGTTGCATGATAACGAAGTGAAACGCATAAAACCGCACTTTGAATAAAGTAATCCACAAAGAATAATTGAACATTATGTGGATTAATGGACTTACGGTTTTCCCAAAAGAGATTTTCCACGTATCATTCTTAAATTGAAAACCGTACGTCAGCAAAGTGTAGATATAGTGTCCAGAAAAACAGGTCGGAACTACAGTGACAAAAGCATCCAGCGTTTTTCTCTATTGGAGAAGAATAGGACGGTTAATTGGTTGTAATTGTTGTACAAATGGTTGTGGACGCAGTTTTAAATAGCTGGAACTGATAATTAAGTGTATTGAAAAGCAATAGTTAACCTAACAGAAGCCAAGATGTTTCAAGGTCCTTTGCATGCGATTCTTTCAAATTGACGGGTAAAGAAAGTTTACATCAATTCATTTATAATATCAGTGGACGGATATCTCACCTCAACCACATTTCTATTGCAGTAGGCCAAATAAGCAGACCTGTATTCGTCCATTGTGGGTGAAGTTGGCAAATTCAAGTTTTTTTTAATGATATAATACGCTGAAAATGCCTGTAAACATTAAAAATAACAATACAATTTTGTAAGTTGGGTTGTGGACTTCGCAGGCCACTCGTGTTAGGACCTCCCAGTCACTCCAAAATTTGGCAGACACAGTGAATAACCTTTAAATAATCATTTCCCTCCCTCCTGGAATTGACTTACCAGGAAATTACCCGTAACTGGAGGTTGTTTATGACTTGCGTTGAAAAATGGTACAGCATTAGGACAAGTTGAACTATAATCAAAAAGACTCCTGATATTTTCGTTGCATTCCGACTCGTTGTTTGAACCGTTGAAAGTGAACTGGGCAGTTCTGGGTTTCGGCGATGGCTCACAGCTGCAGGGTTCACGAAATATGTTGGACGCTGATTGGTTAGTAATGCTTCCTTTTCGAGCACAGGGATTGGATATCGTAGCCGAGTAGTTTGCATTCTGATTGGACAAAAAGAAGCGGGAAATTGACAACTGGGAAAAAGTAGTAATTTAACAGAGAAACGAGTTTTTATAAGAACAGAAATTACTCTAGTATACCTTTGCTAGTTGTGCTAGAAATCTTCGGTAAATTTCAGAAAGTCCATAACACAAATATGTTTTAGTATAGACGGGATAGTCTTTACCATAAAGCCTAAAATGTTGGTTAGCTTGGGAAGTGTTTTGCGGCACAAATGTGATCTGAGTTGAAGCTCCACCTAAATCTAATGCTCCGGAGGTCTCCTTGATGTCTTCCTGTCAGAAAAAGACAAAGAAAAACACTGCATATTCTAGGCCAGGAAGTGGGTTGCTTGGGAATATAATGTAAAGCCAAACCAACTGTTGTCTACCTCATTTTTCTCCTGCAGAACTTTCTTTAAATAGTTCACAGTGATCCATCCAAAAGAACCTTCATCTTTTCCTGTAATGATCTTAGCATTCTTGGCAGAGAATTGTAAGCTTGAAGCAAGAAAAACATCCCGTATAGATGACATAATGTTGTCCGAAATTGTCTTGTTCACCTCACTACAGAAAGAAAATATATATATTGGCAAACGAAATATATTGGCAAGTACTGGTATAATAATACATTTGACAGGTGGTTCTAGGCAGCAGCCATGTTTGACTGTTAGTCAAGCTCTCAAGCACACATACCGTTCCAATCTCATTCCTGCTGTTGCTCCAAGATACACAGGAGTTGATGATCTCTTGTCATGTGGAACCTCTCCGATGACATTTTTTAATAAATTGCCCACCAACGAACCTGCACCTTTTGGATTGTTCACAAATGATGATATTCCTGTACTGTTGGAAACATGGCAAATCTCATCCACAGGAACCGCAGTTCCTCTTAACCTTATATTTCCTGGCCACTTATAAACATATGCAGACGTGTGCCTTGAACCAGCATCAAATACAACACCGTACTGTGAAGAAAATGTAATGAAAATCGAATGAAATCTAACTAATTCTAGAGATGGCTTCATATGGCTATTTAAAATACACAAAAGTTCAATTGTTGCCAAAGTGGCAATATGCATCCACAGGTAGTTTGGTCTATTAGCAGCCAGACAATTAGGGAACAAATGAAACTGGCTAATGAATTGTTAACCCCTTGGCAGACAATAAGAACCAGTAAAATGGTCTGAGGTTTAGTACAGAAAGTACAAAACCAGGAACATCATTTGTACAGTTTGTAATTTGCAAAAATCATAATCCTATTCCCCTTACTTCAGGATTGTTTCTGACATTCGGACGAACCAGAAGAAGAACAATTATCACCACAGAACCAACAACTATGAAACCTAATATCAATACCACGTTCAAAACATTCTTACATCTGTTGCTACCATATCTTACTATTGTTGTATCTAAAAATACCAAGAAAAGCAATTAATATTGGTAATCTAAAACGCATGACTCAGTCAACTTTATTTAGCATTATGGCATTGCGTAGTTCCTGCTGGATGATGATACAATTCTTAATCAAACATCAAGAATGCAAGATCAATTAAAATTTAACATGAAAATTAAACAGGCAAGTTCAATATGGCTATCTTTTATATGCTGTAAAGGCATCACTAAATGCATACGGTCAGTGACAGTCAAAGAACATTACTGCATCGGTATTAAATTAGTCGTGCAAAATGAAACTCTACGAGTTGCAATTTCAACTTTCCATCTCAAAATTAGGCTAGCTTATTCAGGCAGTTGTTATATCTCAACAAAAGCGTATTGCTTAAAGCTCTCGCATCAAATACTTGCAGATGAAATAAAATTTCATAAACTAGTACCTTCATTTATGACACTATCCGCACTGGTGACCAGAGGAGAATGGTCTGCCATTTTCCTGAACGCCCGCAAACTAGCTACAGCGGTTATTGCCATGGTCGTATGTCGTATTTAAATCACCATTTCGTAGGTTGTCGTTGGCCTTCGTAGTTGGTGCGGCATGCGCAGTAAACTTACTGGACATGCGTAAAACGAATTCGGCCGGTTTTTAACGCTCTATATATGGCTTGACGATTTGTCTTATGCTTGTGGGAGGTCGCCAGAGGTGGCGCAATCGCAATGCGTGAGAATTTCACCCTTGGATGAGAGAAGGAAGAATGAGGCGTCCTCTCATCTCCTTCAATATTCCTAATTCTACCTTGTCTTCACAGCATGTACCTGGTGCTAGTTCACAAGAGGCAATGCCCCTCTCTAAAGGGGAACCCTACTAAAAGCAACAAACTAGGGCAGTGTGTTTACCCTAGCTTTAGGTGTTAACCTTGACAAAAAAGCTGGACCCTACAGCCTCTGAGCCTGAGCAATTTATCTTCTTGGCAAAGTCAGACTGAAAGCGTTTACGCTGAACGATTAAACTGTCGTAAATTCTTTGCCAATCACCACTCATATCTGATCGTTACAACTCACAAACTTCGTTTCAAAAGACGTATTCAAACAACCAGTGATAAGCATAATTATCACGAGGGGATTGTCTATAGTTATGCAAAAGATTGCGATCACAATGAAAGTCATTAAGTATAGACATTGTTGTATTTGCACTCATATCAAGGGATATTAAACAATTACCTTCTCAAGGCTATGTTTAAGTAACAAAACTACACACTTCAAAAATACCCAATCGATATATTCATATTTGTGTAAATTCTTATAACTCAAGATTCGCATTTACTCGCAACGCCAAATCTGTTGAGAAAAAACAATGAACAAACTGAATAATTTACCCTGAGAGTGTTTAACTCAACGTTGTTCGTGTTTACACGCGGATTTCCTTGGTTACTCATAATGCAAATTGCATATAAAGACAATGAAAATACGGGTGATGTTTGCATTTGGTTAGCGAGATGGCGTCATGTAACCAAGGATACGCACAGGTTGTGGACAACTTTTGAAGTTAGGAACTTAGGATTCTATAACTATCGAGTCAGTGTCATTCACAGTCATCATGGGTTTTGAAGAAGTAACTCGACCTTACAAATCCAGTAATCTACCAGGGTAAGTCAAAATTGTTGGTGCCATTGGCTGTGGATTGAGACGGCTCAGACAGGCTTGTTTTTATGCAGCCAATTAAATGACATGGGTCGGAATGAGTTTCATTTGTAAATCAGAGATATAGTTTACATAATTGTGTACCGTACAACAACACCTTCCTAGCTATCAATACTTTCCTAGTTCTCAAATCAAAAGCGTCATTTCCTGGTCTATAACAGCAACTTTGCCAACTATGTCAAATGCACTTGTTGAATGGGAAGATATACAAAAGTCAGAAGCATGTGACTATTTGTATATACGATTATTGAGTTATCTGGCAAGCTCTGGCTTATGCCCACTGTCCCTGTAATGGTGGTGAAAATTGTAACGAATTTTTCTTCAAGGTACACTGGTTATTGTCCACGACTGAGATTCAAATGTGGGCGAACGTATGGCGCTGATACGGATAAACTGACTCGGGTGAGAATACTGATTTAAATTTGACTTTCTTCCCCCGTTAACCATCATTTGAAAATGCACCGCATTATGGAACTGTCTAAAACCGCCTGAGATCAGTTTAGAAACAGCCGAGTTCTTCATCTATTTTGCTTTTTCACAGCTCCATACGAAAAACGAGAAGTTAAATCCACTGAAAGCAATCTCTTCGACATCCACAAGAGTTCAATTGCCATCACCAACAGGAGATAATAAGTTAACAGCCAACATGGTACCAGGATATACAGGTGGGTCTTTCCTCTATTTGTGCCGGTTTGATTGCATTTGAAACAGGCGATATCACAACCGATATAGTTGCCGTCAGTTTCTGTCAAATGGCTAAATTAGTTTGGCAATTTTTATTTTGGGGAATGTCAAATCTTTTTAAAATCGTTCATCAATGGAAACGTGTGCTGGCGCCAACCTTATACTTTGTTGTAAGACAGCAAAAGATTGAATCATTTTTCCATTCTAATTCATAGTTCTCCTTCTCTTGTCAAGGTTACGTGCCAATCCACACTCCGGGATATATATATGGCACTCGCTACAAGGAAAGCACCGAGGAAGCGCTCGAGAAGTTCCTTCAAACGAACGCAAAACAAAGATCAGATCAACAAGATCTAGCTCAGACCGCAGCTTCAGCGCCATCGCTGAGAAAACGTTATGATTTCCACGATCCAGCCGTTTATCCGGATCTAAACCCAATGTACAGCAAAAACTATCGAACAAGTAAGTTCCAGCTCATTTTTTGTCAAGAAGTACCTTGACTACACAAAAAGGCCTTACTGCGGAATTCGTAGGCATAAAAACACGAATTCCCTTCGGGTTTTTTTCAGCTGACAGAAAAGATTTTCTGGAACCGCCCGTTCTCGGCTACACTGGCTTTGTACCAAACATTGAACAGTTTGGTCTGGGGCAAAGGTATACGAAATGGACCGAGGAAGGACTGGAAGAATCCGTGAAATCAAGGCTCAGACAGGAACATTTATTGACGCAAAGAATTGACTTGAAAAGGTAAAATAAGAGAGAAACAGTCAACGGGATATAGACTCACCTTTAGCGCAGGAGATAAGCAAGTTATAGGTAGGAAAAAAGAAATGGCAATTATACGACCATGGTCATATATTCGCCGGAAAATGGCAAATATACGACCATGGTCATATATTCGCCGGAAAATGGCAAATATACGACCATGGTCATATTCGCCGGAAAATGGCAAATATACGACCATGGTCATATTCGCCGGAGTCGTTGCTCAAGTCGTGATATACTTCATTATTTATATATAGACCCGATTGCTCAGTTCCTGAGAATTTGAAAAGTTTTAAAGGCAATCCAAGTCTCGGAGTTTTGTACAGAAAAAAAGGCATGTTACCGAAATACACTGGCTACATACCATGTAAGTAAAGATTACATCTCAGAGTCTGTTTTGTTTGCCATGGGTCTAGGACTCTAGCCATTTATGGTCTAGCTATAGTTCTGGTTAGCATCATCAGGGCGTCATGGACATGGCAAACTGTCATAGTAATTTGTCTAATTTATAAAGCCTGTTTCTGACTAAATCTTGAAACCTTAATGGTATAAAACCAGCTGAATAAAGACTCTATTTTAGGTGCCCGCTTCAGATATGGAAAGACATACGGAAATACCACGCGAGAAGGCCCTGCGTGCGCAGACCCTCATGGATATGCCGCTGGCAAATACATAACTTTTCCTGTTGTGTGATCACCTCATACGCACAAGCCATGCACAGGCTATGCAGGCTGACTGACACAAGAGGTTGGTCTCGTAGAGTAATGGCTGAACAGAGATGGTTTAATAAATCATTGATGTGGCACAATGTATATGACTGTAGCACGGAACATGAACTGATGCAAGACGACTAATCATTAGAATTTTATTTTTAATATTTACTTAATAACTCTAACATGTTAGAGAATTTCATAACTATAACATGTTAGAGAATTTCACAAGGGCGGCGGAGCCGGTTTTGGAATGGGTGGGATGGGGGGGGGGTTTGGAATGGGTGTGATGTCAACTTTGTCAGTTGCAGGTTATAAATAATTCAAGTATTCTAGTCTTGAAAATTTGGCAAGACAGCAAAGAAGTATTTAAGGTTCGCCGAATGTACATACGTGTGTGAATTTCAATTTTGTATTTTTGAGTGCAAAATAAACGAATCATCTTATAGAAAAAAATATTCACCGTTTATACTGAATCATCTTTATTCTTGCCTTTGAATCAGCCCGGCATCAGTGTAAAACGAACGAATGTAAAAAATCTGGTATATGCATGTGGCAGTTTAAATGTGATTAAGAGTTTGATACATCCGCTTTCGACAACTTATAGGTATTGCCGTCAGGTATCAGAGGTAACGACATGACGGTAAAGCATAGGTTAACTATGGTTTATGCACAAATCGAGAGTTTTTGATGCGGTCTAGCTACGACTAAAGCCACCTGGTTTGACATTGCTAGCTTACCGATTCGGCGCCTCGCTGATTTGTCTAGACAGCAACGAAAAAACTGAGCATTGGCCCCTGTCTGCTTGATTCTCAGTGGAAATATTAAACTGTATAATTAAGTTATTTGTCATCTACTACTGGGTATCATTTCAGGCCGAAAGATATGAAAGGAAAAATTGCTAAAAAAATCTTCAAGCGTTGGGAACTCTGTTTCGCCGACATTTATAACTGCGTGATCTGAATGTCATCACGTTTTAAACCATGTTCTCCTCATGATGACGAGTTCCACTTGTTTAAAATTGAAATGAAACGCAATTATCAGAAAATGAGCGACACATTAACCGTTGTAGAAAAATCACTGGTGATTTATTGCATAGTTGACAGAATTAGCAGCATGCATGACAGACTGAAAACTGATGGAATATGAAACGATTGATATTTCAAATATGTCAAAACGCAAAAAACGGTTTTCAGTTGCACCACTTCAAACCACTCTGTTTGTTTTTTTTCTACAAAGCTCATCTTCAGTAACCCACAAGTGGCAAGAAAGAAAAAACGGCTCTGTACTTTCCAGAACACCACTATTTATACTACTGCGTTCAACTTCTACAGTTCATTCAATTCAATTCCATTCAGCTAAAGACGTCAGTGATTTAAAAACAACTCAAAAAAACCCCCGGTGAAGAGAATTGCAAAGTTTGGAAAAGGGTTATGGTGGCCATATGTTGCCTAAAGGCACTTTAAGTTAAAAAAAAGTTTGGTTAACATTCGATAGGGTTTGCCTTTCCTAACACAGCTATGCACATGAGCCCTAATTTCATTAGACATAAAAATGATCGATTTTCCATCACGCCTGCTTCCCCAACAGCGTGGGAAAAACCAACCCGCTCCATGTCGGAGAAACGAGACCTAAATTACCTCAGCGTGTACTGTGTGGAATTAATGTTTCGTCGATAATAAATTATACAGCCATAATATATTGCACATCACAATGAATTTGAAACTAATCCTGAACAATACTGATTTAAATCTTTGTTGACACATCACTTGTATTTAATATCCATAAAACTAGATTGGCTATTAGCACGGAAACTGGATTAAATCGTATACCAAAAGTTGACAGCGAAATCAACAAGTATAAACGAGATATTTAGTAAACGCTTTGCGCATGCCTTGCGCTGAAATAACTGTCATTTTACAGTTATCAAGCTCTCGAATGCGGCAGCTGAGCTATAACCATTTATGCAGATGTATGATCAAGTTTAAGAGCATACACCGCAGACAATGCCTGGCGAGTATTTTTGGATGCTTAAGAACTGCTGAGTGATCTAATTCTTACATTTATCATTGTGATGTGAAGTGCTGGTGTATGTTATTAAACACGGGTGACCTTCTATAATGCTTTCACATTAAGACCAAATTAAGTTTTATCTATTCAAAAAATTTAGGTAAATATTTTGAAAAAAGTTTTATAGATTTAATAGAACGATAACTTGAAGAATTACTCGATATTCTCCGTGCAAGTCACTTTTTAGTTTTGCGCATATGACAAACCTTAAAATCGATCGTAATTGAGAACTTCATGACAGAGAATATGGCAACAATTTCACCTAAATGATAATCTCCTTTGGTATTTTTGAAACTTATAAAGTATTAAAGACGAAAAAACATCATTACGATGCATTAATCTCAATCTGACAAATGAGGTTGTAAGCGTCTTCCTTGTCTTGAATGTGAAGCGAAATCAAATATCGTGTAGTACTGTTGTAATATTTGAAAACGCCTAGACAGATAATCTTTCCTAGCATTTCCTCGTATCGTACACGCCTAGACTTTAAACCTGGAAAGATTAAGATGCAGCACACCAGCTTGAATAGACTTCCCAGCATTACAAACAGGAAGACCTACTTGGAACACTCAAGCGCAGTTGGGAGCCCAAATTGGGATTTCAGTTCATCATTTAGTATAAGTCTTAAGGATTACATAGATAACAAGATCCCCAGAAGGATGATATGTAATTTAACTGGAGTGTATGCAAAAAGGATTTTGTTAGAGACATGTTTATTTACATGGAAATGTGACATAGTGAATTGCTTGTTTTGCTGAAGAACGGAATCCAATGAATTTTCCCTTAAACCTTGCGACATATCCGGATTGTAAGCCAAATGTAAACCTCAAATAAACTGGATTAGGCGAATGGACGAAATTAATGCATATATTGAAACAATTTGTCGGTTTTCGAACCCATAGTGAGATAGCAACAAAAACACACGTAAACACAGGAAAACAGACTTCAAGTGAAAGATGACCCCATGTTATTTACAAAGGGCGGAGACGAACAATATTTTGATATACATTACAGGGCTTTTAGCAAGTGTTCATATCTCATGTATACAAATATTGCGGCTTGTACCACTGACAGCCGTTCTAATCACGCTCTAATTGTGCTAATTAACATGGTTCTGTACTTAATTAACACTGTGATATTTGATTTAGATTCAGTTAACAACCAGGGCGTGAAGCATAGCATTGCTCGAAGGTGCTAATTAACATTAACCACTGTTTGGGGGGCTTTTTTGGTGTACGAGAATCAGAGTTTTGCTCCAGGTCATTACTAATTTACTATTTTTACAGTCTTATACTCATTCAAAACAATGAATGTCATGATACCAGAATACAGTTAATGATATCTTTTCTCCCGCAATACAATCATAAAAGCTCGCGTAGAACTGCAGAAGAATATCATTTTTCACCTGACTCCACGTATGCACAGGATTAAAAAGTACGACGTTTTGGCATGACCACAATTTAGAGGCGTAACGAATGTTTTTTTTACTCTCCTTGCACTCTAGAGCTTCGTTAAGTTCACTTAAGCTGTTAACCAGATTGTCTGGTGAAATAAAATATGGTGATAAAATACACATATCGATTGTTTTTCAGGTTTACACCTTTTAAGTACCCAACCATGGAGGTCTGCGTCTTGCCTTTCGCAAAGGTTTTTTTGGGGGGTCTTAATTTGGATTTGTTTGTGTATTCGTCGAGACTTTCGACTGTTAGATATTCCCTGAAAGAATGCGCCGATTGGCCTCACAAGAGAATGCTCAAAATACTGAATAAAAAACCATCGAGAAAGGTCTCCGGAAGAGAGAGGTGGTTCTAGCACTCTCGTGAAACTTAGGTATAGATTCTTTGCACTTTTGTCGGTGATAGTTCAGCGCAAGTCGACAGATTCATTTTTCAATACAGCTTAAGACGATGCTTGAAATGAACTTTCCATTTGAAGACAAACAGTGAGAGATTGTTTTAATCCACTAGAGACAACTCAATCTCGCTGGAGACAACTTGCTTGGGAGATGACAAATGCCAATGAAATCCAGTTTGTTAGAATGCCGAGAATATTCCTCGCTGTAGTTCCAGTGCTCGAGGAAGAGAGTGCACTCAGGCCTATCATTCAGGCCTCTCCACGGCACCAGCTGCTGCATAATGCGAAATTTCCAGCAATGACTGAGCGCTAAATGTTCACAATGAACCATAGCAATACAAACTACCGTAAACTGGACTGATCGAAGATAGTATTATGGAATAAAAGCTAGTGTTGGTTTTGGGTAAATTGGGAATACAGGTGAAGGGGGAAGGCGCGCATGCACTTAATGCATTGATGTAGGTATAGTTGGAATTTTGGAATGTTTACAACTCTCTAACTCATTTCTTTCGGTATCATATTCTCGGCTCGTTTAGTATTCTGGCAAGTTCTCTGACGCGTGCTGCCGGCTGAATACAAATTAATCGGCAGATATAATTTCAAGCCCAAAAGAATGAATTTCCAGCCAGACTAGACGTCACCAGGATCAAGCACAGAAAGAGGGGTTGAATTCATTCGAAGGGGAATACTGGGGCAGACTTCTTGGCTTCACACTCTGACTCTTAGACTGTAAACCGCCATTCTAATCCACTGCTTTTAAAAAGTTGCGCAAAAAAAGCATTCAAAATGGACAGCAACCTTTCAACATGATTTTACGCCATGTTTTAAAAATATCGAAGACGCCCAAAGAAAACATTTGCTTTCCATTTCAAAATTCCTTTCGGCTTTCTTGACGCGTCGCTGTCGCAACATAAGCAAACTATCGCTATCACTTCGCCCCTTGTTGAAATCACATTTGATGTTTTTGCTGCAAGACGACAGGCCGCTACTTCGGATGTTATTCTTAACCAAAAGCCTGGCTGCACCCCAGACGGCCTCAGTGTATTACAAAGCGGTAAAATACGCGCTTAAGTTAGCGACGAGTGAAGAAACAGATGTTTCAAGGTATTTTACGAGCACAGCTACCTTGCTGTGAGCACGTTGTTGCCGTAACTGCCTCTGGTCGACAACTGCGCAGCGTCCTCGCGCACTCTGTGTACTAAATACCAATGTTTCTCAATAGAAATTCGCATTTCGATTTATGTATCTACAGCAAATTTGCACCTTCACTAGCAAAGGTTATAGGTTATATCAATTAATGAAGACGTCTTGCTGTTTCCACTAAAACGCACCTTTTACTCATTGTCCGTTGGAAAAAAGCCTTCATTTTAAGTAAGAATCGTGACTACACGTTTTTTATCACGGCTGGCAATATCAATATGCATGGGAAATCCTGTCGAGTAGTTTTCGCCATTCACTCCTCTTTCTTCCTTCATTATTACCAGAAACGAATCATTTTCAGTTTTCCCAGAGATTCATTATTGACTAGAATTAAGAACACTTTTAAAAAGCATTAAATAACCATGGGCTGCAACCTGTCAAGCTCAGCTTTTAAAAAACAAAAAGGTTCAATGTTTCATTAGCATTCTAAATGCTACTTATCAAAAGCGCCTGCTCCGTTGGAACACACTTGTGTTTGAAATGAAATGGCTTCACCTTCGGCCAAACTTTTATGCGCAGAGCTTAATTGGATCTCAATGGAAGCCGTCACTATGAAATAAAAGTATCATTGAAATAGATATGAGGTTATTTTTTCCCTTTTATATGCCGCGAACAAGTGCGAAATATTCCTCCCCAATGGCACTCGGAAAGGAACAATATTTGCGAGCGAACTCGGCTCTTAAGTGGCCGTGAGTAAACAAATATGAATTTTCAAGGAAATTCCTTCATGTCATTGCTCTATATCTTTTAAACCCTGTTCAATTATGGTACGAGCGGCATATGAGAGTAGAGGGTACATCAGTCAATAGAGGCAATTTGCGCAAACTACGCGGCTCCAAACGCCGCCTTGTCTATTAAGCCCTTGAGAATATGGGAGGATTAGACCCGCACGGGTCGAAATAGCTTTCATGTCAGTCTGAGATTTCTCTTGCGCGTTGCCATACCGGAGCAGATTTGAGTGTGAATTTTTTTGACATGTTTAAAGGAAATGCATGGTGCGTCATCTCAAGAATGACTCTTCGAAGCTCAGCTTGATCGGAGGACATTCCGACCAGTCAATGCCTCAAGAAGGCTCGCGCACCAAGCCCACTGAGAGTTCATAACGCAGCGTCTGAGAACCAAAGCAACAAACTATCACTTTCCAGACAAACGGCGGTGAAGAAGGCCTGTGCCGACATTGTTTTCCTCTTAAAAGAATACCACAGAATGTGTGCGTTAAAGGTAAGTAAAAGAGTACTAATGGTCTGCTTTTCTAAACAAACAGAGCTTATTTCGTCTCATTTGAATCGTTTCCACATAATTAGCGCGGTTTCTTTTTGAACGTGGTGCACAAAGGCATGCCTTTGGGAGGGGGATTACATGAGTAGATGAAAATGAAGAAATTCTTTATCTTTTTAGTTCTCTTTGAGGACTAAGGGCGTTTAAGTACTTGTGTAATAACGTGTGAACTGGGAGCATTCATACGATCCAGTGTAAGGATGGGTCATTTTGAATCATTCGTAAACGATTCATAATTGAATTTATTTTAAAGATAAACGACGCAGATTATTATCGGTAAATGAAATCACTTTATTTGTCTAAGTTTACTTTAATGATATGGAAAGTTTCCAAGTTAGCGTAAAGGTAAGCAGTAGAGTGCAAGTCAAGTTTTTGTCGAAGGAATTAAGTTCGCTGAATGACGCGGTTGAATCTGTCAGCTTTTGTGATAATAATGAAATGAACAGTCGTCTCTAATTGTGTCGTAAACGTGTTGTTTCATTATTGATTGATAAACGATATTTAATTTTCGGTAGGTGCAACACAGATCTTATCACATACTAATTTTGAACGCCTTGAGCAAGTTATTTTTTCATCGATCATATCCATCATTGAAAAAAGGATGCTCGCATTTTTTTCAATTAATACCGCGGTCAGATTATGTAGTGAACAAGTGTAGGGTCTTATGGCTAAACCATGTACTGTTAAAAGTTCATTTCTCATCAGGGTAACATCACTCACTTGCTTAGTCGAGTGTTGGTCTTCTGCCCGGCTATCTTTAGATAAAACTCGTGCTATCGCAAGACAAAAGAAAGCGGGATATATTACCACTCAAATACAACCCGGAATTTTCGCAGAGCTGTCATCGCAAGGTTGTTCATTTTAGCGGCGTTATGTATTTCCAAACAGATTTCATATGTAATACCATTGAGTATACCCGTTCGCGGGTGAGTTTGTTTCAAAGATATCTCATGCTCGCGATCGCAACGCATGACCCTGGGACGAGTTTCTGATCCGCAATTTGTTCTCAAAAATGTTCCCTAGAGCTGCCGTGATGTGCTTTGTATTTTCATGACTACAACTGCATGCGATCTTGTCCTAAACATGCTTCCATATCTTCATTTCAAACTGCCAACAGTGGTTGGGCCACGGCGTGAATCAAGCTAAAATAATCGCGTAACCTCTGACTGGTTCATATGATTATTGTCAGATTATCGCTTAAATAAATAGATTAAACGGTGGTAGAATATACCGACGTGTGCTCTATTGCGCCGGCTGATGTTTCTATCACGAAATGTGCACTGTAAACCGTCGTTCGTTGATAATTTGTTGACTGATACGTGACTATAACATGTGCAAAGGTGGGAACTTCTCACATTTGCCGAAAACTAATTTAAGTTGGAATCAAACTCGAAATGACACAGTGAATGTGTGTGGACACCCTCCAAGACCAATTATCGTTTGACTCTCACACGCACGCAGTTATCATCTCGGTAAGATTGCCATGAATTATATACGCACTTCTCTGTTCTTATAATGTTTGCATCAATTGCTCAATAATAGTCTGTTTAAAGAGTCTTTGATTGTGGATATAAATTATAACCCTCTCTCTCTCTTCTCGTGATATTGAAATCTTTTAAATTCCAAAACCTTTTAGTAATAATCCCCAAAGGCTTTGTATCCTAATTTCCTGTTTCAAATAAATAATACTCACAGCGCTAAAGAGTTCTATTGTCGCCCCTGATGCGGCCTTTGGTGGTGGTCGCCAAAAAAGATTATCAAAATCTCCAGACTATCATGATTTTCTTCTTAATCTATTTATATGCAATTAATTCTAACAAAACATGTATCCCCGAGGCAAAGAAAATGCAATTACCTCGCTGAAACTTTAGGCAAAGCATAGCCTACAAAGATTTATAGAAAATACTTGCATAGTTTTATAGCAACCAGCTCAAGACTCTAGGCGTTATAATTATACTTTAGGAGCAGAAGAGACCTGGGGTCCTATGCGATTACCCTGATTTTCTGATCAAATGCCTGAAATACGCCTGAGAACTTCTCGATCTTTTGAGACATTCATCAAGAGAGACAGTACATTGCTATTTGATTCAGTTCAGTATTTGATTGATCTGTTTCCAGTCATTAACTTGTCTCATAGTCATATGGTATTGCATGTACCAATTCATCATCGCAAACCAATAAATTTAGCGGACAAAAATCTTTTAACCGTTTGAACAATAGATGTAACGTAACACTGCGCCATTGGGAACGAATTATGTAGACACGACATTTATAATAGGATCAAAGATTGCGTCCAGACTCCAGCAGAATTTGCACAGTTTCCAAAAATTTTCAAAGGTTTTAATTAGCATGATTTATCGACCCAAACAAGAGGTCATCAATGATATACGTGGATATAATACGCATTCCTTGGTATTATAACATATCACTTCATGACTTATCCCCTGCTGAAAAGGCTCTTCTTGTTCATCATTGTGTCTGAAAGTCTCCGCTCAAGGATAAAGACACCGAGGGTGATCGTAGACAAAAGGTCTTCCTTCCTTGAAGACAGGAAACTCTTCTATCACATGTGTTAACCATCATGGGTTTACCATCATGCAGGAAGTATAAAAACAAATACCATCAAGTTGTGGTTAGCTGTACTTTCCTTGGCGAATTCTCAGAATATTCCTCATACCGTTCGAGCCTTAGGTAGAAGGTGGTGGATCAAAGGGGAATGGTGCATGGAGGGGCGAATAAAAACAACGCCGATTCAAAACTGGTTCGTCTAATGTGCGACAACTGAAAACATAGTTGACAGAAACTAGAAAATTGAAATACAAATTTCTCAATAATAATACCATACGTTGGGTAAATCTAGGGGTGGTATATTAGAACAACAATATTCCATTCATACATCAGTTGGTGCTTAACCGAGCCATTGCCATTCTTCTCTTTCAGGTGATCGTCCTGTTTCACTTCGTTGTAAGCGCTTTGCTCATGACATCCACGCCAAGTAACGCAAAACGTCTACGGCAAACGTTTAATAGGAAAACGTTGATGAGTTACAGGAGCTACATAAATGAACTGTTCACCGACAAAAGTATAAAGAGAAGACCACGCCATCTTGCTTTTCAAAACAACACACCCTCGGGTACAATGAAGGTCCAGCTATATTGTAGAACTGGATTTCTTCTCGAGATTCATCCCAATGGGTTGATCGCCGGCACACGGAACGTGTCTTCTGAACACAGTAAGTTGCCTGAAGAATACTTCAACTATAAGAACGTCATGATTTCAGGGCATTCTTCTGACATATTTGGCACTTTAACATGTTTTTATTAACTTTACAGCAATCATCGAAGTTCAAGCATTTGGTCATATTCTCAGACGTCTCAAAGGGGTTGCTAGTGGAAGATATCTTTCTCTCAACCACAGAGGTCGCTTGTCCTCAACGGTAGGCCAAATACCTTGCTGTTCTGTACGAATGCATGGTCGATTTTTCGCTCGAAAAGAAACAGATATTCAAAGAAACAACTTAGGAATCTAGTGCATTGTAAGAATCATGTTTCAGAGAAACCCGGCTACGACCGCACGGTTGACATGACCTGGCATTAAAAGCCATTAATCTCGAAAATCTGCTATTTTTGCAGTTTAATTTCCGTCAGAATGCTAACACGTTCTTCAATGAAAAATATGAAGAGAATTACTGGTGCAGTTATAGTTCAAGTAAAACACGAAATTGCGGACCTTGGAAGGGAAATACAGATGAATGGTTTATTGCAATAAAAAAGAATGGTTCTTTAAAAAGACCATGTAAAACAGCGCCGGGAATGCATTCGACGCAATTTATAGTTCTACGACAGAACCACGCGTCCACACACGTCAAAGAGAACTCGGTCGGCGGAGATGACAACTGAATTTGGATTTCACTAAGTCGGCAAGACCAAGGAAGAATTATATTTGCACAACTGCGCACTTGCATTGAAATTAATTTTAGAAAATAATTGTTGCTGTCAGATAGTTTTGCGGATAGTTGGCTAGACAATTTAGTTGTTTTATGATCGTTTGGCGATAGTCGATAGATAATAATCAGTCTGTAAGTGAGGTGGATAGTGCTAAAGGACATGTTATTTGTTATTGGTTTCTGGTTCAATATTGATGCAAGAATTGAACCTCGCCAAGCTCTTTTTTATAGAAATATATGAATGTTAAGAACCGCAAGATACAGGACAGCAGTTCGAAATATATACTGCAAATGTATATGCCTCATTTTCAATTGAAATTTTGCATAACCCTGTAAAAATTTATAAGTACGTATGCTTGTAAAAATAAGTATGAATTGAGAAAAGACCAGAGACTTTATCTTTTTAGAGATAACGTAATCAAAAGATTAATAAAATTATCACTTGCAACTAAAATATTGTAGTGTAGTGACAATCCAGTTAAAATTTCTAATAGACAGTTCAGAGTCACTGATCTTTATACACGCCTGGATTACTAAATTTTTCTGTCCCAATAACATGAAGTACTCGCTAACGCATACCACTGATCACTAATGTTTGCATGATGCATGAAATTTTCGGAAATAAAAATAATTTATGCATCTTATTCTAAAATTCAATAAAAGAAGAAAGGTTATAAGCAAATGGATATAAGTGGAATATATCCTCCCATTCCAACACCTTTCAATGAAAAGGAGGATATTGACTATGAAAAGTTGAAAGAGAATGTTGAAAAATGGAATGAAATCCCTTTTAAAGGTATGAGATATTTTATACTAATATGAAGAGAACGTTTTCATAATTTACCAGGAATTGAAAAGATGATCTGGTATAGTCATGTCAAGCAATTAAAATATCACTTGATGAGAACAATTTTGAGCCTATATTTCTACATACAGGGTATGTTGTACAGGGTTCCAATGGAGAGTTTGCGTACATGGACTCAGACGAGAGGATAGATCTTGTGAAGAAGGTCAGGGAATTTGCTCCTAAGGAGAAACTCATCATTGCTGGTGCTGCATGTGAAGGTAATGATGTGCTGGTAGATGAAAGACAGAATCATTTTAGTACACTAAGAAAATTCAACCAATATTCATTGTGTAGCAATTTAAGGTAGTTAAAGTAGATGTACCCATAGATGTACCTATTTTTAGTATACCAAGAAAAAGTTGCCAAATAATTAGAACACATCATACGAGCTTTTACTGTCAGTGTTATCTATTTTAGTAAAGCTTCCAGTAGATTGATTGCACATATTTAATGGAACAAGTGCCGTCATTCAATTAAACATAGAGTACTATAAAGATACTTCAGGTTTCATCCTCCATTCTACATGCAGGTACAAATCAGACCATCAGCATGGCACAAAATATGGCTTCTGTAGGAGCAGATGCTGTCCTTGTTGCTACTCCTTGCTTTTATAAAGCTGGAATGACGAAGGAAGCCTTGGAAAGGCATTACACCAAGGTAACTACAGTGTAATGAATATAAGCCAATTGAGTCAACCAAACTATGCTCAATTAGGTATGCTTATTTTGTGTTGAATAGGTTGCAGATTCATGTCCAGTGCCTGTGATTTTGTACAGTGTCCCAGCAAATACTGGTATTGACCTGCCTGAGGAAGCCATTGTTAATTTATCAAGACATCCAAATATTATTGGACTCAAAGACAGTGGAGGCAATGTATGACTTTCAACTAACATTCACACATATAATGTAAGATTTGTGCGTATTCCACTGTTGTCTAAATATTCATCAGAATATACCAATTTTCACATAGATTACTAAAATTGGTAGTGTCATTCATCGAACTTTAAAGGGAAGATTTCAAGTTTTGGCTGGTTCGGCATCCTTCCTCTATGCATCTCTCAGTTTAGGTAATGAATGAGGTTTACTGTGTATGTTAATGGTCTTCTTCTGCCTATAATGCCCTGAATGGATCCAGGTTGGAAGCTAAATGGCTCATTGGGTTAAATCATAGAATAAAGAGCAAGGGCCACAATGATATAATGTGTGCAGTGGCTAGAGACACAAGAACTGCTTTGCAGAGGACAGTTTCCCACTTTCATCAGCAGCACATGATAGTTATTATATCAGTTTAATTGTTGGATGAAAATTCACATGTTCAACGCACTGTTTTAGGTGCTGTTGGTGGCGTGTGTGCGCTGGCTAATGTCTTAGGCAAAGAAGTTTGTAAATTGGCTGAACTTCACAGAACAGGTGACCACGAGAAGGCGAAAGAAATGCAACATAAACTTATCCTGCCAAATACTGCAGTAAGTTTGACTTGGCCCAGCTAGACAAAAACATTTTAAACAACCTTCCTATCTGGACTGTTTCGTCTTCCGATAAAAAATTGAATTCAGCCTATTCGAGTTTTTTATATTTTTAGAGTTACCAACTTTATTGGCCAAATATATTGTTGTACTGTACTCGACTGCATTATTTACTCAAAATTTCCAAGCACCTTTCCCGAGTTGCTGTCGTTTGTACCATACTAGAAATAGATTAATCTTACCGTGGTAAAAATTTTTCCAGTAGGCCAGCGTGATTCACCACCTTCTCTGTGCCACCTTCTTCTAGGTTACCTCCAGACACGGGATTGCTGGTCTCAAAACTGCTATGGAGATTTTTGGATATTACGGAGGTCCAACAAGGTCACCATTACTGCCCTTAAAACAAGAACAGATCGAAGATGTCCGGCAAATATTCGAACCATTTTTGTGAAATATTTTATTGGACTGACGCTAAGGAATACGGAATGCTATTTGGAATTGATCTAATCCTAGTTTTATACAATGTTGCAAACATATTTTATACACGTCCAGCGTGCTTGAGAAAGCTTCTTTATTTCGGAAAACATTCATCACCTACCTTCAGACACACATCTCCTAAAAACCTGCTATCTGCAAGGAACAATGTAGATCTATATCACTATATGTGTCATCAACCTTTTAAAATAAAAATTTGGCTTGCAAAATATGCAAAAATCATCTAAAACAAATTTGCATTCAAAATAGTTTACAACCAATATGTATTGTCCTATTTAGTATATTTAATCTCTATGGTACAAGGAACGGAGAGTTTTGACATATTACGTACAGAATTTGCAGGTGATCATCACCAAACAATGCAGGCCCGAATCAAACCGAAGGCTCAACATTAAGAAACAAAATATACAGAATTTTTACAACTATGGTTTGGGAACATTTTGACACTTCTATCATCTGCATAAAAGGCGTAAACACCTTGTCACAACGGTAATATTTTTAACTACCATCCACCTAAGTCTCAAAGCAAAATACCGCGAGCAATTGTCTAGTAAATACTCTTGTATATGCACTTGTTCAAATCGCATTCCACACCACCAGGGTTAAGAAAAGATGAGTGCATATATTTCGAATCTTTACTATCGTTATATTGATTAAATTATTAGTTGGACGGAACTTATTCAATGCAGTTCAGGGGAAACGTTAAACGGTAGACAGTGTAGTTTTGAATCGATATAACTCTAAAGCTACGATTCAGAACTACAGTGTTGTTCTTCATGTATTGAGCGAATCTCTAGCTAAATTGGATCTCAGTGTATGTTAACAAAGATGTACACACACACGAAGACTCTTCGTAAACAACTTGAAATAACATGCACTGAAATCAGGTTTTGAACATTCTCTAATAACTGCGCGGTATTGGCAGGGCGGGGGATTGTGTTGAGGAGCTAGAGACGCGGGGTAACGTGAGGTGCGCTAACCAACCAGAACTTGGTGCAAAATGGACGAGAACAAAACATGCATGACCCCTCCCTCCCACGGTGTGTTCCGTACTTAAAATATAAAATGTATATCTACGTGTAGATTAATGGCTACTACTTTATATTACGACGTATGAACAGTATAGATATATAATGTGAAGTCCAGGTTACTGATTAAAAACAATCCAACCGTAGTGATGGCCCGTGCAAACCAAAACTTGTTGTGATTCAAAAAAGAACTGCTACAAGAGTATTTCTGGGTTTTCTGTGTTGTTGGCCACAAAAAGAAACATTTCAGGAATTCATCAAATTCGTAGAGCGACGATATGGCGGGCGATTTTATTTCGTGAAAACATAGAAACTTGTCAACCGTCGACCACAATCTAGCGACCTATATAGAGATAGAAAGATGAGCGTCACAGGCGGGTTCTTAACTACCCAATGATTATTAGCACTATCCCTAAGGGTGGAGACTGGATGGACAGCCAAGATCGGAATTTTTTCATAAAAAGCAATTTTTACTGCAGGTAAAGAGCAAAACGCAATAAAAACTGCAACTGTTAACTGAAGAGCCCAGAATTTAAAAAATGCTTACAGTGATCCTGGGTTTAACCGAGTTTAAACGAAGCACGAGATGATTTTGAAGTATTGAAATAAGTCATTACGAAAGGAAACAAGCACATACTATTGTCGAGATGACTACACGACTGCCATTTCATTCAATACCTCAAAGTTATCATACGCTCCGTTTAATCACGGCTAAGCTCGATTATGTGAACAGTCATAAACACATAGAACCCTCTACTTCAATACTAGAAAAGTTATCTCAACTGAAGAGCGATGTATGACGGTGGAATGGAATGAGATACCATACCTCTCGTCTTCGGCTCTCGTTCATGCCTCTTGGCACCAGTGCCCGTCGTGGCTGCCGCGGTGCTGGAACTCGAGGCCTGTTGTGCTGCTTTCTGTTTCAGCAACGTCCAATCAAACACGTAGTCGTATTGATGGTTCAATGTGCGGAACAGAATTCGAAATAGTTGCCTAAGGTACATGTAGTCTGGTGCCTCTTCAAACCGCAGACCACGGCAGTAATTCAAGTACATTGCAAATTCGGCAGGAAAACCCTAAAATGATGATAAATAATAATATTCATGAGGAAATTTTTCACAAACATGGAAGGGGGGTGGTATGTAACCCCTCAGAGCAGAATCTAAAAATCTGGTCTTGTCTATACATATGAAGAGACCATTCAGGCTACTTACTTTACAAAGGACCTCTACAGGAGTTGACATCTTCTTTTCACTAATTTTTTCGTATTTCTGTTTCTTTGTCGCAGCCTACCATTAACAGACAGTCAGTCAATTGACACTAATCACACACCATTTCCATGCATTTATAGAGGAGTCAAAGCAAAAGGCAATTGCATGCAGTACCTTTAGTCCTTGCCAGGGTAAGCTCGTTCTGTTGAAGTACATCAAGACATAGCCCAGTGATTCCATATCATCCCGTCTTCTACAAAAACATACAAGCAAAACAATGATGAGAAATGTTAAAATACATTCATTCATTTATTTCTCTCGATACTCAAGGATTTGCCTCATTTACTTGTGGTGAAATGAAACTAATCTCTCCAGAAAGACCCAATATCCTGCAACTTATTTTGTCTTTTGATAGAAGTAATCGATTTAAACATGCTCTGTCAATACATCACAACTTACGATTGTTCAATCCCTAGATGGGCGTTGATACTTGCATATCTTGCGGTGCCAGTCAAATTCTTGTCCTCTCTATATACAATGTGTTGCTTGGTTCTACTATCTCGATATTTTTTGGCCAAACCAAAATCAATTAAAAACAACTGAAGAAATAAAAATACGATCAAATATTAGCCTCATTCTGTACAAAAAAATAAAAGAAAATCAACATTTTAAATACAGCTAGCAGATACAACGTTGTCATTTTCATGACACAAACTCACTTTATTACAATGCTTCCCGATTCCCATTAGAAAATTATCCGGCTTAATGTCCCTGTGAATGAAGTTCTTGTTGTGCACGTATTCTATTCTACCAATCATCTAGGAAAATTAAAATGATAAATTAAATACAAAGCAATAGTATGTGTGTCGATCAAATGTGTCCATCAAATATGATACTTGATATATATGACAGGGTTGGGCTGTACAAATGTATAGTTTTGCTCTTTTTTTTGAGCTTATCAACTGTTAAAGTTAAGAGAGCTTTGGACAGCTGTCCTCTGATCAACAGCAACTCACCTGATCTGCAAGCATCAAAACAGTTTTCATGGTGAATCTGCGCGAGCAAAAATTAAACAAATCTTCCAAACTCGGTCCTAATAAGTCCATGACTAGAATATTGTAGTCTTTTTCTTGTCCATACCACCTGAAAGTAAACATGTTTGATAAGCTAACTTTGCCTTGTTTGCATGATAATATGATAAAGTGATTATGAGTAATGTCAACACTTTAATTAAAAATCAATTTCACCTGATGTGTGGGATTCCCACGCCACCTTGAAGGATCTTGTACAACTTTGATTCATAAAGTAGTTGTGGATGACGAGCCTTAGACGACTCCAACTTCACCGCAACTTCCTAAAAGCCAGACCAAACGCTTTTAACATAGGAAAGATTCTATTGTAATAACTAACTTCTGGAGAAATCAGCATTGACTGAAATTTATGGAACAGTTTAGACCATTCTAGAAAAACATCAGCACGTAAAGATAACGATGGTTGTACTAGGCATATCAAAATTTTTCACGGTTAATAGTTAAACATATAAGAACGCACTATGCCTTCTGGCCCACACTACCCCCCGAAGATACAATCATTTTCAAAACATTTGGCTTTTGTGTTGCCAATATTAAAACAAGAAAAATGTTGAAACAAATCTCATCACAAATATTTTGACACTAACAATTCAATGATGCAATTGCAATATCGGACCTAGCCATGTAGGGATTCACTTGAATTCAACTAATGAGTTTTAAACTTAATAATGTAACTTTTTAAATGTAACTTCTAAAAAAAATTAATAAAATGAAATTCTACACCATTGGTATACATGAAGTATCGATTTCTCATAACAAAAACATATCATTCTCATTGTAAGATGTTTGAATGTTGAAATAACATAACTCACTGTTTAAATAACTACTAATGCAAAATAAGGAATGGAATGAGATCTCGTTCATTAAAACAATTCCGCTGAAAATATTTTCTTATTGATTACCAATATTTTACGAGCAATACACGGTAGAGTATACAATTACACGCCCTTTTGTAATGGGGAAACATTACAAGGTTAAACCACGCATTGTTAATTTCTTTTGCCGTGGTAAACTAGTTAAAACTAATGTGCAAAATTAACAATGACAAACCTCTGTGTTCGTTATATTTGTTGCCAAATAAATGTCCCCAAAGGAACCGCTACCAATCTTCCTTACCAAGCGATATTTGCTACCGACGATAAACTCTGATTTTGACTCTCTCGAGCTGGACATTTCTGAGGGAAGTCGCCTATTCATCAATTCTGATATTTGTTTCTAAACAAACACGCTTTTTGTCAGTACTTTTTTTGTGATTAACTAAACTGACCAGCTGCCTAGAACAGTAGAACTAGCTATATTTTAATAATATTAAATATTATTTATATTTTCACACAACAATCACACATAAACACCGTAGTCAACGCTCTGGCATCCATTTTGAAGAAGCAAATCAAGACAGTCCAATTTCAAATCGCCTTGTCATGAAAAATCGCCTTGGAATTTGACCTAAATGGCCTTTTAAAAGAGTTCGGCTTGTACGCGGTAAAAAATAAGTGCCCATTTCGCGAAGCGTGTGAAAATTTTAGTACTGATTTTTAGGGCTAAATTTCATTGCTGGCCATTGGTTGCCAAAGAAAATGCATTTAACGATATAAAGAGTTAACATGTTTTAAGAATTAAGTTATAAATCCAGTCCAAACAAAGCGGTATTTGGTCGCGGTTGAAGCGACATGAATAATTGAAGAGCGACCACGAACTTCATCCGGACACAATTTCGCCACACGAAATCATCTCGATTGTGCCCAAAACACAGTGTTTTCACTCATATACTTATAAATCAAGTATTCCCTTATATACGTATGCCTTCATTTAAAAAAAAAATACCCAAAAGCCATAGATTTCGCTAAACAAAGCCCACAAACGCAATAAACCCCCACATCACAGTCCACACAATACGCCACTATTGAGCTCATATTTAGTTATTTACAAGCAAAAATGAGCGCTTTTATAACTCACCTTTCCCCAAAGAAATTACGTCTAAATAAACCTAAAGATATGTAGTTCACCATAAGCATACAAAAGAAGCGGCTCGCCTTTGTTTAGATGATAGAAATAAGCATTACTTTCTACATATCAACTTCCAAAAACAACCTCCATTTTGCTTGTCTGCGGGAGTTTGAGGGCCAGCAGTCGACATTGGGGCTCAAACTTGTTGTCATGGTGATCACGAAAAATATGCGCAGATGAGATCATTCAGAAGTATGTGAAGCATTATGGTGTAAGAGTTTGTATGAGTGATATCACTTGAATATTGCACATTCAAGCTCGTTTTAGGCTGATTTTTAAATGAAGCAGCCCAAGGAACCCGCTTCCTGCTGATATAGTCAGACAATTATATTACAATGAGCTGCAAAATAGAAAATAAAACTGATTGACGGACATGCGCACTGCCCAGTTTCCCCGTCTGTCACAATCATAGAAGATACAAAGAAAAATATCTTATATAAACTTTTCGCGAGAAAAAAATACATGGACCTGGCAACCTTTGACGTGATACACGTGGTTATAGGAGGTCTAAGGGCGGTGTTCACATTGCAAGGGGGTGCCCCCCTGCTGCAGCCTCCCTTATTGGGGGGCGCCCCGTACGCCTATGCTTTTGCGACAGTCTTCAAATTTCTGCCTAAATGAAGGAAAAAAATACCCTAAAACGCCGTCAACGAAGTCAACAACGTAATGCCATCAATCAATGGTTCCGGTGTATAATTAAATAATAATATAACCAATGTTTTTACTTGAACTGTGCTAGAATTGCAAGTTCCTACAAACAAATTGCGAATTCCTACAAACATATTAAACCCAAATGAGCTTGTATCATTTCAAACACACAAGATTGCAAAGGAAAGGGTGTGCATTGCCAAATATGATGATCAGCAAAGTCATATGCCTATCTATAACCACATCATTTTTTTCACTCTGCATGATGGGTATCACTGACATTTCATATCGGTATTCATGTCTTTATGACAAAGAACTAAATACTTGTACGTCAGGACAAACATTTTTTTGTAAAACCATTAGCTCGTTGAAGACAAGAAATGCAAAAAATGCGAAAAATTATTTTTGCGCACAATTTCCGACATCTTCCGAAGATGGCGACCAACTTTTGAACGATGACTTTCGACATTTTGTTGTTATTGTTTTGCAGTGTTGTTTTGGAACGAAACTCGGAAACTGAATGAAAGCAAAACGGAAGCTGTATCAACTGCATGTTGTTTGAAGAGATTTGACAGAAAATTGTGTCAGTTTTGCAACTAAGAATCCAAGATTATACAGCTCATAAAAAATTATCCTTAGTGACTAAAAGAAACACTTTTATATATAAAGGTGTATCGCTACTGACGCTACATTAGCCTACCTACCTGCGTGTTGTGATTTGCTTTAGAAGCTAAGCATATAATAATTATTTAAGAGAGAACTTCAAATAATGGCAGCAGGGTTGGGAAGAAAGAAAATTGTTCTTCTTTCATGTGGATCGTTTAATCCTATTACAAATATGCACTTAAGAATGTTTGGTGAGTGGAATTAGTGAATTCTAATTTTCAATTAGTGAATTCTAATTTTCAATTATTCCTCTGGAATTTGCACTTTCGTTTTCACTTTTTGGGTCACCACTCAATTTTAGATATTTGATAAAATTTCGATATGGGTTTGATCTGAAAGATTGTCTGAACACTAGAATAATTGGAGGGTTTACCCTCTATTACCTTGTTCAACCCCCTTAATTGCCCCTTGTGTGGGGGGATCCCCCATGAGAACAACCATCAAACAATATTTTTGTTGCTTTTAGAACTGGCACGTGATGCACTTCATAGAACTGGATTATTCTCAGTTGTTGAGGGAATTTTATCACCTGTGAATGATGACTATAAGAAACTCACTACAAAGGTAATTAGTTGCACTTTTGATAAATGAGCCTGAGTTTTCTATGGAGTTTGTCAAAAGTGCAAATTGCAGGCATGAGAGAGCCTGTACATCTGTATAATGGACTCCCTTATTTCGTACGATTCCAGAAACTTGCATCAGGCCATCACAGATTTTCCATGGCAGAGTTAGCAACGCAATCATCTAATTGGATAAAGTAAGTCTAGTTGCATGTTCGCACTAGCAGATGTGCTGTGTAAGTCCCTAGTTATGAATTTATCTTAAATATAAATTGTAAGTGATGAGTCAGGGAAAGATTAATTATCTGTTGTGCTAATATTTCTTTAGTGCTGATGACTGGGAAGTTAAACAAAGTAACTGGGTGCCAACAGTTAATGTTTTAGAACACACCAAAGAAACTGTGGTGAAGAAATATTCCTCATCTGACAGTAAAGATGTCCCTTGTGTAAAATTATTATGTGGTGGTGATCTCTTGGAGTCTTTTGCAGTACCTGGACTATGGAATGAGGAACATGTATGTATATTAGAAAGAATTCCCTATTTCTATATGGATTTAAACCTTTTGCAATGGATGTTGTAGGCAATACACTTTCGCATCAAGTATCTTTTTTTTGTTTTACAAGATGGCTGCAATTGTTCGAGATTATGGTTTAGTTGTGATCACAAGATCTGGCTCAGATCCTGAGAAGTTTATTTATGAGTCTGACCTTCTTACAAATTACAAGGTAAGAGTTCTTGTTGCAAGTATTCAAGATACATATTTACCATCGGCTCATATTTTTCTCCATAATTTAGAACAACATATTTATAGTTAAGGAATGGATTTATAATGACATCAGTTCAACCAAAGTCAGGTAATTGTACTCGAAAATGAGATCCTTTCAAAAATACCATGCTGTGCTGTCATAGGTAAAAATATGGTTTAATATTTACCTTTTTTATCTTTAAAATAAACTTTTCACAAATCAAATTGCAGGCTTGCCTTGAGACGTGATGAGAGTATTAAATATGTTGTACCAGATCCTGTTATTGAATACATAAAGGAAAACAATTTATACAAGGTAAAGGCCATGTTACACAGTACAATTTTTCTTGCAACTTGCAATGCAATTCTACTTCTAAGAGATGCAAATTAGTGAAAAGTCTTGTAGAAGAAAAGTGCATGAAGTTTAATAAACACAAAAGTTTCCTTGTTCCCAAAAATACATCTCTCAAAAGTAGAATTGCATTGCAAGTTGCAAGAAAAATTGCACCGTGTAACAGAGCCTTAACATGCAAGCATTATTTTGATAGTTCCTTTGTTCTTTGAATCCAAACCCTTGCCTTTGGACACATTGGCAGTAACACAGCACACTTGTCCTTAGATACAGAATTGTTCATTCTCTTTCAGAATTAACAAACAACCAACAATCAATCCTTCTACTATTTAAACGGTTAAAAGCTTGGTATATATGAACAAGTAATTAGTGCCTGGAGGAGTTTGTAAAAATAAACGAATAGCTTAAAATTGATTGACAAACAATCAATCCTTCTACTATTTAAACGGTAAAAAGCTTGGTGGTATATATGAACAAGTAATTAGTGCCTGGAGGAGTTTGTAAAAATAAACGAATAGCTTAAAATTGATAGGTGTAATATAAATAGCAAGTTATTAATTAATAATTTATGTTTTGTGATTTATATTTTGCAAAGTGTGAACTTTCTCCACACTGCATGTGGGGTATGTTGTATAGCGAAGGCTGATGAACACTTTTGCAATATTTAACCATCAAACCGTTGACTAGAACAAGTTAACAGGTTCTATACAACAAGCCCCTTGTCATCAAAATGCAGAATTTGCATTAACAGGATTGAAAAAGCATTTCCTAAAGTTTCTTGAAACTATCTGACTTGCTGCAGAAAGAAAGTAAATGACATTCTGTGTTGTCTTTATACTGTCATGAAGGTTATTTTGCCATTTGGTAGTCCTAAATGCCTCTACAGCTCCACTTATGGCATTGTTTGTCTATATTATCGCTATACAGTACAATATACTTATATAAAACTTTGTACAATTTTCAATAAAACATGCCAGTGTAACTGCCTGAGGAGATATCTGACGACTCCATAGATGATCGACTTAAAATTTTGTCATCTTGTGATACAGTACTTGGTATTCTGTCATATGATACAGATCTTCCTGCTCTGTTGTTAATTATAATGTCTGATTTGTTGCTTCTTAAAAATACACTAAATGGGTTGTCCGTGTTAGTTGCACAACCGAAATCCTCCATCATGTCTTCGACTGTTTTTTCCGGATATTTCCCTTCCAGGAAAGCTTCAATTTCCTCGACAGTCATGGGGGATTGTAGGAACAAGTGAAGCCCACTGAATGATAGGAATTTGTTGATGTCAAGGACACTGAATAAGGGAAAGACAGAGCAGAACGGTTAACAAAAATCACAACCCACCTGGGTTATGGGGAAAAACCTAATTTTATATGACCAGTTCAAGCCTTAGGCAACATGATAGGAAGAGGGGATATTTTTTATTCGCTCTAATGGGAAAGAGTCATTACTACCTTTCAAGAAAATCCTGTAGTCCTTGCTGCCGCAGGCTCAGAAACGAAGGATGAAATCTTCCAATCATTTTCTTTGGTGGTAACTCCGGAACATTTCCTCTGCAATACAAGATTGTTGCTTAGAGAATTTGTGGGTCTTGAATACAGGATAATAACACTGAGAACATCAACTCTCATTCAATAATAGGAATTTTAATGAGTAAAGGGCTGAAGGTCAATTACCCTATAAGTCAAGGTGACATTGTGCAAAGCAAAATACCAAGTATGTCATTAAAAGGTTTCATCATTGATTTCAAAGAATTGTCAATGTTTTTTCCAGCTAAACTTGTTCTAGTCGCCATGAATAGTTTTTTAATTTCAAAACAAGAAACAGCAAATTCCTTTCTTTCACGGCTCATAATTTTTCTTAGCAACAAGTATTTATTATTGTAATGATAAAATTCCGTGTCAGAATCAGAATATATAATGATGTAAACATTGTCTTCATTTTCGCCCTAAAATATACTCACTTTCCTAAACCGTTCACTTCGACGCTACCCAGTTGCTTTCTTAACCACAAAAACTCAGAGAATCGTCTTCTCACGGTCGAAGTTCTTCGTGAAAAAGCAATTTTATTTGTCTAAAACGGAATAGGGAATATCAGTATCATATCTGTATTATTTCGTCAGCCACGGTCATGGATGACGTTTCCCGTTTCAAAAATACTTTTATGTACAAAACGGTTGAGAAGAAAAAAAGATTATTCCCATACCTCGATATATACTTCATAATCTGTGTATTTCCCTTTGTTAAGATGCTTGTACGTTCTTGGATAACGAACTTCAACCGAGAGATACTATACAATAATATATTGATGAACATTTATTGTAAGACGTAATTACGAAACATAAGTCACAAGACTGAAGACTACTTTACATTTATGTCTAAAAATACTGTTTCCTGTAACTTCAAGGCAATCGATGCCAAGATTATAGCTTTATACGTATTAAAATCATCATAAAACTTTAAACGAGTCTCTTACCTCCGTTTCTGAACAAGATTTCGAAAGCATTGTAGCGTTTATTGTGGGTTGTACTTTGACTGCGTGATCGAAATTTGGCGGCTTCGCATTTATGCTACAAATTATTGACACGTCTCCCTGCGAATGTAATACCTCACACATCTAGATATTACCCGTTTACTGTTAAACTCATAGATGCATTCTACTACTTCTAACACGATTTCCTGAGAAAAATATGGATATCGCGGAAGAAATACGGAGGCAGTTTTACGTCAACAAACGTCCCGTCGGTCCCGAGCAAAGTCCCGAGTCTCGTGTCATGTTCGCGTGAAAAACTCGTGACCCCGAATTAACTTAAAAATCAAAACGAAACAAGTTAAACACGCAGCACGCACGCGGCGAGCAGAAAAATTTTTTGGGATCACTTGAAGGCTTGGTTACCAAGCACTGATCTATAGTTCTTACTGGACTAACATTATTAGCAACCTTTTACTTTCAGACACTGAGCTATAGTTTCACTGGACTAACATTATTAATACCCTTTTACTTCCGGTAGTCGGCAGCGCGCTACTTCCGGCTTCAATTTTTGATCTACATTGATCTTCATTCTCCAGCAACCTCGCAAGCCAAGCTTTTCTACCTTACATACGCTCCATGATTTTACTACACAGTTTATACTCAACTGTAATATCGAAAGACGAAGCGCGGAAACAAATGGCGTGAAATCAATACATTTTAGAACTGATTTAAACGAGGTAAACTCCCATATTATTTTTTCGGAGCATCTGAATATAGTCAGATTCAAGAACAGCAGCATGAATGAGGCATTTAGTTCTATATAAGATGTTCATGACCTAATAAGCAAGACTCCGGGTAAAATATGCAAAAATGCCCCCCATATTATAGGGCCATATATGTTCTTCAGTGTTCCTAGTTGTACTCAAGTATTGCCTTGATATCATTGGTCATCTTGGTTATATTATTGTTTTACAGACAAAAGTTTATGCATGTTAGGGAGGGATGATAGGGTTAGGGAACAACAATATTACCCTGACCATCGAAACTACACACACAAATCCCCCATCCCCTAGGGAAAGTTTGGTAAGTGAATCACCTATTATGCCCCACATTTCCCCAGGGTAGGGTTCCCTTTCACATTAGTGCATTAAGATATTCTTTATATGATACAGGTACAGCAGCATGATAACTGCAGTTAGTTCCATAAAATGTTCATGACCCATTTGTCTTGAAAAAAGGGACGTAGAAGAAGACTGTTTAAATTATAATTACAGTATCTGTTTACGTTAAGATATTCTTGACATGATAGCAGCAGCATGATTACAGCATTGTGTTTCATAAAATGTTCATGACTCAATTGTCTTGAAAAAATGGAAGAACAAGAAAAGGAGACTGTTAAATATTTGTTTATGTTGCTGTGTGGTGGATCAGTGATTGATCCAGCCCTGAATTTTAGGGGAATGCACCAGGTTGATTTGAGTATGCATACCTGGGTCTTGGTGAAATGCTTTTATCAGCATTCTGATGGCTATCTGAAGACAAAATTGACCTCAGAAAAGTACTGCAATTGCTCATATCAATTTTCAATCCCACAAATGCCTACACTCTCCACGAAATACCATATAATGCAACAGTTTAGCTGTATTTTAGCTACTAAAATCCAACACTTAACCAAAGTTTGTACCTCCTCTGCAGAGGATCCACCACTATGTTGAAACATTCTTTATATGATGCAGGAACTACAGCAACAGATGGAAGTTGTTTCTCCAATGACATCCTATTTTGACAAGTCTATTCTTTGAACATTAAATGTTACTCTTCACTTTAACGTGTATGTCCAGCGTTTGGCCTATTTAAATTAATATTCAGTGAAAGGTTTCTTTTTCTGTTTGGCTCTATTTTTCTTTTCCTAGCAGGCATTGTGCATTTATCACTTTTCCTAAAAGTCGCCTTGCGACCTGAAGGCTGTGCGAGTGAAGACTTTATACCTGACCGACGGCGCGATATTGCAGTTGGCTGTACTCTAATTCTCTTGTTTGCACGATGAAGTATTGGTAACATTTTGCAATTTGTGTTTCTGCCAAATGAGACATATGCGGTTGAGAGACTGTTGATTGGGGCTTGTCCTCTTGCTTTATTAACGATTTTCTTATAGGTTTCAAGGTACTTGCCGTAGCATTTCACAAAATTTGGATTTCCACTGCGTAACCAAAATTCGATGTCACTGGATACTTCTTTGTGGAGTTTGATAACGTCCTCTAGGCTTGTCTCTTGCTCTTCGTGTGTCATATTTGAACATTCAGTTTCTGTGCTATTGGGCTCTTCATTTAATGGCACATGTATATCTCTTGCTTTCTCATCAAGAGCCTCCGGATGTGGAATCACCGGTTTTGTCGAATCGAACTTCTTTTGGTGAACATCTGCGAATTTTTCTGCGCACAAGTCCGGATGGTCTCCTATTGCCAATACCGCTAGCTTGTACTTGTCCATGTGATTTGTTGGAATAAAGTTGCTGTTGGAGACGCCGTATTTTAGTGCAACTGCAGCTTGATGGGGACAACTGTTTCCATTTTCACCTGCTGGGCAAGAACAGATTCCGATTGACGAGTTCACCTCGTAAATCTTTCCCTTCTCCTTTCTACTTGGCACATAAAACTTAAAGGGTTCAGTGCTGTCTTGCGTGATTGTGGCGAAATCAACTGTGCTAGCATTTCTACCAAAACATCTGGATGCAATGTGCAAATTTTGAGGTTTTCCAAAAGCAAGCGATAGTAACTTACGTTGAAAATACTTGTCTAAGTCCTCAACGATAAATCGAAATAGTTCCACCAAGTTGTATGCCCTAATTCGTCGTAATATTATGCACTTGAAGATGAAAATCATAGATTCCGTATAATTATCCGTGTTGTTACCTCTAGTGATTAGTTGTTTGCGAAGACATAAGGCCCATTCCGACTTTCTTGCCATCGCATTCTTGATGTACTTAAGAAAAATTGCATATTTCTTTGCTGTCTTGTCTTCTTTTAGTTCTGCGAATAGTTTGTTCAATATGTTTTCGCTTTCAGAAAAGACCAAATTCTGAATCAATTTCATGAGCGGTTTTCGGTCACATAATTCTATTTTATGTTTTGACTGCCATAACCATCTCCACGCTGCTTGTAGGAAATGAAATATACAGAGAAGTAATTTTGTTGAACCCCAGGTAGTATTTAAAGCGCCCCTCTGGGCCGCGTCATCATCCGTTAAGCAAATCCTTGGCCCCTCTTGCGTACCTCGACCACCAAATGCACCCTCTGGAAATAAACTTTTTGCTTTCCCCAAACAGCTCTCGACTGTTTGCTGGGAGTTATCAGATGTGACCCAGACACATAGTGGAAGTGCTCCTGAAGGGTGGTGCGTACAAAGAAAGTATACAGGATTGTTGTGTCGGTCAATACTGGCTGATGCATCCAAGAACACCATCTCCCCAGCTTGAGGTAAAGAATGTACCCTAGCCATCAGTGGGGTAACAACAGCAAGGATTAATGGTTTTTCGGTGCACTTTGTCTTCTCATAACGTTGAACAAAGCATTTACCACCGTCCATAGAATGTCGTTTGTTATAATCTTTCACAACATCTTCCAACTCCAGGAACATATCCACCCCATCGGACGCTCCCTTTGTTTGCTTTCTCCATTTCTCAAACATCCTTCTTGCGTCAGTTGCAGATGGGCAATATCGCCGGTCGGCGAGAAGCGTCATTGTCGATGGATCATTCATAAGTAACGACTCGTGATGGTGAAAAGCTTCTGCTGCAGACATGCCGCTCGCGAAGTAATCGTTAAATGTCTCCACCGTCGCTGGGAGGATTTTAGCAAAGCTCTGGAGATGAAAACAGTCGATACTATGATTGTGAGTCCACCACAACTGAACATGACATACGTTACCAACAGAATTTGCTGGTAATAATTTAACAGACATCTTGCTTGGGCAATCTGTCTTCTTATCACGTGCTGTTGATAGCAAGTGCAGTTCCGTATCATCTGTAAAGGTATTTTTGAGGTTTGTGCCCAACCTCTTTTGACGTTTTTTTGAGCGTGTTTTTTTGGCGTCTTGTTGTTTTTTCGTCAATTTCTTCCTTTTACATTGGCAAATGTACCACTTTGTCATTAAGACTTTCACGCCTTTCCGTTGGTATCCTCCTTGCGTGTTATATTTTATATTGGTTGTTGAAGTCAGTTCCGAGACCCATGTTTTTACTTCTTCTATTGAAGTTATATTAGCAATGGTGAAGCATACTTTAAAAGCTTCTTTCGGTGCCCCTGTAAAACACTCTTTCTCCAGTTCTTCATATTCGTCAAGCTTGTACTTATAGTTTGATGGTAAAATGTTTTGTACATGCGTTGGTAAATCCGAGCTTTCGTTGCTTATTTTCTCGGTACACTCATTCACATCTGCATAGCAATGATCGTGGATGATGGAATCATGATTTGAAAAAGATAATCCTGCTGTATTTTTTGCTCTTTCGCTGTTACAAACGCCAGCTGGATCTTGAACACCAGACAACTTTACTTTTTTCGTCGGTTGAAAATCGTCGTCCGAGTCTCCGCAATGTTTCGGCGAGTTCGGACTTGACTGCTCCAATCTCGAGGGCGTGTCTCTTCGTTTTACCCCTTTTCTACAACCCGCAGGCAAATCAGGAATCTCGTATACATTGTCATGTTCATGAGATGGAAGTTTAATTTCTAAATGAGGATCCCCAGCACTGATTTCCAAAATCAGCGAATACCTAAACGATTCAATATCTCCTTGAGTGAAATCCAGCGGAAGACCTAAGGAGATATGTTGAGCCCACTTCGCAACAAATACACCACAGTCATCACCATTTGTCTGCTGACTTAGATGCCGACTTGGTAAGATATAGAAAAGCCATTCTTTCCAGTCAAGAGAGAAATCTTGTGTTTTCGATATGCGTTGGGAACATTCCAAGAAATGTTGCATTCTCTGAAAACCCTGTCTTGCAGAAGCTCCTTCATACAAGGAGTCGAGGTACATCATAGCTCTTAACTGAGGGAATGTGGCCAATAAGCACCAGTGATTACCAAAATTTACCGCACCTAAAATTACATCACTTGAAAGAATACCATCATACATACTGTGGTACTGATTGTTTTTGAATGTCTCCATCGAAGGAGTTGTCATTTTATGAAATACGTCACTGTTTATTGTCCGCACGATGTTACCAAAAGCTTTGCATTTCGTTTCTAGAATCCACATATAATGATTAAGTACGAAGTTATTTAACCATGATCCTGGAAGAAGACTT